TTGAGCATTTGCTGTTTTAATTGTTTCCTTGCAGATTTCTGTGGTAAACAAGAACTCAGAAACCAGTGAGCGTAGTGTGAGATTCCCAGATGGTCTAGGTAGCTGTTACAAGCAAGTGCATTTAAAAAATGATAGGTAATTAGAAAAATACTGCTTGTTAGATATATTACAATAATTAATGAACATGTGGTTATTAGAATTATTGTTCCATAGAATTGAAAAGTAAACCTTTTGAAGGAGTGGGATTTAAAAATGTGTGACTTAAGATAGATAAAATCTCTGTTAGTTAACTATGTGCAATACACTCTGATTACCATTAGTATAACAGTCATATATGCACCAAAGGATTTATGATGACAAATGATTCTAAAGGCAAAATGAGTCCAGTTTTCCGAAGCAGTGATCAAAATCTATATTGTGGCATTGTTGGTTCCTCTCTTATACTATCTCTTGCTAAAGCTTGACTTTCGTTCTTATTCAAGGGAATATTTTATGTAACCTCGAATTTGGGGTTTGAGTTCTTGTGCTGAGAAATAAATGCATTTGATGTAAATAAATACACAACATTCCTGACACCAAACCGATTAAAATGACCGAGGCATCTCTTGTCAGCGAAAAATATTAATCTGGAAATTAATATTTAGAAGGTTTCCCAGCCGTGATTTCTGAACTGTGAAGCGAGTTGTTAATGATGATGTTGTTAGGCAGCTGAGCTGTTGAATTGACCTACTTTCTATGTTGCTTGCCAGCAGACAATCAAGCCTATTTTTGTTAGCTAGAGGAGGATGGACTGAGACAAAAACCTACAAGAGAATTTATTGCACAGATGACCAGCCTTGATTTTAGGCTTGAAAGCCACGTCCTCCTCACTCTAAACATACATTGCTGCTCTGGTGATGTTAGATGTTTGGCTTTCGGGAATCACTGTGGACTTTAATTATGTTTTATTTTGCTGTAATACCAAGATGGATTATATGGCTTAGGACTGTGTATGTTTAAGGATGGTATCCAGCAAAAGGAGGCACTGAAATCCAATAAAAGAACTTAAAAAGGTATGTAATTGCTTGCATGTCAATTGCTTATTTAGTTTTAAGACATTTTGAATTGTATCAAGGCACTGGCATAACAGAAAACATAGCTCACCCCTGGAGACATTTCCAAATTCTTTTCATAGGTTCTTCGGGTTCTGTTGTATGTACTGAGTTCTCTCAGTTTACTTTCATGACCTGCCTAATCGTAAACATCACATGATGTGGAAAAATTAAAACTGCCAGAAAAAATGCAAAATATTTGTAGTTGAATTTTCTTCTTGGCTTTATAATTCTGCACAGCCGAGCAGAGCAGTGCTTGTGGTTTTGCTAGAAAGACATGCTGCCTCTACAGTACTTCCATCAGTGCTTTACACATATGCTCATCTTTTGTATGTTTGTTAATTGCAATGCCTGAACCAAACAAATCACATGTTATAGCTCGAGGAATGCAAATAAAGATTTTTTTTAAAAATAATAATTTCCGGAGAAATGTAAAAGGTGAAATTAAGATTTGATTACAGTCTTACTTCTTGGAATGATTCAGTTAATTCATTATCAAAATGAAATGAAACTGCAATGCAAGTGCTTCAGAATGCTTTGATTATTTAGAATGTTGTGCCATTTGCACGTATTATAGGAGCTGTTTATAGTGAGTATGGGACACTGAAGGTTTGTATGCATATTGTTTTGAAGAAGCGAATCAGTATTGTATTGTGTTTCCTTTTAAGAAATTCATTATGAAATGTAATTGATTTAGTGATTGGCACATCATCTAAATGTGAACACCGGTTTACCCCTTTCCTGGAAAGGAGAGATGTTCCCATAGAATAGATCTGTTGATTATGGGTCTGCTCTCTTATATTTTATATTGTGCATGGGCTGTTACCTTGTAATATGCAGTGAAATAAAACTTGCTATTCATATAGTTTAATGACTTATGCACTGCGCTTGCACAGCAAACCAACACAAAAACCATGGTATAATTCTTGCCCTAGACCAAACTTCATTACGTCTCTTCTATAGTTCATCAGAAGGTATTGGGGAGACTGGCGTGAGGAGCAGATTAGATGGTATTTTTGGAGGAACGTATACTGACACTAATATAATTGGTTTATTGGCCTCATTCTATATCATAGGTTTGTATAGCTCAATGGTCTTGAGGAGAAAGGACACGTGCCAAAGCTTTGATGTAAGAACGTGTTAAATCCAAGTTCCAATGACATCATTTGAGATCTGAAAGCATTATAAGTGATCTAGAAAACCAATTGACTCATCTTTTTCATGCCGAAGGCCATTGTCCCATCTGCGTAAATGTCAGAAACGAGAAGGGAGCAAACTACAATCCCAGTAACTCCACACCAGCATTCTTGCTTTCAGTTTGGTCAAAGCTCACATAACCGTAATGTATAAAAATGCAAGGATTATTAATATTCTGTGAATTCTCCACACACATCTCAATCACTATGTTGCATCTGCTCGCCAGCTTGGCTTCATACCAAGTCACTTATGTTGCTCTCAGTCTTACAGTCCAGAAATAGATTGCTTCTCAAGATGATTAGCATGAAGTTCTAGCACTAGACCTTGACATTTTGAAAACCTTTGGTATGATGGTGGCATCCCAGTCTCTTTCAGCAGCTGTTATAGTGACTCATTCCATGAACTGTTGAACTGGATGTACTATTTTCTCGGAGTGTGAAACTGGACATTCATGTAGACGAGGTAGAATACTACCACAGTGATGTGATTCTAGCTGCTGACAATGCTACCCCAACACAGAGAGGTTAACAACAACTCTGATAAACATTGCAAGGAGATACAGATGGAATCCCACAGTATTCTAGACCAATGTTGTACTATCCTCAGTGCTGTGAAGAATATAATAGTAACTGCTGTGGATGATGGATCATGACTTGTTGGCCATTTTTACACCAGATGTGCAGTTACAAGTGATGGAAGCAGCTACTGAATGTTCAGGCAGCCTTAGAACCAGTCCACACTGTATGTACTGATCTATCAGCAGTTAAGTGGGATGAAATGGGAGCCCTATTAACAGCAACTTGCATATATATAATATATATACAATCGGAGGGCTTAAATGTTAAAAGTGGAGCACTATTAATATGATACCTTCATCATCTACTTAGCAATTTAGCAAATTCTGAGATGTCCTCCCGGCATGAAAGGTGCTATATTGCTATATCAAGTGCAAGAATTATTATATCCTACTGTATTATTAAGATATTACAATTATGCTCATTTATCAGCTTTTGAATACCCTTCATGGAATTAATTATACGGAGTTGGCATCAATTAGAACCAGCATCAATTACAGCAATTGTATTCAGTTTGGGAACAAATATGCAGGATGTATATTATACTGCTCTTTTGTTGGGAAACTAAACAAAAGGAAGATGTGTGTAGGGTTCCAGTGAGATTTTTTTCTCCCATATGCCTGACTTGTGTTCTTTATTTACAAGATATCTTGCTGGACAAAAATGTATACTAGATCCACACTTTAAATAAGATTGCAATTCACTGAACAGTTGACTACCATCTGCCCTTTGGCACTGTTAATTATTTACCATTTTTGAATAGAAATGCAATTCTTCCTCATTGCTGATGAAAGTAAAGTGTGAATCTGCGTTTATATAAAAAAAACATTCAAACTGACCTCACTCACTTTGCCCTTCTTGAAAGTTTGGTTTGGGTCCAGGTATTTTTTTTTCAAAAGGTATGATTTGCGAGGGAATTTTGCCAGGAAACAGCAAAATACACTTTAAACTTTTTCAAGACTTTTGTTCCATTAAAGAAATCCATATGCAGCGTATTTAATCCCATACAAAATAAACTGTGCAGTCAGCAAGCATTTTGCTAAAAATGCTACATCAAATAAAAATAATGTTGTATATTATTAAAGGAATGTTGCGTTTGTGTTATTTGGAATTTGGAGAGTTCCTTTAGTTGAGACATGATTGTAAATGGATTTAGTTATTGATCTGGTTAAATATTAAAGAAATTTAAATCTTCTTTGAACAAAAATCGGAATTGGATCCCTAAATGATACTACTAATACATCCCTTCTGAAAGAAAAATCAACAGCTTAATAGCAGTGAAGAGCACAATTGGCATTGGTGATTCCATGCAATCAAGATTATTGATGAAGACAAAAAAAGTCTGAAGAACGTAAATATTCAAAACTATGTGGCAGCCTCAATACTTATAATGGTTGGACTCAATATTGGTCCAGCAGGATTCACAAGCAAGAGTGCCAGAGTTAAAAGTGTTCAACTTTGTTATCCTGTCTTCATGTGTTCATTCACGCAAATTCCTGTTAAGCTGCACTGTCCAATAGTGAAGTGCTTTACTGTGATCGGTGAAGTGGGAAAGACTAAATCTGGTAACAACTTTACTATCTCCCTTATTGGTTTGATCATAGAGCAGTACCTCCCTCCTCTACTCTCCACCTCCCCTATTTAAGGAAAGATTATGTCTATGTCTCTTCGGTAGCGAGCAAAGTTTGCTCACTGAACCTAAATGTAAACTAATCAATACCAAGTCATCTTCTCTCTTATCCAAACAAGTAATTTAAGATCAAATTGTCCTTAAATTATTAGTATTAATATTATTAATGTTCATATTATTATATTCATAATCCCTACATCTGACATAGTACCTTATCACATCATCAAAATGCCTCAAAGTGTTTCACAGGATTTTTATTGAGGAGTGTAGTGACTGTGTATTTGTATATAGGCAAATGCTGCAGCCGATTTGCATGTGGCAATGTCTCACATACTGCAATGAAATGAATAAATAATGTCATCATAAACTAACGACAAATCGTCCATCTAAAGCAATATTCCTGAACCATGATTGTACCTAATGGATGGGAGAATCACTGAAGGCTAATTGTGCAATAATGTTTGTTTACCTGAAAGTGTAATTTACAATTTCTTTTATATTTTACAGAGACACCAGCTGTGTAGGTGAGCTGATGGACGAAGATGATAAGGACAGGGCAAAGAGGTGAAAATGACTTCCCAATGTGAATTTTTTTTAAAACCTGTTTTATTGTTTTGCTAGCCAAGGGGCTCATTTTGAAAATCAACAAAGTTATTAAGTGTTATAACAATTCTTGCATTTGATATAACGCATCATCATGTCATTGAGATGTCTCGGAGGGCTTCACTGAATTTTTACTGTAACGTAATAACAACAGAAAAAATTACATGTGTATAGCGCCTTTCACGTCGGGAGGACTTCTCAAGGCGCTGGACAGACAAAGTTTCGGACCTGAGCTGGGGATTGGGATTGGGAAAGGTGGAGGGTAGAATTAACTGGATTTGTAATAACTGTGGATTTGAACCCAGCAGCCAATTTGCACACATCAATGCCCCATGTAGTGTTATCTTACAGATTTTAAATTGTCGCACAGACTCTGAGTGGAGTTTTCCTCATTTGCTATGAATGGGGAAAAAGATTCTCTCTACTGTGATGAAGAATATATCACAATGGAAGATGCTGTCACTCACTCTTTCTCGTTCCAGGGCCCACATTTGTATCTAATTGATGGGAGCACATCTTATCCATAGCCTCATTTAGGATGTAATTTTTCTTATAGTTGTCTGTTTGGGGTCTGAACTGGAGAAAATGTAATGATTTAAATTCTAATCAGCAAGGACAAAAATGCCTAACACAAGGATAATGCACTAAATTCAAGCCGTAACGAGTGCAGTGAATGATAGCTGGCGTATGTGTACTCTGCAGTATGCTTCCTTAGCCATGTGCTCCCAAGGTCAACATTTTCCCTGAAAATTCCTGCCTCAATTCTCCAGCCTGACTGCGTCTGTCACAAAATATGGATCGGAATACAATAAACGGGATTTGGGGAAAGGTTTGAGGAACTGCTGGGAACAACTTGACTTTCAAAGCTGCTCCATCGTATTTTACCTGCAACAAAACAAACGTTTTGTGGCAATTCTTTTTCTAAATATTAAAAAAAAAGCTTTGACCAAATGTTTTAGGGCAGTCATCACATCTGAGTTCAAAGCTTGTTATATAAGTGCAAATTGTTGTTGTTGTTGTTCAATGACCTCATCCCATGTTTGCATTTGAACTTCTAACTTTGCCGAACCGCCTAAATAAACAATTTTCTTCCTGCAAAAGGGCATCCCGCAACAAATCTGAGAAGAAACGGAGAGATCAGTTCAATGTCCTCATCAAAGAACTTAGCACAATGCTGCAGGGTTCCACACGCAAGATGGACAAATCGACAGTCCTACAGAGGACAATTGATTTTCTGCAAAAACAGAAAGGTAAGAAGATACAATGCAATTTACATTTACATAATGCCTTTCACGTCGGGAGGACGTTTCAAGGCTCATTCGGAATGCTATATGGGCACTTGAGTGGGAAAGGGGAAAGATGACCGAAAGCACGGTCAAAGAAATACATTTTGTCTTGAACAAGGGAAGGAAGTGTTTCTGCAGGATTTATTACCAGTGCTCTTAGGTCAGCTTTGACATTCAGGTTTCTTTCTCACTAGATTGGTCCCACCCTACCCCTAGAACTAACTGTGTGGCACTTTAGCTTTACAACAACAACAAGATTCCATTTATAGTGCGCCTTTCACGTCGGGAGGACGTCCCAAGGCGCTGTACAGTTGGGTCAGGACCTGAGCAGGGGGGAAATGGTCAGGGTGAGGAGAGGGAAGGGAGGGAGCGAGGAGAGGGTAGAGAGTCGAGAGGGGAGCTGAAGGCACGGTCAAAGAGAAAGGTCTTGAGACCGGCCTTGAAGGAGGAAAGGGAGGAAGCGGCGAAGGCACTTGGGGATAGAGTTCCAGAGCCTCGGGGCTGAAGGCCCGGCCACCGATGGTAGGGCGGTTGGAGCGGGGGATGTGGAGCAGACCGGAGCCAGAGGAACGGAGGGTACGGGCAGGTAGGTAGGGGGATAGTAGGTCGGAGAGGTAGGAGGGAGCAAGGCCGTGATTGGCCTTGTAGGTGAGGATAAGGATCTTAAATTCGATCCTCTGGGGGATGGGGAGCCAGTGGAGGCGAGCGAGGGTGGGAGTGATGTGTTCCCGAAGCTTGGCTGTCAGAGGCATTGTGTCAGATTCATCAAGTTCCTGCAGCGGTCTCGAGAGTAAGTGGCTTGTCGAAGTGGCTTGTGTTTGATCTCGCCGTGAGACAACCTGCAATTTTTACAATATTTGACAAAAGTAAGAGTGGGGTAGTGGGACTAGTTGGTAGCTCTTTCTTAATGTAAAAAGGAAGAGCAGATTTTAAACACAAAAGAAAATCTAGCTATATATCCACTGCTTCCACATGTAGTCCTTTCTGATCTAATACCTTTAAAACCTTTATATTGTTCTGCACAGAACAATACACAACAATACCATATTATCTCTCGGACAATGTGACTCATTTACAGCCCTTTATGTGTTGGATTCCTTACTTTACACAGGAAAAATTCAAATGTTCACACTCCATCTGAAGGTCACTGCGGTTCTGTAGGCTAAAGTCAGATGGGTGAGGTGATCTGTGCTGGTAGTGTCACCTTTACACTGGGATTACAAGATGTACATTGGATGTTTTCAACGTCCTGGATTTTTTATTTCATTGGAAAATTATTATTTCTAAAAAACAGGACTTTATTTTGTAATTTCAGAAATCTCAGCTCAGACAGAGGCCTGTGAGATCAGACAGGACTGGAAACCGTCATTCCTTAGCAATGAAGAGTTCACACAGCTGATGTTGGAGGTAAATCGTTATCATTAAGGTTTTCGCTCCAAATGATGCAGTTTACATCAGAGATCAAGGTGGAGCACAACAATGGACATTGACTTCAGCAGAGTGATGATGGGAGGGATTTAATGAGCTGCACTGGGGGATTAAATTCAGATTCATAGAATTTTGCAGCACAGAAGGGCATTGTGTCTGTGCCAGCTCTTTGAAAGAGCGACCAACTAGTCCCACTACCCCACTCTTACTCCAAAGCCCTGCAAATTCTTCCTTTTTAAGTACGCAAATCAAATTAGTGAAGAAAAATAAAGTATAATTCAGAAACTCTGGAGTTCTTTAATGCATTTTAACGTGAGTTCTGCTGTCCACAGATCTATTATATACTTGCAAGTACATACAATATTCAGAAACTCAATTCTATAATATCCCGCCTAACAGTTTTTTAAGAAAATAATATTTATCCCAGTACTTAAACTGAGTTTATTTTATTTTTTAGGCACTCGATGGGTTTCTCATAGCACTTAGTGCTGATGGAAATATTATTTATGTCTCTGATAGTGTTTCATCACTGCTTGGCCATTTACCGGTAAGTGCAGATTACTTTGTCTCATTCTACGTAAAATTCAGCATACATCACCACAAGGGAGAAACTGCAATTGTGCTTACGGTCACCTTTCCCCTCCCTCTCCCCCGGCTCGTTGTCAGACTCCGCCACTGTGAAGCGTTCTGGAACACTACCCAGCGTGCAGGGCGCTATATAAATGCAAGTAATTATTGTTGTTGTTATTGCAGTCATATCACAGAAAAGAAATGCAAAACCGATCAACTAGATTATTTTGGAGTGTTTTGTGTTGTGTTGTAATGCGGTGTTCAATCCATTCTGCAACAGAATGACGAGGCTGGAGCAAAACGTTACTTTTTACTAAGAAGACTTGATGAAGTTAAGAACCAAACTCTCTACATTGCTCACTCTGACCTGCAGCCACCTGATCGCCCTCTTTATCTTTAAATCCCACCTTCGACCTCCCCCTTTCCCTTTTGAGGTGGAGCCTGACTATCAGAAATATAATAACAACGATAATCCTTGCATTTGATATAATGCCTTACCACATCTCCGAGACTTCTCAAAGCGCTTCACAGAATATACTATAAAGTGAATTGCCTGAATATTTTGTGGGCGAAACGTGCGCAAAATGAAGAAATGTTACGCTTAACACCCAAATCTGATCTTCAACATAAAGTGGAGGGTGGGGGAGATTTGAACTGGTGGAAAAAAGCAACATTTCCATTTTGAATTATGTTTTTAATCCTGTGATACTGGATCTAATTGTAGCAAATGGGGAAATATTTAATCTGACAGTTCTTTCTTTCTTTCACTGGGAATCATCCAAATATCAGGTTACATTTTGGCAACCAATACCCGAGTCCAGAATGTTGTGATTGCTCTTTTTTGATAATTAAAGTGTTCAAATAAATTGTAAATTGCAAACCCTTTAGAGGTATTAGCAATACACTCTCATTTATATAATTACAAAATTTTTATGAGAATAAATTGGAATTGCATTTCACATACACAATAAGTAACAGTCCTCTCCTCTCCTACCCTCTACCACAGCACAGCACTGACCCAGCTTATATGATTCTATCCATTAGAGCTTTAGCTTCTAGACCCTAATAAACATAAGGAGGAGAAAGAACAGTCAGGAATGCCACTCCTAATCACTACTGAAAAGCCACATATTGTCCTGAGTGAGACCAAGGTCAACTGTGATAGAATAACCTGTGATATTCATTTAGTAACTTCTAACCTGAAGCAGACTTCATCAGGGTTGAGATTCCATCATGTCTACTTTCAGGAAAGGAGATGCTAGGAGGAAAAAAATCAGAGGGAAGATGGAGGGGGTAAAAAGCAAGACATCCTCAATGCTGGGAAGTGGTATGAATGAGCAGTGATAACGGGAAACCAATCAGTCTCTGCAAACAACAGCTTATCATAAAGGACTGCGAAGGAAACTTAGACAATTGAAGTGGTGAACTGTTTAAGCTGGGCTCACATAGGCATGTGTAACAACAAGAATGTAGTCTTAGTACATGGGGTCATCTTCAGTACTGAACCACTAATATGTGTGAACCACTAATATGTTAGTCTGATTACAGTTAATAGAATGAGGCGTGCTTACTAAATGAAAGGCATGTCAAGAGCAGGCCACACCATCAGGAGTCCTTTGCCACAGCTGATGAGATCGAGCTCCTGAGCTCAAGGAGATGGCTATTTTTAGACTTTAAAGCTTTAGGAAGGCTACACAGAGAGGATTGAGCCTTGAATAGCATTTGGTCCCAGGCCAGGGGGTATAAAGACTACATGAATAGGGAAATAGCAGCCACAAGAGCGGGGGAAGTCAGGTTAAGGTTCATAATCATGGGCAGGATTGTGCTGTATTGACAGAGGAAGGACTTGCAAAGTGAGGCAGAAACTTCAAAGCCCATCTCAAGACCTTCCTTTTCGAGCGTGCTTTGGGTCATCGTCTCACCCCACCACCGCCCCCTTGCTCTCCATCCCTCTTGATTCCAACCCTCAGCTCGGGTGTAAACCTTCAGTATACAGTGACTTGGGACATCCTCCCGACATGAAAGGCACTATACAAATGCAATTTGTCGTTGAGAAAGTAGTGGGAATGAAATTCATTTGCACATGAGGTTCAAGAAAGAAAACAGTCAAACCAGAGAAGAAAAGCTACCAGTTGTATTCCTGTCATTCGTTTCTTCAGATTCTAAATAAAACACTACTTGAATACTTTTGGGTATTACTTTGTCAGTCGAAGCAAGTTATTTGGTAAAAGAAAAACAGAGAAGAGTGTTCCCTTCTGAGTAACCATCCACTGTGGGTAAATGGTGGTAACATTAATTTCTATCCTCTTCAGCCTACAGTAATCTCATTGTGCAAAGATTAGCGTGTTGATCACAACATACAGTAGGATCTTTGCCTGAAATCTGCACTTACGCAAACTTAAATGACTTGGGTGGAAGTCAGCCAAATCTAGGATTTTCTAGATTCAGGCTCAGTTATTTTTTTTTCCCTTAGCAACAAATTGTGAAAGTGAAATGTTGCCAAGATTTTGTTTTTGACTTTGAACTAGTGGAAGAAATAGACTACTTAACACGTAACTTGGCATGTGTGTAGAATGGGGTGTGGTCTGTGTGGGGGTAGGGCTTGTGGTGTGTGTTTATTTGTGTGTGGTTGTGTTGTGTGTGTTCTGCATGAATGGGGGAGAGGTATGGTGTATGTGTGTGCGTGTGGTTGTGTGGTTATGAAGTGGTGCTATGTGTGTCTGTGTGATGGGGGAGGTGTCTACCTTGTGTTGGGGATTGGAGTATTCCTTTGTTTATTCTCAGTATAATGCTGGTAACATTTATAGATCGTGCTGTAGGATGAAGAGGATTGAAATTAATGTGGTACTTAGGGCACACAATATCCGAAAGTGCTGAGAAAAATTGAGATGATAACCAGTAGTGTAATTTTTTTTAGAAAAACTAGATGACAAGGAGGCAATTACATAACACATCCCATGTCCTCCCCAGTGTTTGTGAGGAATGAGTTCTAATAACTCTTAACTGAGCAATTGTTAGGAACAATCCCCGATGACCATACACTCAGCCATGGTTGGGCAAACTGCAAAGTGGGCCTGTTATCACGTGGGCTGGTGGCTGCTGTGTTTATCTCAGTTGGTCAGGGACAGAGAGATAAGCAGCTACAAAGGAAAGCGAGAACAATTTTTTGAAAAAAAAGCGTTGACATAACCCTTGTTGTTTTGTACCAGTCAGATCTAGTGGACCAAAATATATTGAACTTTCTCCCAGAACGGGAACATGCAGAAGTCTACAAGCTGCTATCGAATCAGATGTTAATGACGGAACAGGTTACGTTGGATTACCTGAACAGTACGTGCCCTGTTTACATTGAACTGATTGATACAGAAAGTGATGAATGTGTGTAACTAACTGCTCAGGGTGGCTTAGGAGGCAGACAGGGTCAAGCTACTTCTCGATGAGGATGGGGATAATGGTCTATGAGAGATTGTGAGCATTGGTTTGATGCAGTAAAGGACTGGATTACAGATTGTATTCCCATGTAGCATTACAAGGGTTGTGTGCAAGATTTTTTATTTAACGGATCCTGCACTGTAGTAACGTAGCCAATCTCTCTCAATGTCAAAAAATTTTAAAATAAGCAAGAAATACAGAATTCCATCTGGGTCTAAGATTTACTCCATTTATGCAGCATCACAGAGCATGCAGAATTTGGCAAATTCTTAAATGTAGCCTTCATTTCAAAGCAGGCATATCAAATGAGGCTGTAACAAATAATTGAGCAGCCTGTGTTCCCGGCTGTGTGCAGCCTGCAAGATTGCGCTGAAAAAAAAGCTTTAAGACAATGTCAATATTTTAGAACAAAAGAGGACTCATAAAACACTTACATCAAAGAGTGTGGCGCTCAATAGTATTCTGTTGACAAAATACTGTATTTATTTTTTAAATGATCTTCCAGTGTAGCTAGGGTCAGTTTCCAATAGCACTGCGCATCAAGAAAAATAAAGTTACTGTATTTGTCAGCTTATTGCTGTAAATTGCACTTTCCCATCCATCGCCAGCAGAGAAGGACACCGTTTTGCTCCTGGGAAAAGCAGCACTGCACACTCCTCGTTTAGTCTGATATGATGGTGAACTGATGAGTTCTTTGAGCGAGGAAAGAAATTTGCACAAATTTAACATGTTCTCTGGAGACCCGTGGATGCTTAGAGGTCTTATCAAGTGCAATGCTGTATGTAGCTGGCAGTTGAGAATGTAGTAGCTTCTCAACCTTTTCTGCCAGCATTAATAATTGTCAGCAAACCACTGGGCTGAACACTGAACACACTGACTCAGTGACTACTAATGAGTCGGTGACAGAAGTTGTAATTGCATAAATGGAGGTGGAGATTTTTTTGTAGGAGAGGAGGTGAGAATGATTGCAGGCACCTTCTGACCCTCTATCCTCCTCCTGTGACTAAACTCCACTGAAAGCAAAATGATTTTGTAGGGTTGATTAATGATTGAGCAAAGGGGAAGGGACTTTTCACTAGCCTGAAGTGGTGTGGAGTGAGAGATCCTGTTCCAAATCCCCGAGTGCTGAAGACAGCTCTGAGTTGGATTTCTGCAGGTACTTGTGAAACTCCTTTCGTGTAGGTTGCAATATAGATGTGTCACACACCCCACAAAGCGCCAGATTGCCTCTAGTTTGATTTCATTGCTTTGCACATACAGTCAATGCATGGACCTTAGGCTTGCAGCAGCTTGCATGGACACACACAGAGATGCTACCCCGGGTGAAGGGTGTTCTATAAATGCAAGTTGTTTTTGCGTGTAGTGATCACAACAACAACTTGCACTTATAGAGCGCCCTTCAGAACTCTTAACAGTGGCAGAGCCTGACTCTGCACTTCCTGACAAAGCAAATGACAGCAATGGAACTGACAGTGTGGCAGCTCAGTGGATGAGTTTGATTAAGAGCATGGATCTCAGGACAAAATAGGGCTAATAGCACCAGCCACCTCTTCGAGCAATTTGTGATGACATTAATCAACCCTAATTGAATTTCCTGTTGCAGACTGCAGGTTGCTTTGCTGCTACGATAGCTGGCTGAGGAGGCTCACAGCTTGAGTGCACGCAGACCACCTGAATCCCTCATATTTCAAAGGCAGCCCCAACTCATCCAAATGCTCGCAAAGCCACACGATCATTCTGAAATGTGCTTCGCAGGCTTTTCTCTAAAATGTAGTGACTATATATTTGTAGGCGAACTCATCAAGCATTTTACGTAGAGCAATATCCCATATTTTAAGGCCAGTAGAGATTCACCAATAGAGCCCAGAATGTAAGGAGTGAAGTGACGCCATTCTCTAGTTTAATAAGAAGAATTAAGCAGTTTCCTTTCTTTTCCTAGGTGAAAATCACGTTGAATTCTGTTGTCATTTATCAAGAGGAACGTTAGACCCAAAAGAACCCCCTACGTATGAATATGTAAAGTTCATAGGAAACTTTAGGTTTCACAGTCATGGTATGTGCAAATTATTAATCGTGTTTTACACAGTAAGGAAATTTTTTCTGTTTGTGTTAGTTATTCTATGGTGAGCAGCAAGTTTATTGCTAAAGAGTCCAGAAATATATTAAATATGAAATATAGACTTAAAAGCATTATTGGCACAAGAAACCCGAGGCCTGAAATTCCACCTGTGTTTAGCCCTGTAAGACCATCTTATCTTAAAACGTGATAAGAATGGTGAAAACATTCTCAGATTGAGTTGTAACTTGAAAGCCGGCATTCCACAGTTCTTAAGAAGAACCAGCTGCCAAATCAAAACTGAATGAAAATGTGTGGCCATTCTGCGTGATCTGACAGTCTATCGTGAAATCAGCAGGGTAAGACTGAAGTGCAATTTCAGCCCTCTATTTCTTCAAATAAATTAAACTGGAAGGGCAACCTTTATTGTCGGTACATACTGTTCTATGTTCAGATTTTTAGTAAGTGCGCAGCTGAAGTGAAACAGTTATTCAGGCTCTGAAAATGGATTCTTGACTTTCCAGTGCCTATGTCTTCTTGTAATGGTTTTGACTTAGCCATTTCAAGGGCGTTTCGATCTGCTCCAGAAGAGCAAGTCTGTCTACTGGCAACTGTACGGCTGGCCATCCCGCAGTTTTTAAAGGCAAGTACGACGAACAACTTTAATGTTTTGGGTCTTACTTTAAGATTCTTAAAGTTAAGAAGCAATCTGTTGCTGACTGAATATGTATTTGTTTATTTTAAATGGCTTTCCACATGGCTCCTGATACCATATTGTACATGTTACAAACAAGAATGGGTCATTTTATACTGTAGCATTAACATATATTTATAATAATAACAATCCTTGCATTTGATATCGCGCTTTATCACGTCTTCTAAATGTCTCAAAGCGCTTCACAGAATATACTGTAAAGTGAATTGGCTGTATATTTTCGTGGGCGAAATTTTCCAAGTGATGCTTTTTCTATTATGTCTTGCTCGCTTGTTAGCATATTGGCTGAAGTGTTAGCAGGTAATCATAACACTGAGCTACTCATTCGCCCACAAACTACGCAGAGATTACACTTTACAGTAAATCCTGTGAAGTGCATTGAGGCCTCCCCCGACCGAAAGGCGGTCTATCAAATGCAAGGATTATTATCACTCTTGAGATCACTATCCCAACTAACCAGACTACACACAAGCCTTTACAATACCTAATTTGGTTGTTTTTAAAGAATATCAAGCGTGAATTATTTAAGATTTCCTAAGTATGCAAGAAAATAGATGGTGTAACTCAAAATTAGATCCGCTGTTAAAGATGCATTATATATAAATATCTAAATATATTATTTAAATATATATTATTTATATACATATATGTATACATAGGGCTTCTAATTTTGGGTCTTAACCGATAACCTCCGATTTAAACATCTCCGATACAAAAAAAAATTGCCGTTTATTTAATAATCAATGGAAAATCACCTGAAATAACAGTCCTGACGCAACTCCGAGGTGAGGCTTTCTCTCTTGCTGTTGGCAGTGTCTTGGGTTCCGACTGCTCATGTGTCACTCTCTGCCTCTCCCTCTCCCCCATGTCCACAGGTGTGTGCATCTTCTCAGTAGAGCAACGAAAGCCCCAATTTATAAAATTGCTAAAAATAAACACTGAAAAATCAAATTAATAAACCCCGAAAATCAGAAGCCCTAATTATATAGCTCACTGACTCAATCAACTAAACTCACGCACTTCCCAGAGTCACTGCTTCCCAACATTTTTATGCATGTGCATTCAAGCATGTTAGAATTAGATTCACAGAAGGAATTATTAGCTCACAGATTAGATGATGGATGTGATTCTTGATTTTTTTAAGTATAAAGATTGATTCAAATTGCATCAATCATCCAGGAATCTGTACCTCTCTAATTGCATTAAAATGCACCGTTTGTAAAAATGCCTCCACTTGCGTGACAGCGAACGTCCTTGAAGGTTTGACATGTCATTGAATTCACGTGGTGTGTCCTTTCGATGATGGAAGCTTATTGTTTTAATGCAGGAAATGTGCAATGTTGAAGAACCATGCGAAGAATTTACTTCACGCCACAGTTTAGAGTGGAAGTTCCTATTCCTTGATCACAGGTAGGTTATGGTTTATCTACTACAATCAGATCTTGCTCTTAGTCATGAAAAAGTTTGTCCTCTAATAATACAATATCTGCTATGATGTGTTTATAGTGGGTGACCTATAAAACCGATAAATTCAGAGAAACGTGAATCAATTAAGACTTAGACCAAAGGAGCAGTGGATTATTTTAATATAGATAAGTATACATTGAATTTAATCAGCAAAGGTAACCCTATCGATGGAACGATTCCTTGAGCTTATGCAGTCAATCAGTCAATGTGAAGCTGTTAGCAACAAAGCTCATCAAATGCTTCAATTGCAAATCAGAAGAAGTAATTCACTGGTGGATCCATGTTTGGAATCCTTTGGGCACCTGACATCCAAAAGAACATTAATAATAATAATCCTTACATTTAATATAGCGCCTTTAATAATAATAATAATAATAATCCTTGCATTTGATATAGCGCTTTTCATGTCGAGAGGACGTCCCAAAGCGCTTCACAGAATATACTGTAAAGTGAATTGACTGTATATTTGAGGGCGAACGCGGCAGCCAATTGCGCACAGCAATGTCCCACAAACAGTCGTAGATTGAAAATGACCAATTTATTATTGTTTTTGGTTTTTGGAGGGATTATTATTAGGCTCTGTGTGGAGTAAGGAAACTTGCCCAAGGTTTCGCCCTCTGCCTGGAATTGAACTCAGGTCTCTCGCTTGCAAAGCGAGTGCTCTAACCACTGAGCTACAGGACTCCACATATTAGGAGTCATATTAGGAGAATGTCTCAAAGCACTTCAAGTAATATACTTTATAAGTGAATTGATAGCTGGATAGATTTCTAGGAGTAATGGGTGATTCTGGGATCAGGACTGCGAGTTATGCCGGGGGAGGGGAGTGGGGCTGAGTGTGTAAAAATTGACAGCCAGGTTTTTGAAGTTATCTTGAATGTGGAAAGTATACTCACATCCCAAGCTCAAACGGGAAGAGGTGGCAGATTATCAAACCTGGCTGATGCTGCAGAATACCTCTGCGAAATTGGCACTAATTCCGCAGTGTCACTCTGACAAGGCTTAAGAAAATGACCTTGGAGAATGACAATGCAACACAATTAGAATGGGAGCTCGGTACTGTCAGTGTAATTAAGAGGATCCCTGCTCCCTGTAGTGACTTGGCTGCCACTGACTGGAAGGGTTTGAGCGGGGGAATGGAATGAACCATTTTTCATCTCTGCTCATTCCAGCTGCAGTCATTTACCTGGAAAGAAAATGTAAGTAACAGATGAAATTATCTTCCAGTTAGAAACACGTGAAAATTGCTGCGAACTATTGCAGTGTTCACGAGCTTTACTTTAAAGTCTACTTTGCAGAAGTTTTTAATCATTGAAAGATAGCCGTTAAAAACATTCCATAAGAAGTGAAGGGGGTGTGTATAATGTGTGCAACATTTGTTAGTGTTTCCTGATCAGGTGCTACCTTGTAACTTTCTTCTTACTCCTTCTCAGGGCACCTCCAATTATAGGCTACTTACCTTTTGAAGTACTGGGAACATCTGGCTATGATTACTATCATGTTGATGACCTAGAGCTTCTAGCAAGCTGCCATGAACACTGTAGGTAACTGTTTGTGACTTTGACAATAAATAGCTGAGGCTTCAATTGAAGTGGTTGTTGGTAGTTAGTAGAGAGCGTGCTACAGATCACTGGGCCAAGAATACTATTGATTTTTCTTCCTTGTATTTGTATTTTCCTTACACAGTTTCTCCCCATGGCAGGGATGTTTAACTCCCACTGGGATTATTTTATGTTAAGATTCTCATGCAGCAACAACAGCAATAATTCTGCACGTATATATAGAACCGTTCAATGAGATGAAAACTTCTCAAAATGCTTTACAAATACTTAGCACAAGCTTGAACCAGGAGGGAGGCAGGCAAAGCAAGGGTTGGTGGCAAGGAGATAGGTTTTTAGATGGGTTTTGAAAGTCAGGATTGAGGGTTGGGGTGAGCCGGTGGGATTTAGGAAGGGAGTTCCAGAGAGGGATGGCAAAGTGGCTGAAAGCTTGCCTGCCGATGGGGCAGAGTGAGCAAGGGCATGAAGCAGGCCTGTATTGGCAGAGTGGAGGGAGTAGCAAGTAATACTATTTGTCTATTTGTACTGGCAGTTTTATTTGTTTAATCAAAGGGGAAATCATCAAATGAATCATCTCAGACCACTCTTATAGGGATTGTTTCAACATCAATAGTGCTACAGGTTGGAAGTGGCTAACTTGCCTGCCCTCTCACTCGGGGAGTGTTGTGTGTTCAGCGACAGGAATATGGAGGAACTATTTTAAAAAAAATAAAAAGAATTTATTTCCTTCACAAAATGTAAAATAATGAACGCCATGGTTTACTGAATTTCATTGTGTTCTTCAAACTTGAGGAGCTGTGGGTAGTTATCTTTGTTGGTTACTAGCTTCTTTCTTTCGTGCAGTGATGCAGTTTGGAAAGGGAAAGTCTTGCTACTATCGTTTTCTGACCAAAGGGCAGCAGTGGATATGGCTCCAAACGCATTACTACATCACCTACCATCAGTGGAACTCCAAGCCTGAGTTTATTGTCTGTACACACACTGTAGTAAGGTACGTCAGCTGTAATGTAGAGATCAAGAAATCTGGGAGCCAAAACACTTTATTATTAATTACAATTAAAATGTCTCATTATTTATAAATAAAAGATTAAGATGAGAGAAGCTTATTGTGCACTGCTGATATGGAAACTACATTATTTAATAATAATAATTCTTGCATTTGACTCAATACTTTGGCTCAATTTCTTGAGTCTAAAACCGGGTATTTGTTCTTACGTAGCTATGCAGAAGTTAGAGCAGACAGACGACGGGAGCTTGGCCTGGAGGAGTCCACCCCTGACATCTTGGCTTCATCATCTCTTAAGGTATTATGACAAGGGTTATTGATTCAGATCGGTACACAATCAAATATGCCAATATTGCTTGAATTGTTTCGCAAGAAACCTTGAGGAACCGTGAGACTTGTGTTGTTTTGGGGGCTTATTAAATGTCGTTCAGAATTATCTGCAGTTAGTTTTCCTTTTCAAAAAAAATTGCAGCTTTCGTACTCCCTGAATTATGACTGTCCTGAAAAATGTGCCATTTAAGGGGTTAATGAAAGGTTTGTCCATCAGATCTGTATCTTATTGGCTCTCTATAAGCTCAGCATTATTTCTTGATGACATGTTTATTTTACACTGTTGTAGGTACCCAATTGCAACTTGGCTATCAGACAATGTGAAAGTGCCCAGGATATTCCCATTGAGAAACTCGTTGATAGTCGACCGTGTTCAGTGTCTTCTCAGAGTTCGCACAAGTCCTCTCATACTGCGCTGTCAGACTCTGCATGTAAGTAACTGAAAGAACCCCCAAAACTACATCTCACGTGCTTTCCACTTGAATATCATTAATAATGTCCATTATTGCACATATAACAAAGATAGAAATAAAAAAATTAGGAGCATGTTCCGTTGGAATAAAGAGGGAGGAAGAAATTTCACCGGGATCTGGATTTATTCCATGTTGCATTTCAGAGTGTACAGAATTTGGCAAATTGGTGTATTCAATCTTAATTTTGAACCTGTTTTTTCTGCAGTGTTTATGTTTAAAATAATTTGCCCAAAGAAGTTTCAAATTTAATAACTCATCAAATTCTTGATGCTCTCAACTGTAGACTCAAGTAGAATTTGTAACCACAAATGCACTGAATAGTCAATATTTCTTATTATTATTTAACCTTACATTAGATCCAAACACTTATTGTTGTAATAAATCAACTATTTCTTTATGTCTCTTCTGGAGGCAAATCCTTAACAACTTGTCCAGTGTGTAATTATCACATTGAATAGTGTATCATTCACCCCTGTTGTTCCACCAATGTTTCGCCCACGAATATATAGTCAATTCACTTTACAGTATATTCTGTGAAGCGCTTTGAGACATCTCGAAAGTGTGATCTATCAAATGCAAGGATTATTATTATCATAGTGCTTCACACCATTCTTCCTCCATTGAGAAATATTGCATCTATCACCTTTTACTGTATTTTAGACCTCAAAGCATAGCAAATGAATGCAATTTAAAAAACACATTGCTAATTGTTTCAGCAACAACATCCAAAGTGCACACGGAAGCAAGCACGACTTCTAGACACTCAGTAAATGTCAGCCTGCAAGACAAATCAGCACAGAGACTGCAACCAGTCAGCAATCAGGTGAGCCCGAGTAAAATAACTTCTACAATCCAAACGCACAACTATGCATACAAGTGAGCTGAAATCCTTCAACGAACGTGGGCAACTAGAAAAGGTTGGATCACTTTGTGGTGATTTATGCCATAAAACCAAGGAAAATTCCATCAAGGAAAAACTGAGCACACACTAACAATTGAACTCAGACTTGCGAGAGTGTTTGAAGGCCACTGTTTTAAACCAAGTCTATTCAGAAAAGGGCCAGTGGATTCTACGCTAACAACATCAGTAACAACTTGCATTTCTGTAATGCCCTTCTCGCAGGGTAGCATCATGGAGTGTGGTGCTATGCTTTCACCCACAAAATATACAGCCAATTCAGTTTACAGTATATTCTGTCTGTGAAGTGTTTTGAGACGTCTCGAAGACGTGTTAAGACGCTATATCAAATGCAAGGATTATTATTCTATGGTGCTGCAGCTCCAGTAAAGCTTCTGGACTTCACTGGACCTGAACTCATCAGTAGTCGAAGGAAAGGAATACAGAGAATATATATAGTGTATATTTGGGGAGAGAAGAGAAAGGAGAGCAAAGTGAAGGATAAGGAGAGAGAGACTGTGCACCTGAGAATGTTATTTTTTTACAGTTCTATAGACACCGGCTGTGCCAGGAAGAGAGGGAAGCAACCACTTTCTATGGTAGGAAAGGGTTCTCCATAACTCCAGTCCCATACCTAACTGCTTCCTTGAACCTCAACCTGGTAAAATCCCTAGCACATGTGCTTGGAACCTTTTGACATAGGGAGGTCACTGCGTTTTATCCCTCACTCTTGGACGCGGGATTATTCCTGGTGCAGCTTCAGCAAACTTCAGTCTTAGCATATTTGGCTACTTTTAGCCCCAAAGTAAAACAAAAAAGGACACAAAAAAGGAAGCCAAAATAGCGCTTTGTGGTAGAATAACACGCTGATATAAAATCCATTACATTTGGACAGTAAATCTTCTGCATTCAGTCTATTTGTATTTAATAAAGTATTTTTTATTTTTACTTTCACAGGCGCTGTTGACAATCCAGCCATCAACCGATGCACTTCGATCACAGCAAATGCCCCAACCAGCGATTTCCAATCAGCAGCCAGTTATGGTGAGTAATTTATCCGATGCAGATGCTGTGTTATAGCAAGCAAGACTTGCTGCTGTTTCATCCACCTGAACACATAGACAAGATCTCAGTTTAACATCTCATCTGAAGGGATAACAGTGCATTTCCCCCCAGGGCAGTACTGGCTCGAAGGCTCAGATTGAGCTCCAAGTCCCGATGTGGAATTTGAATCCATAATCTTCTGACCTGGAAAGTTGGGATGTGGGGTAGTGGGGGTGTGGAGGGCTACCGGATGAGCCAGGCTGACACTTTACCATTGCGGCTGGGAATTTCTGTTCTGTTTGCTGATGACTTTGTTTCTTCTACAGCCCATGTACCAGTGTCCTGAACAGCTAGATGTGATGCACCAGCTAAAAGAACAGCTGGAAGAGAGGACCCGAATCCTACAAGCAAACATAAAGACACAGCAGGAGGAGCTGCACCAGATTAAGGAGCAACTTCAACTTGTGCAAGATTCTAATCTCCAGGTATGAAACCCTTACAGGAAGTAATTTTACCATCCCATCTGCTTCCTAGACCTACCATAAATAGAGAGTAAAGACAACTTTTCTGCGTGAGAAATTAAACCTGAATGGGACGCCTTTATTATTTTTAAAAATGGTTGTTTTCACCCCATGTAGTTCTAGCTCCACTGTTTTCCTCCATGTTATCAGACAGTCCATGTTAAGCATATCCAGAATCTCCTCGTACAAATAGAACAAGTTGATGTCTATGGTTCTGAAGAATAATAACTATAGTTTGAAATATGTTTTGCATAATTTATATGGCACACACAAACAGTAGTGTAGGTCAGACTGTTCACATTCTTGTGGTTTCTATTTGTGCCCTTACAGATGTTGCTTCAACAACCAATTTCACTTGGAATTAATGCTATGGAACATCAAGATGAAGGACAGCAGCAACAGCAGCAACAACCACAGCAACCACCGGGAATTATCATGCAAACTCCCCACCTGACTACCAAGCAGATGCAAGGTCTGGTGGGTGCTGAAGTATGTGCTCAGCATCTGTCATCATCCCAACAACTCCTCAGGGAACCAAATGTAAAACCAAGCCAGGTAATGGTTTTGCTGCATTGGTCATATATGTGGGACGTCCTTGTCATTTAGACTTGTAACTGATATCTGGCAAAGTAAGTTTTCGCTCACAAAACACAGTTAGTACACTTTACAGTGTGTCCTGTGAAGCACTTTGAGACGTCTCGACGACGTGATAAGGCGCTTTATCAACTGCAAGGATTATTATTATTTAATCAATATTTACCGTAGGTCAGATTTACTTTAAAGGGGAAATAAACTCTTCAAGAATATTTGCTCAAAGTACTCAGTCAGGTGAGAATTTTGTTGTCGGCTAAATTAAATCTTTTATGAGCAAGTTTGTACTGATATAATAAAATAGGGTGGGAAAGGTGGGCATGAAGTTAAATTGAGGTGGTGACTACTACTGTTTTGCCTCAATTTACTTGTCTGGGAAAACCATCAGGGCCAATGACAAATCGATGAGCAATATATTGTCCACTTCTCAGCAGAGGTTAGACATCAGACTCACATGTATGGATCTACAGGCTCATCAATGTGACGTGTCAATGGGACTGGTGATTTCATTCAGTATTGCATGATGTTAGTGACTGCTTATAGACCTGAAAAGAAGTTGTCAGGTTGTATCAAGTTAAGGCTCACTGTGGAGCCTTCTGAGGATTTACTGCTTGGTCAATGTTTCCGTAGGTTCAACAGCAATTTGTGAAAGGAAATAATCTTCAACAAACCAGCCTGCAAATCCAATCACATAATAGTCTGGCAGCACCACTCTTCAGCAACCCCATGATGTTTTCTCAGGCTCCTCCAGTGACATTTCCTGCTCCACTGGCCTCCAATGTCAATCAGAATCAGGCAACTACAGATTATGGACCTGACCGACAACTGAGGTACAATTATTGTGGCGAGTATCAGTTTTTACATTGCTCCAAAACCCAGAAAAGATAAATTGAGTCCAGTCATTTCAGTGCTGTACGGCTAACTGTGCTGCTATCCAAATTGGATCTGGAGAGATCAAGCGTAATAGAACTTCAGATATCAGTTAGCAACGCTTTTCAGTAGTTGCTGATAAGCTTTCGGAATATGTCAAGCCTCTGAAATTTACTCAAATTGATAATCTCTTATTCACTCATATTCAGGCATATGATGACAGTGCCCTAATGTGTGGGTAGATGCCTGAATCAATTTTTTTCTGGAAAGTACTTGCAAATGCCTTTTCTCCATTCCGATTTTTCATCTATTGAGCAAAGTAGCAAATAAGGGGATGAGTCACCATTGCTAGATACTTCTTGGAACCATGACTGTCAACAAACAAGTTGTGAATAACATTGTTTTATAACATCAAATAAAGTCCAGTCCTTTACTTCACTGACATCTATTATTTTTTTGTATATTTATAAAACAGATAAATAAGTGACGATACCATAGCAAATGAAAATATTGTCTGCAAGTAGGTGTGAGCGGTTTTAATATGAGTTATTTCCTTCAGATTATTTCTCAATCAACCCATCCATTCCGTAATGCCAAGTAGCAGTGGAAATGAGCAACCATTCCAGAACAACTCAGCAAGACAGCAAGCCAAGTATGTATCCCTGTGCGTCGATCCTGGACAGTAATATACAATATCTCTGAGCTCTGCCTGAACTTTGTACCTTTCCCCACAAAGTATAGTCATTTCATTTTACACTATATTCCTTGAAGCGCTTTGAGACGTCTTGAAGACGTGATAAGGCGCTGTATTAAATGCAAGGATTACTGTTATTATTACCTGAAGTGTGATGCACATTGCATCAAAGAGACACCAAATGATAGCGATCTTGACAAATTGAGGCAGGTTACCCGTCGCTGTACCCTGTTACTGCCTTTAAGAATACCCGTGTTTGACATTTGTTGTCAGACTGAGATATAAGTAAGTGCATAAAGCCTTGAAAGGAAATGCGTTGCCCGAGGTAAGTGAGTAGGATGATGATCTTTGACCGACAGAAAAATGGACACATCTCAACATTGTATCTGAAGGGTGATGTACATTGAATCAAGGGACTTCAAATGATAGCGAATATTGTGGAAGGGAACACCATCTGCTCTATCCTGCGTTGCGGTAACTGCCATTTAGAATACTTGTATGGCTCAATCATTAGTCACTGTCCAGCGTGAAACTAGAACATACAGACCAAGATCTGGTCTGTGCTGAGATAGATGATCACAACTGGAACAGCAGCTGAGATGGCTGCAAATGGACTGAGCAACCTTGGGCTCGTTGGAGACCGACCGAGACGATCAACCAGGGCTCGTTCCTCACATTCATGGATTAAAATTTAGTATCTGTAAAGAATGGGCACAAATATACCTATTATTGCATTTGACGGCTCTAAGGTTGAGAATGTAAAGAAAAGCTGTACAGTGAAAAATACCTTTGTCACTCTTCACCGCGGGAAGATGGCTGATGCCAAGTTTGTGTACTTCCCTCCCCCCCTCTGCCCACAGTCTCATGTGTGGCACAATTCCAGCACCTTTTCATATATTTTTCTTCTTCACTCATCAGTCTGGAAATAATCTATCACCCGCAGATGATCGTTGACCAGACCTTTTGTAGAACACTCGATCAGATTAGACCAATTAGGTAAAAATTACTTCCGCATCTATTTAATTATATGTGCCGCATATTGTTAGGCAAATTTATGTGGTGCTATTTGTGATCTTGTGTTTTCAGATATATTCAGGATCAACAGATGCTGACAGCACTAACAATGCAACCGATAAGCTGTAGCGCAGTCATTGTCCCTTCTCCGGATTCTGTGACGATCCCACATCAAGGCTTCTCCGCCCACCAGCAGTCCTCGATCCAACAGCAGCATTCCATGCAGCTTCAACAACAGCATCACTACCTTCAGGTAACCGCAGACTCCATGGCAATAGATATGTTACCGTTTTGTCAAATCTTACTTTGAATTGCTCTGCCCAGCGCTGTATATCCTGGCAAAAGTAGTAACCAAGGCAGTAAAGTAGCTTGATGGGAGCTCATGGCAGCTGTATTTGCTTGCAACTCACTTTATCACCTGTCTACCGCAGGTCAGAGAAGTGAATGGAAAATGTTGGTGATTTCTATATCATCTTGCACTTTTGTCTTCCCTGTATCAATGCTAAAGGGAGGTTGATATTGATATTGTCAGAAACACAATCAATAACTCACTGCAACAAGTATTTTTAAGGAACAACATAGTACCTGTATTTGGACGACTATTTCTATAAATTTAACTATATGTAGATTTTAACCGGTTACACCACTCAATTACACATTATAAGAATTGGTGATATTAAAGGGCTAACGATAAAATTATAAATTATTTGAAAAGCAATTAGCCGTCTAAAATAATGCATGGAATTTGGGGGTAGCAAAGTGAATTGATTTTTATTAAAAAGTTGGATTGCAATGTAAAATTCAAGAGCCAAACAGGATAAAATGTTTACTTTTAAAAACAAATTTGCAACATATGAAAAATGCTAAGTTTAGCTGCTCTGATGGGAGTGGCATAAAACTCAAATGGATTCACATTTATAACTTACTTTTTATTTCTTTGTTTAGCAAGTGCCACCAAGTGGAGCAATGCAAGGAAGCCAGTCACAGTCTCTTTTCCTTCCACCTCCTTCACCACAGCGCAGTACTATGGGGTACCTCTCGCAACATCAAGCACGTCACACACAAAACCGAACCAGCAGCATCTCAGACTTAGCCAATGTTCAGCTGCCCCGGTAGCCAGGAAAGTGCAACGATTCGGCACTGCATCGAGAACAGTCATATGGCAAATACCTCGATGGTAGAATTGTGAAAGGTTGTGGGGTGGTGAGCAGGAGTTGAGTGAAGAGTTGGTAAACCCACATGTGGGATGGGTACAGATTTCACTACCTCCTGGAATCTACCACAGCAGCTCTCAGCCCTGAAGAGAAGATTGGACTCTGAGGAGAACAGCCTGCAGTTTTTAATGAAAATAAGCCACTTTCTTAAGACCAAATTTCATCCAGATTCATTTCCACGTCTAATCTGTTTGTTAGAGAAACTTGAACAGCCATTTTGGTTTGTCATTCATACAAATGTAATTGTTTTAAAATCCCCTTCCACTCCTAAATGTGAATTTCATACACATGTCTTTTGCCAAGCACTAGCTGGAATCATGAAAACAATTGGTATGTTCAAGTGTTGTAACTTTTAAATGCAGATTTCGATAGGATTCTTTAGCTAACTCAAAGATGATTTTATTTTCTCCCCCACCCACATGAAATTGACTGCAACTAACTGTCAAAACATTAACTAATCTTAAAGACTGAATTACTGGTACAATACCTAGTAAAAGTGACCTTGTTAAAAGCTGTGTTAACTGTGCAGTTGGCTTTGTCAGGTATTGCATTACATAGGCTGTGATTTGTTGATACTAATCATTGCCATTGGCAGGATGTTGTAAAGCCATTTTGGATTCTGCTTTAGTAATTTATGAGTAGGTGCACTCAAAGTAGCATTTTAAGATAAATGCACTGTAAACATTGTGGTAAAGATTTTCCTCATTTAAAATAGCACATTTTATTTTTAAAATAGTTTTACTTTTTTTAATTTAAATCTGACAGCCACTTATAAAATGTACATTGGTTAAGAACCAAAAAATTCACTGTGGAACCCAAGAATACTCTTTACCAGCGTACTGTACACTGTGTAAAACACTAACCCTGTTTAGTGCTTTTTTATATATTATATATATATATATATGACAACTGACCCAGGATCAAATACTGATTTTGAAAGTGGTTTTACATTCTCAGGAACTGAAAATCCAAATATTAAGAAATGCCTGCACAACTAAACAGATGAGCATTCTGCTGTCTGTTAGTGAACACAGAATTAAGAAATGAAATTGAGTATTGAACCTGCAGCTAAACATAGATCTTATTGTACAATGATGAGCTCAGAAGGTATGTATATGTCCATGATTTCTTAAGATCGTACAAAATGGTGACATGTCCCAGTATAAACTGCACTCTCTGCCACTTTTAATATTTGCTGGGACCAGACATCAGGAAAATTTACTTTTAGCAAATGAATACTGCAATTGCACAATACTTGTGAAATTTCTCTCGCTGCTTTCTAGGTTTAGGCACTTTAAAGATGTTTGTTTGTCATGGGAGTTCTGTTCAAGTGCACATTGTTGTCAAGATTGCTAAATTTACTGGAATTTCTCCTGCCTGAACAGCCAGACTATTATTCGTTGGATGGTAAGTTTACCAAGAAACTCTCACCAAATTATTCTGCACTCGACCAATGCATCTCAGCTCTATAATCCTCCATTGACAATCATGGTTCCCCCCACCCAGAGTTTATCAAAATTGTTTCCCCCCTCAGACAATCCTGTGTATTAAATAAACAATGTTGGTACTTTAATCTATTGATCAGCTGCATCTTCAACAAATGTCTATATGTCAATGTATTTGCCCCTTCGCTTTTAATCGTGCACTGGTTTTGTACAATCCCTGTGACTGTCGCATTGTATGTGTGAGATTGTTATTTTGTTGAACTGGTATAGATATGATTTTTAAGGTTATAAAGGTAGAGTACAATTCGATTGTATTCCACAGAATGTTTATATAAAATTGTTGCACCCAACTGTGTGCAGGAATGAAGAAAAGAGAATATAATATATATTGATAGAGCCCCAAAGGAACACATTGCTTGCCCTAGTCTATTTGACCTATCCTTTTACGTTTACTCATAACCATTCTGCTTGTGGCAGTTTGTTATGTTACTTTTTAATTTGGACTTGCATTTCTGTAAGAAAAGGTTTCTGTGACATCAAATTGTTTAGGTATTTTCACCTACAGAAGTGAGAATTCTTTGCACTTTTGCATTATTGTTTGTTGAATCATAGGGCCAGCTATTTTGAACAAACAATGTTAATGTAGATATTGTAATATATTAAATTCTGTATAAAAATCCTTAGAATAACTACAAATTAGTTCTATTTTATATGATGTAACAAGTCATTTTAAATTTATGAATGTTCCTATGAAATAAGAATTTTATTACAGAAAAAGTGTCTTATGGGGAGGGTTGGGTGGTTTGTGTCTTTTATGTGAATAAATTATCTTTGCACAACTATCAAACTTTCCTCTCCAGGATGGCTTCTACTTTCTGTACAGATTACAACAGAGAAGACCAAAGGCACTTTCAATTTAAAAACGTAATAGTATACATCCTCCAGTATCTCAACCTTAAAAGGGATTATAATACATTTAACAACATAAAGGTAAAAGTGCAGAGAATTGGGTTTAGAACAGTTAGCTAAATGCAACAATTTAAATAATCTAGGACTTGTTTTATATATCACACATTTAAAAATCGAACCTGTTTTCACAAGAAGCAATGACAAGCTGTAAAAGTATGCACTGGAACTGAAAATATTTATTTTGAAGATGTCTTAGATGGGGGCTGAAAGAAGAGATCAGATAGAAGAAAATGCAATATAAACAACAGGAAGGACACACACAAGTTGACTTTTTTTTAAAAAAAACACACTAAGTGCCTCAGTGTTTGGCACAAGAAACTTTCAACTCAATATTTACAGCCAAAATTTGTAAATATCTTTACTCTAATTAATATTTCAAGTGCAAGTCTGCTGTATATTAGTTATTTCCTATACATGATTGCTAAATGAACATTTCCTGTGAAACTTGACTATATATACCCATATATATTTTTAGCAATCTTACTTTAATGCTATTTACTGAAATAGTTAATTGCTGAAATAGTTAATTTGGACATTTTTGTATTATTAAGTTTCAAGATAATGCAGGTACATTTTATACTTTAAGCAATATACGTTTTGTAGTGCAGTTACTGACATCTTGCATCAAGAATTCTGTACCTTTTATACAAGTTCCCATTCTTGGGTACACTAATTGCCATGGACATATCCTTGAAGCAGAAATAAATCAATACAATACAACAATTTGGAAGTATATGAACAGAATATCTACACACCCTTTAAAAGCACATTATGCATTTTTTTTAAGATTCCCTTTTGTTGAATTATATATGGTTTGGTTTAATCAGTACTATTGAAAAAACTTCATTAGTACATATAAATCTATTCTTCAGACTACAAAATACAAGAAAAATATTACATTAATCTCATAGCAAAAGGAGAGCATTCCAACAGCACCCTCCAGTGGATGGCAATGGCATCCCACTTAGTTCAAAGTAACAGATGCTCATTTGATAAATTCTACTACAGAGAAAGGTTGTCTGGTCTGACATCTGAAGAACTCACTTCAAAATCAGTAACATAGGTGGCATTCTATTCTGCATGGGTCAGTATTTTTTTCACCACCGCATTCAAAATTGTTGAACCTTCCTGCTACCCCCCAAAACAAATCAACCTTCATTGCAAGAATGACAACAATCGTTTTGCAGCAAAGAATTATTTCACCTAAAAGCTGACTGAGATCAGACTACACATTTTACACGTCACTCGCCAAGGTTCCAGCTGGCACTCAGTTTATTGTACAATCAAAAAAATATTGGCATAAACTTGTAAAGAAGACCACAGGCTACTCTTTACATTGGGAGTTGGCCAATTTTACTTTTCAGTTGAACAGCTTTAGCTTTTTCTATTTTTACCTTCGTGTCCACAGGTTTCTCAAAAAACTCGACCAAAACTGGTTCATTTAGTAGAGAGGCCAATATCTGTTCAAAGGCAAAGGTCCATTCTGTTTCGCTTTGAGCTTCTGTGGGAGTATCTTCCTCCTTTGGCAACACACTGCTCTCCTGAAAGTTGTCACCACATTGCTGGTCTTGGTTTTTATCTGATTTAGTTTTACTGGGAGAGCTCGGGTTGTTCAGCCTTCTGCCTACTTCTTCCATTCTCAATAAGAGACCAGTGACTGTTGCCACAGCTCGATAGAGTGCCTCCTCATTGGGATCTCCGTGGAACAGGTTGTATAACGTTTTAGAGAACTGAATGAATTGTGTCTAAGGAGTTAAAAAGTTAAATTGGTCAGTTTGAAAAATCTTTAAAAATACTATAAGCATTATTACATATGGCCCCTGCTAAGAACTACTGTTGAGGTCTTAAGAACTAGCTTTTTATTTTGGAATAAAAATACTAATAAACTTCACTGGAACCACTACTCAATTCCCAATGCTTTCCCCGTACTCTTCTTACATTCTTTCTCATCAAATTTCTTTCTTATCAAATAGATAATTATTTGGGGAGGACAATTTTGCAGGGCTATGGCCACCTTCTGTGCTGTGTAATTCTATGAAATATTTTATCAAATTCTCTTTTAAATATTAGTTTCAGTTCATTTAACTATGTACCAATCTGTAACAGACCCATTATAAAAGAAACACAATTGGATGGTGTCAATTCCAAAGAACATGGTTGGTACACTCTGAGTCTACGTTCATATTCTCACCTGATGTATCCTTGGCAAGTCTCGAATATTTTCTTCTTTCCGCAGCAGCTCGTCTTGCCACTGTTTCAAATAAGACTGGACATCAACTTTCCCTTTGCCACTTCCTCCTGATTCAAACAAATGAGAAAACAACCACTAAAAATATAATAAGAATCATGCAACCTCATTCAATAAAGCGTGCATGAAGCTTGAATGTCCTGAGTATGTTCTCTTGATATATGAATCGCATTTGATGCACAAGGATTGATTTCCATATACATCTATTTATACACACACGTACACGCAGATACAAATGCAATTCTATGAAATATTTGAAATGAGAAGCTACCTGAAAGCTAATTTGTAAAAACCTTTCAGGTTTACACACCTTCTGGACTTGTAGCTTGATCTTGTATAGGAATAGAATGTAATAACACTAAAAGTGGAAGAACAGAGAATAAAGCAAATCTCATACAACCAACACCTTGACCATTAAATCCCATTGGTTTTTGTTCACTAAATAGGATTCTGAGCGAACACAAATTGTATCAGTAAAGTTTTTTTTGCATCTTTTCTCTCATCCACTCCCCACACCAGTTATTACATTACTGTTCTTCACAAAATGGTGGACATCAACTTGCTTCATGTAATTTTAGTTTACCCACGAGGAACTGTAATGTATATTTTTCTCCAACTGAGTAGCAGATGGTTGCAAATCTCAACTACAAAGGCTTGTTTGGGACTTGAATCGAATGTTTTAATTTTTAGCTGCCAACTCGCACTTACAAACACTTGGGTCACAAACTTCTGTTAGAATTCTTTGTTTGAAGATGAAATTTCCAACTTTAATTCCAGCTTGCAAAAAGATAAGAGACAACACATTTAAACTAGGTCACACAACACTTGTGGCCAGGTATTCCAAAGATTCTCTCAGTTGTCAACACTTTGACTCAGTTAAAAGAACAGCTTGGACAGGAGATCTCCATTTGGTAGCTTCCCCAGAGAAACACAGGGATCAAATCCGGTTGTTCATCCACTAACACACTATAAGAAGAAATCAGTACAAACCTTTGAACTGATCACCATGTGTCATTTCCGTGCTAGCAAGTTGTGAGTGTTTTGAAGCTCCAGAATTTGTACTTTGATCTTCAGTAACTTCTGTAAGCAAAGACCAACAAAAAGTCAATAAGCAGTTATTAAACAGGTCACAAAAACTACATACTGAACCTTGGATCTATTTAATAAATAATCCCACCATTCTGTGAATAATGTATTAAACTTCAGTTTCACAATATCCAAATGCATCATTTTTAATTTATTTACCTGGAAGAATATGCATTTTAAAAAGTAGCTTCAGTTTGTCAGTAAAACTTCCATTGCACATCACATCTGCAAACCAAAGGTACAAAATTAGTAAATTAACACCCCAAATCCTTCAAGATTGAAAAAAAAAGAAAATACAGCACAGAATATCTGAAGACATTAGGTGGTTCTTTCCATTTTATGCAAAAACATTGAAGTGAAGGTATTCTTTGTGCATTCAAATCAGTGCAACAAATTAAATGTTGAGTGGAATTAATAAACCCTCCAAGAAGGAACAGTCATTTGCATAGAAAGTCTTCCGAATGATAACAGGTACAATTCACTACCAAGATATTTCACAAAATTCTATGCAAGTGCTGTCCTTATTTTCATTTAGTGTTAACCCTTCACCAAAACAAAACTTCTAAAAGGCTTGCGTAGCAGTTTGCCTTGTACCTGAATGGGCATTAGAGCAATAAACATTTGACTCTACTCTTCGGATCGGTTTAAAAAGTGTATGTTAAAATCACATCAAAGACATTATAATAATAATATCCAAGAATTCACCCAAGACGTCACAATGAACAACAGATGGAAATGTGAAGGACCATGAAGTCACATCAACGCCACAGCTACTGCTCAATGCATCAATTTAGACTCCCTCACATTTAAAATTTAGATCTTATTTAATTTATTTAGTCAACACATGGTATAAAACAGAATCCACAGGGTACAATCTCACTCACAACGTCAGCACTCCCCGAGTTTTCAGGCCAACACATGCAGGATATAAATTACGTCAACTGCCTTCTTCATCACATTGTCTCGATTTATCCAGATCAGAACATCAGCAGGTTATTGAGGAAGTTTGGTTTCAATTCTGTATCAATCTCCTTTACAAGTGATGCTTTTCATTTTAGTTATGCATAATAACATAATAAACCAGGAAGGACAATGCTTTGTAGCAAAATAAAGAGACTTTCTATTCCACAACTGAACCGTAAAGCTTTTGGCATAACTAAATTACTGTATATTTTCATAGCAACCAGATTTGTGGGTTTCACCTTTGCAGACTGCTAGGTAACAGTAGATCAAACTCCTCTGACTTTTGTTAAATGGTAAACACTATTCAACATCTCATTTCAGGCTTACGCTCCATCCCCAGTCATTTTCTAATTTAGTAAACTACATTCTCTCTTCTCCCTGTTGCTAAGCTGTGTAGCTAGCTTATCAAACCTTGAGCACAGAACACCAGAATTAAAAATGAATTTGGCTTTGTTGCTGCATTTTATGAAAAATTCTCATAAAACAACCTCTATGATGTGACAACTTTCTGCCCCTGTTCTCTGGAACTCTGTCCTGATGCCCTTTCTGACTCCTTAGCAACAAACCCTTGGAGGACATCCGCATAAAATAACTGCTGTAAAGCATTCAGCACAGGTATTGCCTTTTCATGTTATACATCAGATAATTTTTTAAAAAAGCAGCACAGACTTGAAATCAAAATGTTTTACCCAGAAGACATGAAAACTCTTTGAAATTGATGAGATGGTAAGAATTTTCAACCAGATGTTGGAAGCTCCACATTGCTAATGAATCTGCATTGGCAGAGTATGACCACGGACTCAGGAGCCTGAACAATGCACAATACTGCTGGCGGTCAATTTGGTATTGCTCTAGATACGGCAGGCTGGGTTTATGGTGCTTGAGTGTCACACTGTTTGATTTCCAGTAACAACTTAAGAAATGTTCTTTCTACACAAGAAAAAGAATATATGGTTAGAAGCGTTTAGGCACTTGTATCAAATTTGCTAATTGCTGCAGTTTTTGTAGAACAAAACTTGAGACCAAACACATTTGAAGGAACTAGAATCCAAATAATTATGTTTCACATTTGCTCAATTCTTTGATCTTTTTACAAAAGTACATAAAAGCCTGCAACACACTTAGAATATTCTTAATTACACAAATGACACTTAGAACCGTGAAATCCAAAATAATGTTGTATTTGACTGTGGCCACTTTTAAAAATATTTTTTTTTAAAAGAAAATTATCACCATCTCCCCCAAAATTAGTCAATATGATTTAAACACAGGCAAAATATAGGAACAGAACATGATAATAATCCTTGCATTTGGTATAGCATCTAATGATGTTGGAACAAAATCTCAAAAGAGCTTCACAAGATTTACTGACCATTAAATGTGCACACTGAAAATTACATGTTACATCTGGAATAGACTGTATGCCTTCAATTTTACAGTTATCCTTAAGCTGCTGTTTATTAGTCAATTTCTATATTTTCCAATTCGAGGAAATGGCTCGACAGAAGGTGTCATCTATCATTGCTGAGCGTTAGCAGATTCTGCAATAGCTTCCAGGTGCCCACTTTGCTGACATTTCTGCTTTCTTTTGTTTAACAGTGATTGAAGGATGACTGAAACTAAAGAATTCTTCGAAGTGCTTTCTTCCTTCCTTCTTCCTCTCCACCAAGTTATTTTAATTTTTAAAAGACCCTCCTTTAAGAGCAGCTGATAAAGATATTCTGCCTAATTAAAATAGTCTCTTTTGTACCCGACTGATCTTGTGCGTGCATTGAAATGTTGTTAAATGTCAGTTCCCGCTGCTCTGCCATATGTGAGTAATATTCCAATGTGGCTTGTAGAGAGAAAGAAAATTACCATTTCAATGCTGCATGTGCTGAGATTTTGTGCAAGTTTGAATGACCCACTTTAAAAACATTAAAATAAAAAAATTGAATTTGGAGGCATTTACCTTTTTGGTAGGAAAATAAAGCTCTTTGCAACTTCATATCAGCTACATTTTGTTACCTCCCATCAATATTAGACTCAAGTGATGCCTCCCGGTAGAAAAACCTACTTAGGTGAATGACAAGATTTTTTTTCCTATTAAATTGAAACTTTTGGACTGGAATGATATCAGATATTGCATTCCTACAGTGGATTTTAACATTAAAGGAGAGTCTGATAATACTTCGGATAATATCTGGTCTAGCAAGAGGAGATACATTAAATGGATTTAATTTTGCAATCATTTGAAGGATTAAAATCACTGTTGAATATTCATTTCGACATTCATAAGAAAATGGAAATTTATGAATTTTTACCTTGAACAGATCAAAGAGGTCTTCCAGTTCTTTTGTGCTGAACCTCACTTCCTGTGACACAACTCGCAGCTAAAATAGACATTTACAATGGCATTAAACAGCATTAAAATACAGACCATAACTGAGTATCTTGTGACATGTGTCTAAATCATGTGGGTAGAGACAAAGAACATTTTTGTTGTCAGCAGAATGACAAAGATGCACTTGTCATTGGCTGACAAATAAATGTAGGCAGATAAGCGTTACAGCGGAGCTAGGGAAAAAAAATCACCGGTCTCTAAAACCTTCTTGGATTAGCATTCTGAAACACAAGTTCAAAGCTGAAAAACATCTCGAGTTTGGTATCCAATAGTGGGTGGCGAATGATTTAATGATCCCCACACACATGCTTCCATCAAACAGCAACAGATAACTCACCACGTTCTGTTTTGTAGTGTCTTCCAGAGTCTGAATCACATAGAGCCTGTTCCTACGTCGCATACTCTCAACCTCCACTGTTCGAATGTCGCCATATTTCTGCCAGTCCAGAATAAGAAAACTCAGCATGAAAAGCTGCACTGCCCTTCTACATTCACACACCAAGTTATAAACCATACATATTCTAGAAAAATGTTTTACTTCTGAAAAATTAAATTTGGATTTTTATTCTGGCATTTACAGGGTGCTAAATAATCTTTACGATGACCTTTGAGCAGCCATTTCAAATTAGGATCAAAGATAATTTGTGAACAGCTGTGTTGCTTCTGGGAAATTCTACATGACAAAACACCACCATTACTTCAATATTTGTCATTTATATTACAAATCACTGATAGATGTGTACAAGGCTGCTTCACAAGATTTTATTCTAGTGTATAATGACTGTATTTTGTAAGTGAGTGCTGCAGCCAATTTGCACACTGCACACAGTAATGTTCCACAGCCAACCATGAAGTGAATGACCATTTTATTTAATTTGAAGGATTAATTTCAGAAGAAATTTCCTTCTCTTTTAGAATAATGTTGTGGGATCTGTAAGGTCCACATGAGCGTGCAGAAACAACCTCATGTTTAACATCTCATCTAAAGAACAGCACCTCCAGCCTTGCAACACATTGCAAGAAGGGTGTTAGTGCCAAGAATTAGTTCAAAGTCCTCATACGAGGCTTAAACGTGCAAGCTTCTGACTCATTGGCAAGAGTGTTACCAACTGAGCCAGACCTGATAGCATCTGTGGAAAGGGTAGAAATGCTGCAAATAAACCACATTCCCTCTCCCTTGGCCAGATGGAGTTTCTTTCAGATTTGATTTTAAATTCACAAATAGCGATATTCAAACAAAATAATTTGTTAAAATAAAACAACTTTTCACAAGCTTATAAAATGGTTTCATTTCAGGCTGATGGGACAAGGCATTTACACAACAGGACCACAGCTCAGCATACATGACCAACCTCGTAGGATTCTCTGATGAGCTCAGTTATGTCCACCTTTGGGTGAGGATGCTGGTTGTCGCTGGCAATTGGGGGTTGATGAGCCATTGGTGGTAAAGGGCTGTCTTTGTTAGTAACATTATCAAAAAATCTAAAAAGAAATGTAAGGCTTTAAAAGTATGGAAAATATTACAGAAAATGTTTTTCTTAAACGTAATGGGGACTCAACATTAGACCATGAGATATCAGGGTTACACAGAAGGGCACAGCTTTTTTAATCAAAATGTGTTAACAATTAAAAAGAAATCTATGGAATAACACAATTGCACAGATAGATTTAATAATAATCTTTGCACTTGATACGGAGCCTTATCACGTCTTCGAGACGTCTCAAAGTTACTATAACTTGTTAGAGTAGTCACACATTTTACAATTGATGGAGAACTTCCAGTAGTTGAATACCTTTCAACAGATACCTTAATTCTGGCTTACTCAGGTGATTAACCATTTAGAAATAGCCCATGTAGTGAGCCTGAAATAGTGCTGTACTCTCCTTTGAAATATTTTAAAGAAAATCTGTTAGCACACTTTTCTGATTTATACTAAGACCCAGTACAGGTTTTGCTGGTGATACATCTCCTGGTGCAATGTCTTTCAAGCCTTTTATAAACAACCTACAGATGGCGACAGTGGACCAGTGAAGAGGCTGCTTCTGATCTTTTCTGCATCATGAGGAAAAATCCAGCCTTTGTTCAGTACCTTCCCGACCATCATTGGAAACTAACAATTTAGGGAAAACAATCTCTGGGATTGCACACACTGTTATTGCAGGGCACTATCCTACCGCACTGATGCTTCAATGGTTATGAAAGCAAACAAGTGGAAATATTTTCTGAAATTTTCAGAAATAGTTTCAGGGGAGGGAGGTGAAGAAAACTCAGGTTCAAATCTTTAATGACTCAAGAGGATTTGTTTCAGCAATATCATTTTGGGGATTATAAAACAACAGAATAACATTTGAAGAATTAAACTGTCGTACTTAATATACTCAATAGATGAGAAAAATGATTGACACCAAAATCTCTTGATTTACAATTTACAACACTAGAATCATACAACGCAGAAGGCCATTGGACTCATTGTGCATGTGCCGGCTCTTTGAAACAGCTATCCAATTAGTCACACTTTTTTCCTTTTCAAATACCTGTCCAGTTCCCTTTTCCTAAAGTAGATGTCTACACCAACAAAAATTCAAACAACTGCATGATATCCAGAATAATAAAATAATGAAACTCAAAATCCTTACTTGTTTAAAATGGTCACCGCTTCCGCATCATCTTTGCAGAGAAGCAGCTTGTCCATGTTATAGTCTAAAACCACGAGGCCAAGTTGCAAGACAGCCTTTATGCCATCATAGAAGAAACAGTCAACCACGTTCACCGCACTCTCAATGGGCATCACAGAAATAAACACAGTGAGAAACCACGATAGGGAAACCGATGAAAAAAAGGTCATGTCTGTCATGTGATCAGTCAACTGGGGAAGCTGATCTCTGATAAGCTCTTCAAAAACTGCCTGATCCACCAAAGCACCTGTTAAAATAGTAAAAGAACGCTTTAGCTAGGTACAATCCAGGAATAGAGAACACACGCACAAAATGCAAATTCAAAATCGAAAATGTTCCAATTCTTATCCCAAGCACATTCTTTGTTTCATGATTATTAGTGTGATTAAACAAAATTAAGTTATTCAATGGAGCATTAAAAAAACAGAAACAATATCAAAGCTTAACTTGAGGAATAATTAACCAGCAAGCCTTGAATTATCTACTGTCAAGCAGTTACTACAAATCTTCTGAATCCAACTGAATTGCAAACATGTAAATGAGATTACTTTAAATCATTTAGTTAGGATTTAAATTGTTATTCAACCTCTTGGTAATGGAAGTCAACTTTCACTCAAAAACACAACTTGATTATTAGCAAGAATTGTCAGGGGAATACTTCATTTCATAGCAAATTCAACCAGCGTTTGAAGGAAATTTAATTTTAGTTAAGGATTTCTCACAAGGGCAATGCAGTAATGCAGTAATTTGACAGATCCTTAAAAACAAGTCATTTTTGGTCCATTAACCACCTTTGAATTCACTGAAACACTGCTTTCATAAAAATGCAGTAGAACCTTGTGTACACAAACTCTTACACTTATCCTGAAATCTAGAACTGTTGCAAAATTATATTCCAAATAGTCAGATTGAGAAACCACCCATCTGTTAATATTTCTCAGCAAGTTATTTTTGTTCCATGTTTTCTGTGCTGTGTGATTCAGCACATGCAAGTTATCTTTGAGATTAAAACTAGACAGAACTATAGAAGAGGGTTCAACCGCCTTCTTGTTCAACTGAGGAATGTGGGAGGAGCTGAATGGGTAAGTTTGATGTGCTGACAGGTTATTTTCATTTTTTGTTTTCTATATTTCAAATGTGCACAATCAAGTGAATGACATCAGGCTCCGTGACTTACAGTTCTTACCTTTGGGCAATTACACATTAAGGAATTCTGAATACAATTAAAATGCACACTTTGATATTTAATGAAAACTGCTGGTCAAGCATGTGTTCATTCAGTTAGGTTTTGAAGTGTTTTTCAGTTCTGTGAAGTGGGAGGGGGAAAGAGAGAGAAGAAAAGGAACGGGGCAGAAAAGTTTCTCATTTTAAAGTATGTACACAGAGAACTATTCTTCACCCATCCAGCAGTACCCAACACACTTCTGCAATGTTTTAATATATATATACTGTTGCACTGTGCAATAATACAGTACTTTTGAAAACTGTGAGGAATACTTTTGGTACCTCATGGATTCTGGCATCCATTATGGAGAAAGGTCTGAGTGGAGCCCAATTTACTTTGAAACAAAATTAAACAGAATAAGTGCAAGTGGAGAACAAATCATATTGTTTGCGCACCTGATTGCAACAAATAAATATATTCCTCATGAAGATTACATATTTACTGTCAAAAGATTTACCAATTATTCGCTGATTGAAGTAATCTGGGAGCATTCTCTCACACACAGACACGAGCAACCAGAAAGCCTCTTCTTCCTTAGCATATAGCAGCAGAACAGATGTCAAAATATTCATTGCCTAGGATAGTAAAGGCTAATGTTATTCAGTGACACATTGCATTGATTACAATTATCAAAATGTCATATATAAAACCTGCAAAAAAAATTGAATCTATGTAAAATAGGTCTTTCAAGACACTTTAGTTATTAAATAACAAGATACGTTCAAATGAAGAAGGCCCTTCGACCCATTTTATCTCAGTCCTCTAAAATACTCACTCTTGGTCCTCCCATTACAGAATCGAGCTGTTGATACTTCATTTTTACTTCAGTATTAAAATCAACTTAAATGCCTTCCTTGTAAATCATTTCCTTAAGCATTAAAAATAAAGCACTACTAAACTGTGAGGACGGGACACAATGCTGACCTGACAGTAGCCTATTTTAGGATTCCTGTAAGCATAGGCTGTGAGCACTCTCCGCAGTGCAGAAATGCCTGTATCACTTTGGAATGCCGGATGTTCAGGCAATGAGCGATGAAGGTCACGTTCAATCTCATCAGTGGCCAAAGAAAATGTATCCATGGATTTTGCCACGAGCTCAGTGTAATAACCAGGGTGAGCAGCCATATCGTTATTTGCACCTGTGGTTAAACAGAAACGTTAACGTCACAGAAAAGTACAGCAATGTTTCTTTGATGTATGGGTAACCTTTATAGATGTTTACTTGTTCACACAGACATATGCAAAAGCAGATCTGTTCTATGTAGTTGCACAATATAATTTATAGTTTAAATAGATCAGCTTCGTTTCCAAATGAAATGTAAGTGTACATTCATTCTAGTTTGCTTAACATTCTTTTCCAGCTGTTCGGAGTCACAGAGAAATGCAAATTGCAACATAATACAGCTTTGTCAGGAAAGCAATGCATTAATTGTTTGCCATTCAAGTCATTTCAAGGTTGGTTTCCTCCAAACACAAAAGCCTAGGGTTCAGAATCTGCAGCAGATAATTTTATTTCCGTAAGTGCTGAATTTTGAACAAAAAAAAATGAAGTAGGGAAAAAAAAATCCACTTGGAACATTTCTACAAAGTCCTAAAACTTCAATGATGTTTCTTAATACACAACTGGTTTGTAGCACACACCTGAAAATAGCAGCCAAAGCTCCCCTCTTAGGGATTCTGGAATTCCTCTCACAACAATGTCCCGAGTCTTTTTGGTTCGAAACATGCAAACTCCACGACCATATTCCACAAAATGAATGTTCCACAATTGTACTTTCATTTTTTCCTTCAACTACAAGTCACAAAGAAGACAGTACCCTCAGAATAAACATTCCCAAATGAGGCAGCCCAGTACACATTTATATTGGCAAATGAAGTTTAATGAAGGAAGAAATATTTATTTTTCTCCATATAAATGAACAATCTAAATACACATGCATAATTTGGCAATAGCCTGTGATGAAAAGCAGCCTCTAGTGGTGGAGCTAACAGTGGTTTAGCTTTGTCTTGCTCAAATTTAATATCGATTATTACAACTGTCCTAAAATACATTATATTCAAGGTTACACAGCACAGTAAGAGCTGGAAATAATGCTACTGGATAGGTGGCATCACCAATGCTCCAAATATTTCCCAATCATGGGTTTGAAAATTACTTTGTAGTAGTACTTATTTTACACCATTTATTCTGAAGGGAACACACCCCTTTTCCATTATTCAAGATGGCCTATTTTGAACAAACTGCAAAGTCAATCTGGAGCAAATCGGATTGTTCATCTGATATTCTCCCTTTCCTGTAGCAGGAAGCTTGAACATGCTAAAATTAGCCAATATTTTTGCAAAGTCATCTGCATTCCTGTAACCAATGCAACCTCAAAACCACTAAACTGGAATCCCTGAAGGTTACAGAGAAGGAACTCTAGAGCATATCAAATGAACAACTTGGTCTATTAAACCATTTAAACTAAAATCTGTTACAAACAGCTATTAGAAGTATAGTAGGAGATGATTTCTTTATCATTGATGCTGGATTGATAATTGTGAACGAAAGTGGCCAGGATTGAATATTCTGTGCGTTATTAAAAATTCATTAACTTTAGTGAATTAGGAAGCAGCTATGCAGAAGCCTTTCCCCAAGAGATATTATGGATGATGATAATAATAACTTACTTTTAATGTAGTGCCTTTCACATCGGGGAATGTTTCAAAATGCTTCAAAGGATATATTGTAAATTTGACTATTATTTTGGCAAACCCAATAACCAATTAGTGCACAAATAGGCATGAAGTAAATGAGCAATTTTATTTGGGGGATTGTTGCCCAGGTCACCAGGAGAAACTCCTTACAGAGTTAGTTATTTCCTACCCACTTTCTTCAAACTTTGCAGATGAAATCACAATGAAGCCAATATAACTCATGTGTTTTAGTGAAAACCAGTTTCTGCAGTAGCAAAAGCTGCAAATCTATACCATGTGATTTATGACTGCATTGAGCCATCAAGGCATCTAGGAAATGTTACAGTTCACAAAGGCCATGAAAATAAAATCCCCAAAAGGGGAATTATAATTTTGAAAAATAGCATGCAGTGCAAAACCTGTAAAGAAAAAATATCCTTAAAATGCCAATGCCCTGAGCTATTACACAATGCTCAGCCACTAAGAGGTTTTATCACATTCAAACAATTGTTACAATAATTGCTAGCAGTGACCATAACTCAAAATTATTTTTGGCACAATTTCAAAAGGCATAACATTCATCATATAGATGAGAGAATAAGCTTTCAAATAAGCAGCTTTGAAATCTAATTTGATATTTGGCAAACTGCACTATCCTAAATAATTGATAAAGAGGTGCTCGAGATCAAATACAGTTTATCCTCAAATTCTTTGCACTTGAAATAAAGTTGAAGATTTGAATGGAGTTTGAAAAGCAGGTGGAAGAAGCATAAAAGGATATTACTAAATCAAATGAATTCTATTATTAACCCAAAATTCTGTTCAAAAACCTTTCAAAAGTTGAATGACCAAATGCACTACAAGATACAACAGTAAAACATATAGACCAGGGCTGTTGCAGGATGCTCCACAGCTAGCCTTTGTCAGCTGACACTACCCTACGTGAGGGCCGCGATATATACGCAAGTTGTTATTGTCACAGGGCAACACTGAAAGGAGGGGTGGAATAGTATCGGTACAGTACTAAAATTAGAGCAAGTAGAAGCAAAGCAAAAAACATCAAAAGTATTTACCATTTTAGAATTCAGATTTTCTGCATCTTGTGGATGAAAAGCAGTCATTAGTGCTTCTGTGTTCACAGTTTTATTGCTTTCCTTAAACGGTGAATTCTGTTGACCGTCTGAAAACGAAGGATCATTTTGTCCAATGTGGCTACTATCTGGATAAGCCTGTCAATATAAAGAAGCACACCATGGGCTAGGTGCAATCTGGTATGGAGCAGTTCGCAACTAGCCTGTCGAAGAAACAGGTTTGATAGCTGTAAAACACTTCTTATTTTGTGCTTCATATACAAAAAAAATCGGACTGACATCACATAGAATCACACCATCATTCCACAAGGAAATAAGAAGAGTTAATCACACTTACCTCTTCACTCGATGGCTTCTGATGCAGATTACTCATTCCACATTTTAGTTTCCTTCCCAGTATCTTTTCTATGTTATCACAGTCCTTAATTTCAGTAAAACGGAAAGTTATTTTGCTCCTGGTACTGAAGGTGATGCTTTTACTCGAGTTCTGAGGCTTCTCCATAGCTGTGACCTGCCAGAGAACTTGTATCAATATCAGAATTATTTCAGAACAGATTCTGTAAGATTGCTTAAGATTCTGGTTAAAGTCAACAGAACAATGAAAATAAGTTTACTGCACTAGTAATAAGTTAGATTTATTTTTATGGAACATTATGCATAAATGTCAATTTGTGCATAATAATGAGCATGATAATTATTAAAATATCCATTTACTAGAAATTCTGCTCTCTACATTTTGTACTGAACAGAAGAGGTTCCCCATTTAGCATTGAATCAGAATTAGTGTGAGAACAATTTTGAAGCAAGAATTTGCATCCCACTGACACTCATTTCAGGGTACAGCGGTAATGATTTATATCCTCTTCTCCACTACATCATTCCCTTGAGGGAATAAGCCACCCTTATATACAATGTCACTATATGGAACATACAAGCAGTACATCCAAGTATTCTGAATGTTATTTCTTTTCAGCTCATTTGGTAGCTCCCCAAAATCAAATGCCAAAGAATATGCATTATGAAAATTAATGGGTAACAAATTCCTTGTCCTAAATGTAATGCATGGTTCCCCCACCTCTTATCAATGCAGATTAGCCTCACACTGGCTGAAGTTTCCATCCCCCCTGAACACGGGATATAACATAAAATAATTCAGTTTATTAAAAATTACCTCCCGCAATGGAATGATTACATTGCACTGACTTCCATCCTGGCTATTAAAGCATATGTAATTATCTGCAAGGAACATTTTTCCAAATGTGTGGACGTGGCAAAAGGGGATCCAGAGAAAACAGTCAGTTATGTAGTTCAAACTTTCATCCTTAGAAAGCCTAAACATTGTTCTGAAATATTCGTTCCTGGCTCGGTTCTCCAAACCTCTTAAAAAAAACACACAGTAATATTCAAAGAGAGGAAATTACTTCCCAATCCAAATGCCACAAACATATTTGCATTTGTTAAATTCACATAATATATGTCCCAAACTGAGTTTTCAATGTACCAGTACTCTACAAACACAAGTAATCCGTGCTTTATAGGAAGAATTTTAGTCATAAAATTATAGCTCATCACGATATAATTCGTAAAAGCAAAATGGTAGCTTACTTCAATTATCTTCCTTGTTTTCTGAAAGAAATTTAGCCTTCACATGCAAAGAGGAATATCCTCCATCCCACAAGGGGACAGAGAGAATGAGTTTCAGGCATGCCGACCCTTTACACTTTCACACTTCCATGCACCACTGCTGACTTGCAGTCTCATTTGGTTTAGATCCTCAGTACTTCATCCTGAAAAGCACTAGGTCAGGTTCCTTTCACGTCTACCAAGAGCGTTGAAATTTTTCAGTATAATTTCAGTGCACAAGATTAATCAATTAGTAATAAAATCAACAATAATCACAGCATGGAAGTAAAGTGTGAAGTATATGATCCACCAAGGTCTAAAACGTTACAAAAGGTATAAAGGCTTTTTTTAAAAAAAACAAGCACAACCTTTTTTCTTTTTAAAGACTGCCATAATTCCAAGCCATATCAGGTTAGAAAGAGGTGAGGTTTGTCGAAGTTTTGTACCAGGGGTTGAAGGTCTCTCAAAAATAACATTACCTTAACAATGCACGAGATTCGTGACACTCTGAACCCATTTTAGAATTTGGTTGAACCAACAATTAAATCTCAAAATAAATCCACAAAGTTGGTGTGCCCTTGAATCAAACAAAGTAAAGTGAACCTGGGATCACAACAGCGCTATAAGCTACTAAAGTTCTTCCTTTACTCGAAAACCCAATTGACTCATAGTGGTAAAACTCAAGATCTACTCAGAATAAAGTTCTGAATGAGCATAACTTTGGTTGGGAGGGGAGTGGGACCAGAGTTTTAGTGGGACATTGGCCCCCGAGTGCTTCTCCCACCCCATCCGATAGGAGCCAGTCCCTATTTGTACATGGAGGCTGAACAAATGAGGAAGAAATTACTTTTTGTGTAGCTTACTTAAATTGTGATGTCATTTTTACACACACTATCAGAAAAATTCACTCACGTTTATGCAGCTGATGTGCTTTGCAACATCAGTGATAACTCCCACAATTACAGGAGTGTATTATGATGCTGCACATTGTACATTAAACACATTTCTTGTGTATACGGTAATAACAGTTCCTCATAGATTAGACTGCCATTAATTACAAAACCCGTTAAAACTTCTGTATTCTTGGAACAATGTTACATTACTGATAGTCTAGCATAAATTACTTTGTAATAACTTTGATAAACTCATAAACCAAAATAATCTTTCATGACTAGCTCAAAACAAGCACCTATTATTTACCTTTTAGTTATTTGCAAAGGGTCCTTGAGGGATGAATCTTCCTCAAATGTTTCCTTGTCAAATAATCTCTTTACAGCATAATCTGCAAGCTGTTCCATCAGTTGGAAAGTTTCATTTAAGTGAATGAACATTGAAAAATAATGGTCTTCCCCGTGACTGCAAATTCGAATGCTCTCTGACAAGAGGACACTTGTAGTCTTTTCAAGTTTTGATACTTCATCCCAGGCTATCATATACTTAACTATAAATGTAAACAAGACAAAATTAATAGAATATTTCTTGACATAATTATTAAAGTACCTGGACATTCAAAAACTGCTCTTTGCAATTCAATGACAGCTACACTCTAACAAGTTGCAGCTATGAAATTTATATAATTAGGGGTGGGAAACATTTACCAGTTTGCATACAATGGAGTACTTTTACCTCCATCAATTAGGCATTCCAAGATCCATCATGACTTTCTCAAAGATAGCTCTAAGGTCTTAAACGACTGCTACTACACTCCTGAGCCCTGCTCAGAGTTTGACCCCATCACCCACAAAGCCCTTCAAAATGCCCTGTATGAAAAGTGCTATATAAATGTAACTTATTGGATGGAAAAAATTCAAATACATTGCACACACAAAACAAATGCAAATTATAACTATCAGTTATTGTCAAGCCCAGCAGACTAAATTGCATTGAACACCGATCACACAGCAGCAGATAATTGGATTACACAGCAAGGAACAAGTGTAGCAGTGGCTCCACGGCGACGTAGATCGATTTCCTTTGAACTTTTTCTTATTCCATAACATTAACAAGAATTCATTGTTGTGCGAGTCAGAAATCATTAGAGCATGCCCTTTTCATAATGCTCCCCTGTTAAAGCAAACATCAGAAAACTACTGAGTACTACTGTAAGCGCTCCGAGATGCCGTCTGGCGTGAAGGATGCTGTATAAATGCAAGTTGTTGTTGTTGTATTGCATTTTTTTCTGGAAACTTGTGTTATCACTTTTGGCTCAGGTTCCGCTCCAACAATTGTTTACAGAGCAGCATTCATCAAAACAACAATAACAAGATTACATTTGCATGGTGCCTTTCACGTTGGGTACAGCATTTCAGACCCGAGCTGGGGTCAGGGAGGGAGAAGGGAGGGGAAGGGGGGTGACTGATGGCATGGTCGAAGAGGAGGTTTTGAGGCGGGACTTGAAGGAGGCTAAAGAGGGGGCGAGGCGGAGTATATAAACTATAACTATAGCAATGTTCTTGTTGTTAATCCGAACTCACAAATGAATAGATATGGGTAGATTTTTATTTTGTTTCACAATAACAACAGAATTACATTTGTATAGCGCCTTTCACGTCGGGAGGACGTTCCAAGGTGCTGGACAATCAGTGTTTCGGACCCGAGCAGGGGGTCAGGATCAGGGAGGGTGGAGGTTGGGAGGAGGGGGGGGGAAATGTGGGTGGTCGAAGGCACAGTCAGAGGAAGTTCTTGAGACATGTACGCTGTGCACTTGGCATCGGAATCAGCATCCAAACCACCAAACCATTAAGCTGTGTGCAGATGGCTTGCCGTATGCACATGGGAGTTTGTTTTTCATTGGTTTACATAGGAAGAACAAGCAACAGACACAGTATGATATGGACTGGATACATTTTCTGCACCTGTGCTAATCAAATCTGATTTTCAGACTAAAAAGGGCTATAGATTAACCTTGAGTAAATAATTCAGTCCTGCAGGTGTGTGTGTGTGTGGTCCAGAATCACAAGTTACCTCACCTTCTTTGCCTAAAAAGAAGGAATAGAAGCTGAGGAAGTTGTTACTGAGATATACCCATCCTTGGCACGGCACCCGGCCACTCCAATAACTACAAGAGTAGTATGTCACCAGCTTTTCCTGTTGCGGTAGCCCAAACCATTTCTCGAATTTCATCAAGGCTTCCCGAAACTTCTCAGGGTCATCTTCTTCCTTTATTGATGTCATTTTAGATTCTTCTGCTATTAGACCCTTGGACAGATAAAAAAGTTAAATGTAACCAAATTATTTTAACAGAATACATTTCCTTTACATTACCTAAAAGATCTTGTTTATTTACATTTAAGCAAATATAGCACAAGGTTCACTAAACAGATTTGAGTAGTCTTGGAGAAGAAATGAAAGCCTCACGGTAAAACAGTCTGTAAAACATAAAGAAAAGTCCAAGCATAAAAATCTATGGAGAACAATCCACGGGCACTTCATTAATTACTGTGCATATTGACATTTTGAATATAAGTAGATTTTGTTCCCTTCACTATTAACACCATTAGCTGCACAACTGATGTTTGTCTGGTGGAGATCTTTAAACAGAAATCCAGAACCTGAAAAATTGATTACACCAGAAAGAAAAAGAATAATAGACACCTCTAAGTACATTAGATGTCACTAATCCAGTGTCCTGATTCAGTTAATGAACATAAGCCACAAGAGCTCAGTTCTTGTGATTGAGAACATGATTTGATCCAGGATTGAATTACTAACTTGTAATTCACTTAATCATAATCTTTACGCTTTGCAAATACCCACTCAGGTGTCTTCTGTTCAAGGAAGGGAGTAACATTATACAACAAAACCTCTTGTTATTGTACTTTGTAACCTGAATGAAAGAATGACATTTTCTGCTCCCATTAACATTCTAAAAAGATTGAAAATGATAACTGCAGACAAGTGCATTTTGCACATCCATGATAATCAGAAGTACTCAAAATACCAGCAGATACATACAACCACTATATATTCTGCTAGCAGCCTTTTACTGGTTAAATTCAAACAAATATCACATGCAAAGTTCAAATACATGACAAGGCTAATTGGAATTGTTCCAATACTATTTAAAAGCACAACACAAATACTGCCTCATAGCGTTATTTGAATAGAAATGTGCTGATGCATTGTCTAAAAATTAGCAAAACTATGTTTAAATAATGAGGGTGGAGGGAATGAGAAAAACAAAAAACAAGCAAAGCCTACTTATAATCAAAGTTTAACAGAACAATTTCTTGTGGTGGGTATGAATTAGTTTAGTTTGTGGATTGAACAGACAAATTCCAAAGATTGGAGGAAGACAGCCAAATCTATTCCCACAATTGGATTACACAGAATAATTATCTGAAATTCAGTCCCTTATAAGAAGTTCAAATGCAGGGTTAACCACTCATTGAGCCTGAATTGTTAAGAGCAAGCAATAAGTTGTAAGAAATTGAATGACTTCCTCAGTACAACTTCTCCCAAATATCTGGTCCTTTCTAATTGTGTAAAATAGATTAGTAAAATAGCAGAGGGTCAGAAACTGTTTTAAGTAATAAAACAAGAGCTGAAAATTCATTGTGTTTAATACACACATTTTTCTGCCTGTCAGTGTTTTGTCTGTAAAGTCATTACCTGGATGACATTTGGTGAAGAAAATAAACTCAAATCAATCAATTTACAGGGGAACCTCATTGGCTGGGACCATTTTATTTTATACATCCCATTAGCCAGAGAAGCTACAACAATTAGAAGGATTATTTGTCAACTGCGGTAGTATTACGTGGCTCGAGGAAGCATTATGGCCCATTGATGCAGTTTAATTTGTTAAATTTGGGGAAATGGAGCACAGTTTTCATTAATAATTAAACCTAGCCAACTTAGTGGATTAATTCACAATTTTTATTTGTTCCTATAATTGCAATTTACCTTTGCCCAAATTATTTAACTTTTTAAAAAAAAAAAAAATTCTATTCAAGTTCTGTTAAACTTTGATTTGTGGAAACTGGAGAAAACTTGTTCTCTGTTAGCTACAAGATTAGGAATTTAGAACTAATTCAATTCTTCAGTAATACCCTTACCCGGATTTTTCCCTGAACAAAGCTAGTAACATCTTCATTTGTATCAAAGACAGAGAGCATCTTCATCACATTCTGTTCCAGCCATTCCCAATGCTTATTTATTTCTTCACTGTTGGCCCCTGTTTTAGAAACAAAGCAAATTAGCTATTAGGAATATTTGAAGTATCATCACTAGCTTTATCCATTCCAGACAATAGAGCCAGTGACATTTAAATAATGGAAATACTTAGTAAGAACTCAAGGTCCGAGGCTCTTGTCAGTTTTCTCAAAAGTCTCTGATAGGAACCAGCTTCTAATAAGTGACCATGCACATTTTGCATTTACAACATGTGCAATGATCAGAAGTGAAAGACCTGGTCATTTCCATCCTACTTAATCATCAAGCCAGGAACACTCAGCACACTGACTGGACAACATCACCTCAGCATGTATTCAAATTATAGAGTGGAGATGTTAGGCACCTGTTTCCCCACTTCGTGCAACTCTAAAGTCTTAGCATTTCCAAAAAATTGTTTTGATAATTGATTTTGATCAGATCCACTTCTTGCTTTTGACAACAAAAATGTTAAATGGGCCTAAATTTTGGATTGTTTTGGCAGATAAAACTTTATTATTTGATGAGGCAGTCATAGAGGGAAAAATAATGATTTTGTGTTGTCTGAAAACAGTGCTCTAGTCAGTTTGATCTGAACAGTTGTTTTGTAAAACAGTCAGTACACTTCAAAGTAAATCCTGTGAGGTGTTTTAAGGTATAAAATGCAAGGATTACTATTAGAAATGACTGGAATGATGCTATCATGATGCTGTCTGGAAATCTACCAGATCCTGTGAATAGTGGGAACTCTCCAACAAACTCAGCAGAGGTGGTGCATGACAAATAGAAAATCTGATATTCGGCAGAATCCAGGCTGCATCTATGAAATGTGCACAAATATTGAACTTTGAACAGGATGTGATGCCCAGAATATTAGATGAGCAAACAGTGGATCTATCTAGTATATACTTATAAAGCCAAAAATGAAATGGATCAGAACTTATGGCGTTATGAAAAGACAGATAAACAATAATTCAGCAATGTAAACATTCAAGACTTAATGCACTAGATAGTAACACTGATTATCCAAATTGCCCAACCTATATTTCTTCATACTATATGGAATCCAATGTACAATTGGGTATCCATTGATGTTTCATCTTAAAGCGAAACAAATTTTGGTGGCGCATTCAAATAACTGATTCCTACTTAAAGTAATGAGACTTTGAATTGGATTCATTCCAAGATGAAAATAATGGCATTCGATAGTTTAACAAATGAATTATGAGCTCTGAAGCAACTCAAAAGATGACTCTAGTTTAGGAATTAGGGGCTTAACACAATATCTATTCATGAACAAATTGCAGATAGTTTTAATGAAGCAAATATTAATAAAAACCCCAAATCTTCATCTCAGTGATCGCTGAAACTATTTTAACCAAACTCACTACTTTATAAAACACTGAAATATTAACTCGAGACTTAATTATACTCACAAGACAGTTCCAATATTTTCCAATCTCTTAGAACAAATAATCCTTCGGTTTACAAAGCTTTCCATTAGCAGCAAAATTGACAGACAAAATAGTTGGCACTAAATATTTAAACCATGCATTTTTTAAATGAGATTCTCAAAGGAAGCTAGAATTTTACATTATATTTTGGTTTCTTAATCAGTTTGTACGGCAATTTTTAAAAATAATTTCCACCCACCAGCACTTCACCAATAAAATAGCAAACAATGAGCCTACTTAATAGATGTACACAGTAACTTACCACAAGCGATGGGCCAATATACTTGGGAATCTGGTGTCTGATGCAGAATTCGATAAGGAGCTACCTTGGAAGTTGAATCAAACACTGCATCAATTGTTCCAACAAGAAGGCCTAATTGAACGATAAACACAATTTATGCAAAGTTTTTCTTTATTCATAGAACAATACCCTTTGATGGCACAACATCAATTGTGACAAAGCAAGAAATTGAAGATACATCCAGTACTTTAGTTAAAGATCACAGAAACATTAATTTCCATAAATGAAGGAAGTCATAAACAATATAGTTATAGAAATAATAGAAACAGCAGTCATCTTAACTCCACTAGAAAGAAAAAAAATAACTTGCATTTATAAAGAACCCTCTACATGGGGTAGCAGCTCGGAGCACTAAATCCTAGCTAAGAGTATCAGCATTTTTATTGGGGGGGGCTAAGTTTGAAAATGAACTTTGATTCCTCACCTTCTGAGTAATTAACTAAAGCAGCTGAGATAGGTAGTTCCAAAGATTTGGTAAATATAATAATCCTTTACGTTAAACCTACAACATGTTTGCATTAACATTTCTGCTAGTTAAGGTAAACAGTTTGAACAGAAAGTTCCCCGCTCCCCTTTAATATGCTCTTTCATTAGGACACCCTGAATCCTTTATTTTCAACTGTAATATCTATCAACTGCACAAAGAATGGTGATGAATAATTTAAAGTACCTCAGAAATGAATGTATTATTTTGCCAAATTCTGAATACTCCAGAAAAATAATTACAGAAACATACAGAAGCTAGAAACAAAAACGTCTCCCTTCCCCCTTCACAAAAAGTCAAACCAGTGGGTAAAAGTGAAAACCAACAAAAAAACTGGATTATTTCAATGCGTTTTAACCTCAAAGGGAGGAACCCTACGGGCACCCCTGTGAGTTTCCCATTGTGTCAGCCCTTTGTGATCTCATTTGACAGGCGCTGCTGGTTGTTTTGAACGATGGAACTCCTCTTATGGCCTAAAGCAACTGGTTTACGACCGCAATAGGAATCTCACAGACAGCCGAGATTCTCATCCTATCGATCTGGGCAGGAACCCACCACAGTCCCAGTCCCAGAGGTGAATTAGCTCTCGCAGCTAATCCACTCACTCGGTCCCCCTGTTTTTCAATAGCGAGCGAGAGTTGGGCGATTTGTTAAATCTGGATGTTTTGATGGGGGGGGGAGGAACAACAGGGCAATGACCTGAAGTTGTTGTTGTGATGTCTGTGCGTTCAGATAAACATCCCACTCACTTCAAACTACATGTCAGAACTGAAGCGCAAGTCAGGAAATACTTGGCGCAAACGTGCATAACATGATCACTTTTGGTTGTGTTTCTGTGTGTGTGGTGCGTTTATTTTACGTGACAAAAAAGGGTTAGCGGACGATAGAGGAGGGGGAAGGGGAAGGTGGGGGTAAAGAAATTTACAAGACAGAAGTTTCAAGTCATAACTTGGAAAAGTTGCTGACAATGATTCTATTCTGTTACAACGACATCCAGGGGAATAGAGAGAGAGGAAAGGAGGGGAGAGAGAGAGAGAGGGAGAGAGAGGAGGGAGAGAAAGAGAGAGAGGAAGAGGGGGGGAGAGAGAGAGAGAGGGAGGGGAAAGAGAAGAGGGGGGAGAAGAGAGAGAGGAGGGGGCGGAAGAGAGGAGGGGGGAGAAGAGAGAGAGGAGGGGGAGAAGAGAGAGGGGGGAGAAGAGAGAGAGGAGGGGGGAGAAGAGAGAGGGGGGAGAAGAGAGAGAGGGGGGCGGGGAGAAGAGAGAGAGAGAGAGGGGGAGGAGGAAGAAAGTATCTATCTATATATATATATAACGAGTTTGTGTGAAGCACAACACTGTGCAGTTACCCCCCCCCCCCCCCCCCGGGTGAAGGAGGCTCTGCTCTGGTGGCTGTCAGTCAGTCAGTCAGTCAGTCAGCGAGAAGGCTGTTCTCTCCTGTGCTGACAAAAACACGGTCACTACACCGTACGGTAAGTACATTCGCCTGAAGCGCTTTGAGACGCCTGGAATGTAAGGATTATTATGATGATGTGTCGCCTCCGATGAGAGGAGAAGCTGAGGGTGTGTGTGCGTGGGGGGGGGGGGGTCTCTGCCTTCCTTATACCCGGGCCTCTCTCTCTCTCTCTCTCTCGGTAACTTCCCCCCCCCCCCACCCTCCCCCTCTATTGTGTGCGTGTTTTTTTTACCGGTCAGTCCGCCGCCACCTTCGCCGTAACCTCGGCGACGCTGCAGGATGAAGTAGTTGTTGGTCTTCTCGGTCAGCCACAGCTTCAGGGCGTTCTTCAGCAACACCTCCTCGGGTCTCAGCCACATCCTGGCCGCTCGCTGAGGCGTCCGCCTGCGTGTGTGTGTGTGTGAGAGAGAGAGAGAGACAGGGAGGGAGCGCGAGAGACCGACCGTCCGTCCGTCGCTGGTCCCAACTGCCAAACGCCGCCCGCTCGAGCTCAAATGACAACACGTAGACAAGCGCGCGGCGGTGGTGGGGGGGGGAAACGCAGCAAGCGCCCGCGCGGCGTACCCTGGGATCTGCAGTCTTCGCCATCTCGGCCCTCGCGCCCGCGGGATACGGGCGGCGGCGACGAAAGACTACAACTCCCAGGGAACCTCGCGCGGCTCCCGACCAACGAGCAGCTGGGAACCTCAGGATGGCACCAGGCGCCCCGTCGCCGCTCTCGTCACCCCTCCCGAAGCAACTGCTGCCACCAGCAGGCTGGAGAGGTCCACTGCCCCCAGTTGTGGCAAGTTGCCCCCTTTGGATGTCCATCATTGGGTGAATTCTAATAATAAACACCGCTTTATTCAATGAGTTTATATATTAAAAAAAGTGGAGTCCTGTAGTGAGAGCGCTCGCCCCACAAGCGAGAGGACCCGGGTTCGATTCCCGTCGGGGCGAAACCTTGGGCGAGTTTCGTTACTCCACACGCCACTGTGTATCGAGCAGTAAATAGCCACCCAGTTGTTACGTCGATTGGCGGATCGCTTTTCCGGGGGTAATAATTCCTCCAGAAAAAAATAACAATGAATAATTTGGTCACTTCAATCCCACGGCGGTTCGTGGGACGCTTGCTGTGCGCAGTCGGCTGCCGCGTTTCGCCCACAAGATATACAGTCAATTCCCTTTACGGTACATCCCTGTGAAGCTCTTCTTCGAGACATGATAAGGCGCTATAATCAAATGCAAGGATTGTTATTCTATTTAACTGGCAAACGTCGCCCCACACGATTGAGAATGCTCCAAGCTGTTCCTTTGTCACCCTCGCAAGTAACACAGTGATGAATGCTGACAAGTTCCCACCGGGAAAATTCGACAGCTCGGCAACTCAAGAGCATTTCAGCATCGCTGCATACCTCCTGCAGCAAAGCTTTCTCTACGTGTGCATGTTTTTTCTTTGCGGCTCAAGAGTGCAAGGATATTCACTCTCAACCTCTCCATGCAAATCTAACGGTATCAATCTTCACTTTTAGCTCTGCTTTTGAAGCACTTTGAGACGTCAAGAAGACGTGATCAAATGCAAGGAGTATTATTGTTGCTGTTATTACATTAGTCACGAGTTCGCCACAGACACGGGAGCTGTGACTTCTCACAACTCCAGGATATCCATCTGCACTGCAAAAGCAAGTAACAGAATTTCAGAAAAGTGACTTTAGAAAAAGATCTCAACAGACAAATATCATTAAAAAGTCATACCGTGTTGAGATTGAAGGCTTTCTGGGTTTCGTCATTCCAAAGGTATCCAAAAGATCACAATGTTTTGTCGTCTCATTTTTTTCTCTCTTCTTGTTCATTACCACTGTACTTGTTCTCCAGTTTATACAATTTTAATTTTACATCATTGTGTCAGTGCACCAGTAAAATGCAAATCAGCCTTAAAATGCAAAGAATTTGGAGCTAGATACCCCACAAAAACATGGTTAAAATTTGTGTTGAAAACACTTGAGAGAACAAATGAAAAGCAAACTGGAATCTATCGAGCAATAAGCAACAAGAAATTCTAAGTTAACAGCAGTGAATGGGTCAATAGAACGGCTTTTACACAGCTGCTACCTTGTATTGATCAAGCCACAAAAAGGGAGTAAAGATATCTCATCGCAGATATGTTGGACAGGAGGAAAATCTACAACATATTAGGTTATTTCTATTAGCAACAGTATTCAAATGATGTTCCCAGTGCTACTGTGTCAGTTTGCTGATCTGCAAACATAGATTATACATTCACAACGCTGGTTAATTGCCACATTACATGTCAGACTGTTTAGCCTCATCTGTTTCATAGCCACAAGCAGGATAATAGATGGAGGCTTTATGGTTTGCACCTGTCAGACGGTGGCTTTGATGACTGGATGAGTGCAGGTTCTTCTGTGACCACATGATGGAGACTGTAGACAGGATATGTTCAGAAACACTTTTGATTCCAGTTGTATCTGATTGCTTAGGAGGACGCACATGATTATTTCTGAATTAAGGAGGTGATGGAACAATTTTAACTTCAGCAAATTCTCTCAGCCTTTTTGTTTCACACATTTTAATCTGTTTGCAAGATTGTAAGTGAATCGTAGGACCTATGCATTGTCGAGCATCTTGGTTTGAGGAAGAAATCAGAAAGAAGATTGTAGGTCCAAGCCCCACGTCAGGACTTTGAACTCACAGTCTAGGCTGACGCTCTGATGTTGGTGCTGGGGAAGAGCTCCACTGTTACATTCCCATAGCAATGTTTGAAAAGAGAGTTTCTCCAGGTGTCCTGGCCAGCAATCATTCCAGATAACATTGGTCATCCATTTCATGGCTGTTTATGGGACATTGATATGTGCAAATTATCTGCCTTGTTTACCTGCAAAATACACAGTCATTCCACAAAAAAAATCATGCGAAGCACTTTGAGATGCCTTGACAAAGTGATAAATTGCTGTATCAAGTGCAGTGATCATTATTATTATTGTACAACTTGCAGTATAAGAAAACAGCAGGACAAAAACACTTTAAAAATATAATGTTATACATACACTCTGATCATTAAATTGTGTGAGTAGACAGAATTCATAGTGTCCTTTCTAATAGATACCTGTGCTTCTCATTACAGTTCGAGAAGTTCACTGATTTTGTTGATTTACTGAATTTCACAGTAAAATTTGATGAATAAATCTGGTATAACCACTTTATGCAGCTTGATCAGACAGATGCAGGCTCCTTCCCTCAAGATATTAAGCTGCATTTTCCAATTACAGATTAATGGGTTTGCAGATCCTCTCGACAGATAATGATTCTGATTTAATATGTTGGTGTACACAGCATCATCTCAGCAAAGACAGCAAAGACTACACGAGATGTGCTGAAGCATGGAATAGTCAATTAATATTTGTTGTCAAAGCACAGTCGTGAGTAATTAGAGGGTGAATAATGCAGTACTGTATACAACCTGTTCATTATCACACATCACATCTTACACTGTATTTTTCCACTCAATGTGTCTTACACAGAAATAGCTGTAAAGGGGATTCACCTAACAAACACCATTTCCTTGTCATCTTAAAGGAACAATGGCTGAGAATAGTATCAGCAACTACATTTTTTTCTTTTATTGTAACTTAAAAAAAATATAGTCCTTCTGGTTGATGATAGGACAACTTTTCTTACATCTGAGCATTAATATTGTATTCACGTGCCTTCCATTTCCACATCACTGGATAGTCCAAGTGACCTTTATGTTGGTAGAACTTTAAATAACTTTAAGGAGGACCGAATGGTATCCTTTCCCTGAGGTTTGAATCCAGTCCATCCTGACATGATGCTGATTCTCCTTGGGCTATTTTTAGGAATCGCAGAGGGATGGCATAAAGCTTTATTGTAACAGATAAAATAAGGAGAGAGTTATAGATAAAATAACGATTTAAGAGCAATAAACCAAGTAAAAGGTGTTATGGCTTCAGTAAGTCAATTTTCTGCCACAAAGGAGTAAGAGCGGGGGAGTGGGACTATTTGGTAGCTCTTTCAAAAAGTCGGCATACACCACGATGGGCTGAATGATGGCCTCCTTCTGAGCTGTAAAATTCTACGATTCTATGAAAGGCAGCCGAAAAAGACTCCCTGGAGACAGAGGACAGCAAATGAAATGGTGAACCTCAGCAAGGAAAGCTAGTCTAATTGAGGGGAGGTAAAAAAACACAAAGGTTCGCAGAAACAAAACAATGATGGCTGAAAACATGTTGAAGGATGTAAGATACATCCAGGGTTCAGGTGACATTTGTAATTTGCTTAAGCTTCACTTTCAGTTTACAATGACAACAACACAGAGCGTGCTACCCTCCAATATGGTTATTCATTATGTAAAATGGCACAATGGTGACCACAGTTTTTGCCACAATGCTTACCCTGTTGGTGACCCAATGCCTAACGATTGACACAACAGAGTCACACGATAAACAACAACAGCTTGCATTTATAAAGGGCCCTTTGCACCGACTAGCGATCTCAAAACACTTAGTGATTCTGAGGGACAGTAAAACAGCAAAAACACTGCTGAGATTTTTTGCCCCCAGAAACGCAACCGAAGGATTAGTGAAAAAATTATTTGTTTCCCTAAAAAGACAGAGCAAACGTTTTTTTTTAAAAAAAGTTAGAATTACAACAACAACATATTACATTTATATTGCACCTTTCACATCGGGAGGACTTTCCAAGGCGCTGATTAATTACAGATTTATAAACAGGATTGACATTTAAAAAAAAAACATGAATGATTCATCTAATTAATGTCCAAAACACCTCATCATTTTCATCAAACCTCTTTGGCAACAGAATTCATATTTTAAAAAAGAGGGCAACGCTTTAACAGTGCGTCAAATTTATTTACAATTTTTTGAAGGACTTCTTACAATATAAATGATTTCCAAACATACATTCCAAACATACAGCAAATTCCCACACAAATAAACTCTTAGTACAAACAATTTCCTTAATTTTTTAAACACCCTTTGTAAATAAAATCATTTGGTAAGAATCATTTAAAGATTTCACTAAGGAATCAGCGTCGCAAGATATGTAGGTGCTTTGCCATGGAAACGCTGGAAATTTAATGCGTTGACTAGCTTCCGAAAGAGAATAAAACAGGCCAACTCTTTGGATAGCACCCTGTGTCGGAATGGAATGAATGACCTGTGTGAATATCCATCATTCGTAGCTCTCTGGGTTATTTCTAATAGCTACGGTGTATCATTCTCACTCAAGATTACAACCCTAAAGCAAAATAAAGCAAATCGCATGGGATTCCCAAATAAATTTTGATTCATTTGAAGAAAATTGCTATTAAAAAACTGTATTTTGTTAAAAAAAGAAAGCATTAAGGCCTTTGGATCTTCTACATTTGAGGAGTCCAGTGTTATATTGAGGTACGTTGACTAAAGACAATGAGACCACTTGAACACGCTCTTAACATAACGTTGAAACAGTACCTTTGGCCACAATTACTGCAGGATGAATGGGGCAAGAGTATAAACACAAGGGGACATTTCACCCTTCAGCTCGAATCACATCAGTTGTTGAAAGTCACTTCCCAAACAGTGGGCAGTGTCTCAGAAAACTACTTCCTTCACATTCCTCCCAGCTAGTAAATTGAATTGGGTATTAGATATTGGATTGATATAATTGATATAATTGTAAAATGCAGAGACATTTCATTGCAACATTTGTTAACCGTTATGCTGTTTCATTATTTTATGTTTAACCTCAGGAAACTTCTCAGGGAATGGATGAATCTATTTTCGACCTTCATCTGCAATAATTGGCCACAGGCCAATCGCTGAGACACACAGGTGAGTTTGAAAATATAACCACACAACCGGAGGAGATAAGGGACTGAAAAAGGAAGCTCCAAACAAATCAAAAATAATCTTTCAAGACACCTGAGAAAGTTAAAAAAGCATTGTTCAGCATGAATGCTATGAATGATTATACAACATATTGTACTGACGGACTTCCTGGTGTAAAATGTTCACTGAAAATTGGGGCGGAGGGAAACGAAGAAGAGTATAAAAAAATAAACAGTGTATCATGGATATCTCAGCAATAAAGTTACTTCAAAATTCATGTTAGGCAAAAATAAAGGTTATCTCAACAATGCACCTGGAGTAAATCTGATCATCCAGTCACATTACGCATTTTATTCGGATTACACATACAGTCAAACTGGTTCAAGCAACCATTCCTATTCAGCAACCACCAGCTATTAAAAGCCACCTTGGAACAGTCTGGTTTGCCGACCAACAAATCCTTACTCAGAAGCCACCCTTATAATAAAGGCCACTTTTGTTCCAGTCACGTGAGTAGTTGTTGAAGACAGGTTTGACTGTATATCACTATACACAAGTTTCGTTTGCAGAAATATTTCTCCACATCAGATGCTTGGTGTAGTATTCTGGAAGCCAGGAGGGCTGGTTGCAATCTGTCAAAAGCTTTGGACATTGTTTCTCTTCAGGACATAGGCTTTGTAGAGTAAACTGTATAAAGGGGAGTTGTACAATGCACAAGTCCCAGAATTAAAGGTGAACATTTTCTGCAAACATTGAGAACAGAGACCTTGACTACTTATAATGACCAGTGTTAACAGGCCCTTCCCTTCTTTCCACATTAATTGTAAAAATTATTTTAAACTTGAAACTTCGGTATCAACCAACATGTAAAATGTGGCATAAAAATAACGGATGCACATAAGAACCGTGATTTGTACCAGCAACAAGACTGCATAGAAAGTGTAGTCCTACAGATCAATGGTGTGCATTGGCTGCACCTAAATTGCACATATTGTACATCTGCCAAAAAAGATCTTAAAGGTTTAACCAAATGATGCTCTTCAAGCAGACTGTTATACCTTTAGATTTAAAGGAAAACCTCTAGAAAGGAAAGATGAAGGCTGGACATCAACACCCTGCATGCGTTTGACTTGTGTGTGCAGAGTTCTGCCTTCCCGAACGACAGTGATGTGAGCAGGCAGTGTAAATGTAGCTCTGCGTTGAAAATAAAGTTGGTGGGGCACCCAGGCTGAGGTGCAAGGAGTGGGGGTGGAATTCCACACTATTGTGTTTTAACAAGGGCAGGTTGCAGGAGTTGAGTATTCAATTATTTCTGGTACAACTGTAAATTCAGTATTCGGAACATAAATATAGCTATGGGGCTTTTCTACAATGCTGGGCTCAATAGGCCTGAGAATTGAAAGAGGGCTTTCAAAAGTCAGAGGCACCTCAGGCTATAAGAGGCCGACTTGGTAGGATGCCAAGGAAAACATACAGCACACAATCTTTGCTCAGTCATGCAAACCTCTGCGACAACTGAATGTGGACCTTCTCCCAGCTCGACAGGTCGCAAGCTCTGGTCAATCAATTTCTGTCATGAACACTTGAGGAATTTGCACCGAAAGGTTGCTTTGCATCATTTCTTGCTTGATTTTGAAACCGAGATTTCCAAAACACTACATGTTTCGCTGGTTGTTAATTTACTGCGGTTTGATTGAAGAACAACCACAAAGGAACAAAATCAAACATGGGAGATCTTCAACAAAAAGAAGCAAAGTGACTTGCCGAATGAGACTGTAAGACACGGAATCTGTTCCAAACAATTCAAATCAAATTTAAATACAATGGGCGAAGATTTAAAAAATTTAGAGATTTTCATTTGACCTTCATTTAAACACAAAAGCAATTTAGAGTAATTAATTATGCAATATATATATTCCAAAAATGTAAAAAGGCCCATCATACACCAATCGCTAAAACGAGCAATCCTTTTGCTGCGTCTTTATAGTATGTGTCCTATGACTTCCCTAAGAAAGGGATGCATAAGGATTGGCTCTGTAGACGACATTAAAATTCAAGGAGTTAAAAGAAAATCTTGGTGAGATCAGTATAGAAAGAATTTGCATGAAGTGCATCTGTCAGTCAGCTTTCATACATGGGCTATTTTGAGACAAATTGTGAAGAGTCGTTAAAGACTCGGTAAAAAAAAGTCTAAAGACTGAGCATTGAACCCCACTGCACCCCACCTCCTCAATTCCACCCCTACTTCTCACCTCAAATGCTGAGAATCAGAGGGATTCTGAAAGCTTTATCTGTAGACATACCTTTTTACGCATTTTACTTTTAGGAGCTTCACAAACTAATATTGATTTTCCAAGCTCAAAAGAGAAGCTCTGCAAGAACTAGTTGCCAAGCAAATGGGACAATTGAAATAAAAAATACTTTGAACATATCACATCAAGTAAAAACGTATTGAATGGACTCGTCTCACTTTATACAGGGGATTGATTGACTGTGCAACAATGTTGGTTATGCATCGCTTGCAACCATGCTTTTATTTGGTCATGTGAAAAGGATTCTAAAAGCTGTAAAGAATTGTAAAAGCTTGTACATAACAAGGCAGTTGTGAAACAGTAAAAAAAAGGCTATATATCCGTCTCCTATAATTTCCTTTCCAGGGATTCCTGAGGCTAGTCTGTGATCAAACACAGCTTCAATGTCCTTCCTATTAACCGAGATCACTATTCCTTGGAATTTGAGGTTAGTCTCAAGCAACATGAGAAACAGTTAGAAACAAATGCACTGAGACAGCAAAGTTTTAGCTTTAACTCCTTAAGACGGGACCCACGTGACACTGTCATTGGTGAAACCTTGGGCAAGTTTCTTTACTCCACTCGCCTGATAATAATCACTCAAGAAAAAAAATAATAAATTGGTCATTTCAATCCATGACTGTTTGTGGGACACTGCTGTGCGCAATTGGCTGCCACACTTCATCCACAAATATACAGTCAATTCACTTGACAATCTATTCAAATGCAAGGATTATTATTATCATTATTATTATTACTATCTATGCATATATTTTGGATCAATGCCACTTCATCGCAAAAAGAATTTCAAATAAAATATTCACAAATTTGTGTTTGTTTCCAAAATAGATTTATTGTTTTAAGGATTAAAATGTTTTTTTTATTTAAAAAAAGGTGTGAATATAAGAAGCCAAATCTGACAGGTGTTGTGTTCGTCTAAAAAATATTCTTTGAACACGAGAGGCCTGAAATTTCTCTTGGTTTTAGCCATTAGACCATTGTGTTCGAATCAACATTGTCCGGGCTTTTTAAAATCAACCTTAATTTAAAAGCCAGTGTTCCTCAGTTCTTAAAAAGAACCAGCTTCCAAACAAAGACTGAATTTAAGAATTTTCCACAATTCTGCCCAGTGTTTCATTTTTTTTAATAAATTTTTTTTCTTCTTGTAGCGAAGACCATGAGAAAGTTTGGGCCTCAGATTTGATTAAAAGCACTCACTGTACAAATCTTTACTTGATCTCAAGTTATGATTGTTCAGCTGTTTTGTTTTCATGCAACAAGTTCTAGGAGTCATATGGACTAGAAGAAATTGGTGCTGTAAAAGTTGAGCTGTTTGAAATGCAATCCTATAACAGTTGCAAAAATATATGTTACAGTGAAAAGATGAGATATTCCTTCGAGTGCTACTGAATACTGGTAAATGCACCACCAAAGGGCCAGGATATGTACTAGCAAAACAACCTTTACACGATATGGGTGAATGGTAGACGACAATGCCTTTTTGTTTCAATTATGCATTTATCCTATCCAGAAGGTACTGTACTGGTAGATGACAGGCTTTGTTTAACATTACAGAACAATATTAATAGGTCAATGGTTAACCTTGTGCTCACATTTCCATTAGAAGTGTATTACAATTTGTGCAATAAATGTGAGCAAAGAAACTCCCAGATCACCAGTCAGCTTCCAATTTATATGCCAATAAGCATGCCATCTTGAGTCGGAAACCTGCTTTGCTGCAACCCTATGGGTTAAAAGTGTCGAATAGTTTTCCCTTTTACCGCAACTTTAAGGCTACCAGAGATCACGTAACAGTACTGATTATGCAAAAATACTGAAAGCTCTAGTACAGTTCTAATCACATTTTGCCCCTTACATTTACATTATATTGAAATCACCTTTCAGTTAACATTGGCATAACATTTGTGCGGAAAAATAGAATTTGAGCCACTCAAAAGACTTTGTTTAAACAATGAGTTCATGTAAGAGGAGCTCCTTGCACATCAGCTCTTGATTGGCTTTATGTTCAGGGTTTAGCGGATTCGAGTTGATGTCGTCAGCTAGATTCAAGATTTCACTTCTTTTTTAAGGTCAATCTCTTCATATATTGGGTTGTCGTAAGGCACGATGTGTACAGGCAGCGAATTCACTCCACCTTCGTTATTAACCAGATACTGTTCTTCACCTTTGTGGGAAAACAAAAGAACATGCCAATCAATACTCTTGCAGAAATTAAAATGCCTGCGCTGAAAGGTTAACATCGGCAAAGTTAATAATTATAGATTTACATTTTTCATGAATTCATGCCCTTGTACTCTTGCAAGATAGTCAAAGGAATTAAAGTCTCTTATATGGACATTGAACGAAACAAACATTGTGAAACCTTTCCCTTGAGTTTATTACTGGAATTTATTGATCATAGAAATAGATGCCTTATAAACTCAATACAATACAGCACAGTGTTGCGCTGATTACTCACTGGAAATTGGACTCTCCTCTGTTGCACGCTCAGGCCCATAAACAGACGGCAGTGTATAGATGGCATTCTCTGGGATATCAGTACGCACATCCAGTCCATTTCTCTGAGAATTGTTGAAGGTTAGCTCTGGCGCGCTTTGCTCACTGTCCTTTTCTTCATCATTCTGTATATTAGAATAGTATTTGGTTGCAGTATTCTCTCCAACCAAACGGTCAATTTCAAATTAAACAAAATTGACTGCTGTTTAGAAGAGATATCACTTAAGAAAGGTTAGTGAACAGGATAAAAGCTTTCCACGGCTGGAAAGGTGAAAGTTTATCTACCCTTCTCCTCCCACCCCAAAACATGTAATTTTTAAAAGGCTGATTTTTGAAATCAAAAGTCAGACATTGTTAAAAAGTCCAGCTTCCTTTTGCTGCAAACATTCTTTTGAGCATAAACTCCTGACTTAACGTACCTCGATTCCAAGAGCTTTAAGAATATCACATTTACACATAGGGCATGTTCTGTGCTCCAGAATCCAAGGGTCAATGCAGGATTTGTGGAATATATGGCTGTTTTAAAAAAANCACAAGTTTATTTTTACCTACAAAATATAGTTACAAAACTTCACTGTAAATCATGTGAACAAAATAATAATAAACAAAATCCTTAATAATTATCAACACCAGCCTCTATCTAATCCTGCTTTAGCAACAAAGGAATTGCTAAATAAGTTCAGAGCTGATTAAACAGATTCTCTACCAACTACTTGTATTGGATAACAATCTTCATGACAAAGTCCTTATGTGACGAGACAAACATCATTTATTTACCTTAGGTCTGAATTTCAACTAAGTGCTTCACCCTTTTCTTCTAAGTTATCTAAATAGTAAATGTGCCTAAACAGTGCAACCAGCAAAGGTTATAAAAAGTCAAATATAATTTGAAGCTTTTGGGGAACCTCTTCTTCAGAGTGGGAGAAGACAGGAGTGTTCCAGCGTTTACGGCATTGTGAACTCACACACATAAATGACGCAATTTACATGATTTTATTAAGACTTTCTGTGCTTTTTTTTAGCAATCTACAATAATTAGCAAAGGGGAATGTAGGAGAAATGCCTTTTCACACGGAGATTTGTTAGGATGTGGAATGCCCTGCCAGATACAGGGATGAAAGCAGACTCCATATTAGCTTTCAAGAGGGAACTTGATACATATCTTTTAAAATAAAATGAGTCATTTGCAAGGATATGGGGAAACAGCAGGTAAATGGGACTGAATGGATTGCTCTTTCAAGGAGCCAGTACAGACATAGAAGGGCCGAATGGCTTTCTTCTGTACTGCAAATTCTATGGTTCTATGCAACCACCATCTTAAAAATCTAATTTCCTTCTTTCCCCCGATTCTGGTAGTAATATTGAGGATGCTCGGCGTGATTTTTTGACACTACTTGTCTCTCGATACCTAAACGATGTCTCAGACCTTGCATTTCGTTCCCATGTATAGAATTTGACCTCAAGACAAAAATATCCACATGAAGCAAACAGGTGTGGTCTTAATGACTGGACTGCAACAGTCTTGTTATTGCACCACAATAACTTTGCACGGCACTGATGACATGAGGTTAGCTTCCCCTTTGACACTAGAGAATGAACATAGCTATGACTCTTAATCACAAGGCTGGGTTTTTCAAAAACACGATAACAACTTATGATTCAATTGCCATTTGTAAGAAAATAAGTGACTCCTCTCAGTAAAGAATAGGATAAGAAAGCAGGAAGTTGCAAGCGAACTTTCCACCTCAAACGTGGATACTTTCCGAAGGTCAATCAAAACACCTGAATGTTGAGGCTTTCACATTCTCTCTGACCATATCAAATTAGTCTTGATCCTGTTGAGCCTCACAATATAGTGCTCCGAAAACATACAGAACTATATATATATAATAAGAGTTATATACTTATTAATGGTACCTGCAAGTTGGACTTGAAACGTGTGTGTCGCAGAGTTGACAGAAACATCAAGCAAACAAAATTTCCCTTTAGCATTTTATAAATTGGAAAATTCTACCCCAAACAAACCGGGTGATACAAATTCTTATTGCAGAATATTGCACTATTATTTCTGAACTACGTGTACAGTACACAAGAAGATGCTTGACGATTGGTTATTTACCTGCATGTCAAAATCCGGACAACATCACCAGGCTTATAGGGTTCAATGCACACTGCACAAGTGTCAGCATCTGCTTCAATCTCCTAAACGATTAAAAAGAAGGCATAATTGAGTGCAAAGTTCTTAATTTCTAACTTAATATTTTGTTGACTTAATCTGCACGTTTTCACAAAATTATAGGGATGGGGGGGGATGGTGTGGGGGGAGTCACCAAACCCAAACCTGTCTTTAAAAATTTGGTTAATTTGACGAGATCTCACACACAACCAATCACTCAGCCAGCAGAGGACAGAGCTGAGCAATGAACAAGCATTTGCATTGTGTTGGTTGGCATCCATTACCAATCCAAATCAGCACACGTCCCAAATCATTACATAGAGAAAACGCCTGAAATAGTCTTTTGCAAGCAAAAGTGAGCAACATCAGTTTTAAATAGGAAAGACACCCAAGTCAGATCTTCTATACAATTGAATAAATTCCGCTAATTTGAGATTTATTTCGCCAGTTTTCATTCCCTTCTGCTAAGCCAAAGACAGAGAGCGTTACCTGTACTTCAACGGCAGAATAGTCTGCTAAGTCTCTTCTTGTTATTCCAAGGTACTTTCATAGAAATGATATGTCACAAAAACAGATCATTCATCCCAACTAGTTTGTGCCAGTGGGGTAACACTGGTTGGTGAATAGTAGCAGGAATCCTGGTTAAGTTTTTTACTCCCACTAACTCAGGAGTCCTAAGAGGAACTTCAGTGCCATTCCAGGGGAGATCTGCTTCTCAGCATCAACAAGAAGTTCCAACAAAACAGCTGATAAACTTGAAGCTCTTTGAACATTAACGTACACCAGGAGATACTATTCCATGTTAAATATTTTATGGAAATGCAGGAAGAATAGATTAAAGGTTAATGCAGGCTGGTCTACACAGAATATGTGATCACGTAATAGTGTTGCCTAGAATACACGTGTGGATCACCCAAGAGAGTTCATTCAGGTCAAGATCTTGAACTCAAACACCTTAATTGTGCTAAGCAAGCTGATTTGTGGTGCTAGAATTAGCATCAGTGTCCCTAGATCAGGGAATCTTTTAAAAATAAAACAGCTAGTGTTCTTGCAAAAGGTCCCTGCTCAACGATCCACAGAAGTTAACCATATCCATTTGCCAGATCAAGACAGGTTTAGGTTTGGTGATAACCCCCACCATAATTTAATAAAAACTTGCAAATTAAGTAAACAAAATATTCATCACTGAGCTTCGCCTAATTTGTGATACAAGAGTAAGATTACCTGAAGTTCTACAAACAGCAGAAGAATTAAAAGTTACAGTAAAACCTGCATAAATCTGATCTGTATAAGTCGTATAATTGCCTAAATCGTATAAATCAATTTCCTACTATTTACATATCAATTTCGCATAACTCATACTTTGCTAGACATTTCACTGATGATACATACCTCGTCTCCTTGCTTCAAAGTACGAACTTCCAACTTGTTAATTACTTTCTTGGCTTCATTTTTCAGCTGTTTCTGTGAATAGATAAAGAGAGTCAATTACTGTATCCACATAAGTTCCTCAACAAAAGCCCCACTTACTTCACTCCTAAAACAAAGAGCTGCGGTCAATATGAAGATTTACAACACTAATTACTGAATCCCACTTACTTAGCATCAATAGAGACAGGAATACTGAAGCTTCATTGTAAGCAAGCCACAAACTGGGGTGTATACGGAGGAGGAGGAGGAAGAGGAGGTGGCTAAAGAATAGTCTTAGTAAGAAAATCATGATGAATATCTTAAGTTTGGAATTTACACCGCTTCAGTTTAACAATATTAATGCAGAATTTGGTTTGAATTCTCCCTCACGGACACCAAAAAAAATCCAGAGTTTAACATTTGGGACGGGAAAAAAATCATAGAAAGATGTCTGTGTGTGCTGATGTCTAGTCCATGCTCGTGTTTATACTCCACATGAGCCACCAACTCTCTATTTCCTTCTTCCTCATGTATGCACGAAGATTCCTCTTAAATACATTGATGACTTCTGCTTCAACCACAGCTGTAACTTCCATATTCTTACTATTCTCTGTGGAAAGAAATTCCTTCTAATCACCCTTTTATATCTGTTGCTGCCAATCTTACCTTTAATGCCCCCTTGGTTTGGACTTACCAACGAGTGGAAGCAATATATTAATGCCCACGTCATCAGATCCCCTTTATAATTTTTAAACACAATTCACCAGTCTCGATCAGTCTTCCAATTTATACTGTGAAATGCTACATGCTTCAGATGAACCTCAGGGGCATTGAGATCAACTGCAGGAACCCAAATGCGGACCTGGGTGAGATCAGCTCACTCAGCACACATCAAGAACTTGCATCTACAACCTTCTGGTCTGCATGGCTCAATGCCGCACCTTCCTTTCCGAGCAGAAGAACTATCTCTGTACTCTTAAAGTGATCATTTCAGACAAGAGCTCAAATGGATTTGCATTCACTGCACTGAATGTCATGCTGCACGAATCAATGTTTTGGTGAAAGCCACCTCAAGTTTGTGGTCTGCACTGAGATTGCATTGCCAAATCCCAATTTATACTATGCTTTGCCGTGAAATTAACACATCATAGCAAGACATCATTCCTATGTTCCCCATAAACTGAGAAACCTTAAAAAAACGCCCAAAACGCCTTTATTGCAATAATTATCAAGGATTTCTTGACATTTTTCCCAGTTGAACAGTTTAGCGGTCAAAATATTTAGAGGAAAGTCAACAGTTCACACACTGCCTCAAAGGTCAGGTTCCCAAATAAAACAGAATGAAAACAAATAATTTGTAAGTAGCCTCAGTTAGAGATTTAACTTGGGCAAGGCCAGCAATCGACAAAAATATCTTTTTGCCTTATACACTCAAAATATTGAAATAATGCAGATTGTATTCAACTCTGAAGAAGTGTTAGACATTCATGCAATCTCAGGTTAATAAAAAATGTCTCTGGAAAAACACTGATCACAAGAGAAAGAGCGGTCCAGTATAGAAAAGGCTCCTCCTTAACAACACAGGCTGATATCAGGCGTTATTTCTGCAAGTCACCCTCCAACTATTTACTGTAACGCAAGTCATAAATCCCTGATAAAAGTTCGACTTTGATACACCACTTTATAAGTTCTTGTGGAGCGTAGGAAAATGAGAATTGGCTAATCTAAAATGTTTATTTTTGTTGGAAAATGGATTTAGTAAACATGTATGTTTGCTTCCTGGCTGAATTGAAACACTTTCTTTTAAAGGAAAGATGAACTCTGTTTTCGTTAAGTTGCAGAGCAGCACACATATCCTTAGTACAAGCTAGGACTAACACCTCAAAATAATCAGATGAAGCTCAAACTCAAGGTGATTAGGTCATTTTAAAAAGTGCGTGTTTTGGTGATAAGATGGCTTTCTGTGAATGCCAGGCTGAGGCAGTTGGTTTCACAAAGAAAAAAAAGTACAAGTGGGGTTAAATAAATGTACGTTGATAGTATTGTGGGCTGCAGATGCAATAAGACAACACAGTATATACTTAAAGTCTGCATTAATTCCCTCTCTATGATTTTCGATTACTTCAAGCATAAATCAACTTTATTGACAGGGTCACTGTCGTGAATAGTTGTGCAAAAGAGTTTTCAAATAGGATCAATTCCAGGCACAGTTTTCAGCCAGTTCAGTTTCTAATGATAATACTAATCCGTGAATTTGATAGAACACCTTTTCACATCCATAAAACATCTCAAAGAGCTTCACATGATTTACCGTAGAATGTAGTGGCTGTCTATCAAAAGTGAATGAACCCTACATAGAGAAGAGCCTCAGACTATTTTGGTTGGAACATTACGCATGCGTGGCACAATGTATCACACACACGATTCAAATCTTGCCTTTATAAACAAAAAAAAGCGCTTTGATGAAGATGGTCTCCTTTATTCTTTAATAACATCCTAACTAATGTTATTAGTCAAATACAAGCATGGTTTGATAAACTGTGGAAGTGCAGAAATTCTACATTAACAATGTAGTTTTGAAGATAATTTGGTTATTCAGCTCAGGTGCAGACCAGGAAAGCTACTAAATATCTTCTACATCTACTGGGTTGGTTTTCTATTGGGAAATGCAAAGTAAACATGAATCTGCACAATCTGCAGGAAGTTCAGTGAATACGTTTGTAGGGGAATTTTAGTAAATATCCGTGTAGTTGCACCACAGATGAACCCAGCATGGATTACATCAGATTGCTGCAAAACAACTAGATCAGTCACCAATGCTAAAAAAAAACCTTGGTTAATAATAATAATATTCCCTGTATTTGATATAGCGCCTTATCGTGTCTTTGAGACGTTTCAAAGCGCTTCACAGAATATACTGTAAAGTGAACTGATTGTATATTTTGTGGGCAAAGGGATTATTACCCCTGAAAAAGCAATCCGCCAATCAACTAACAACATCTACTTGCTGCTAGGTAAATGGAGGCATGTGGAGTAAGGAAACTTCCCTGATATGTTGTCTTGCCTGGGAATCGAACCCAGGTCCTCTTGCTTGCTAGGCGAGTGTTCTAGTCTCTAAGCTACAGGACTCCACAGGTTTTCATTGAGCATTGATGATCTTAGAACACATTTCTCCCAAAGCGATAACACAATTTTTATTTAGACAGGGCACCCACATCCTGAGCCACAGGCTGGTAGAAGGGGACAGGCCAATGAGCAAAATTGAGGAGTTATCTTATGGAAAATGTACTGAATCTATAAAATAGGAAGTTTAAATAAAAAAACATAATGTTCATCAGAGATTTGGAGCGATTATCCTCGATTGTTTCAGCCCTCGAGCTATCAGAACAAAAAGCACTTAGCGCATAGATAAGAAGGTCACTTTTCTTTACTGAGGGGCACACTTAGTACTGGGATCCATCTAGGTTTAGGGCATTTGAAGAGAATTCATAGATGCTTGTACAAGTGCAGTGGTTTCGAAAGGCTGATGTTGCTTTTGCAATTCCAGTGTTGGTACATGTTATACCTTAAAGTCAAGGAGGTTAAGGGGAGAGATGATTTTTACATCAGATGCTTTTAGTTCACGGATGTACAGGTGAATGCCAGGGCTTTAATCTGCTGCAACAATTGATTTGAAAGATACCCACCACTCTCAGCTAACAGTAAAAGAGACTCAAAATAGAAAAAAAAACCTAGCTGGTAACTGTCTGAACACTTCTCAAAACCCCAGTCAGCATTGCTGTGATGCAGTCATGCAAATGACAGTCAGTATAGAATATCAAAAGGTATTGATAGAAACGTGAAACAAGAGAAGTCCAATATGCTATTAAGGTAAAGAGGAAGCAGATTATTCACTTTGTTAATAAGATCCTCATTTCTCATTTTCTGAATGAGAACCATTTGCTTTAATACCTCCTGGTACAGGATGCTGGTGCAAATAATAAAACTAGTTTAGTCACTACTGAAATCAAAAGTTGTCAAGTTATGTGAAAACATTTAATGAAGAATTAAGGGCCATAACCAGCATTGGGTTATCATGGCTAGTGCTGACAATACCTGGCTATTTTGCTAGTTTTCAGGCAGAATCTTCTCCAGGGATGGACATAGTTTGCTGCTAACTCTGAAAGCTGTGTTGCTTTATTCTAGTCAGTTGGAGGCATCAAGAATTAGAACTACAAAGGGAACGTGTAAAATTCAAAGTTTGTGAACAGCCATGCTTAGCTGGTATGTTGACGCTGGCTGATACTGCTGGTTCATCATTCTATGCAGTTTGACTTCAATTTTTAGGAATTTACGCACTACATTATGATTTTACTCAGTACATGCTTGCATTGGTATTGCGCCTTTCACGTCAGAAGGACGTCCCAAAATGTGTTGCAGGATTTACCGTCGTGCATATGTGTATTTGTAAGTGAAATGCCTTGAAATTAAACAAGCAGAGGAAATTTTATTTCCAACAGCTCAACAGTATTTACTGCAAATGGACTGCTGTCAAGTTATAGTAGTCACAGAGGGTTAAACTGTGAAACAACTCGATCTCTTTAAACCTGTACCTTAGGTACCTCCTGGCTAAACAACAGTCTCCATTCTTATCAGTATCACAAGGAGAATATTGACATTTTACTGCAGGGTTTGGAAACATTCCTGGGCTTTTGTAGCCCAGGAAACATTCCTGGGCTACAAAAAGCAATGCAGTTTTCCAATACACCAGAATATTTGAGCACAAATGCACAAAACCATGGTATTACCCGAATACCATGGTTCCTCTGCAGTGTTAATACATCACTTTGAATAATTTTACAAAATACTTTAGAAAGACTTCCTCAAATTTCGAACTTAGGTAGTACTTGCAGAATGCTACATATGAAACTTTTCCATTCACTGGAAATGATTTTCACATCAGAAATTGAGTCAGTTAATTTAATCGTAATTAAAATTGTGTTATCTAAATCGTACGAATATATTAAACCCAGTTGTGATGATCTTATTTAACAATGGACATTATCTCATTGCGAAGTAACAGTCATACAACACAAATAGTGACAACACACAATGTGTTCTGGTATTTAACATGAAAATTGCATCCTTACTTGTTTTTTTCATGAGCAGGCAGGGAGAATAGCATTATATGATTTTGTATTCCGACTACTATTTGAAATGACTATTTCAGAAATCTTAAAAAGGAAAGCAATATTGAGTGTAGTGGTGTGAGCGCAGAGATGTGAGTGCATTAGAAACTGATTTTGAACCCGCTACAGTGTGAACTGGTTCAAAGCTTTTCGGCTTGAGCAAGTTCAGATTTCAAGTTCAATTGCGATTCTGTGCTAAGACACCACAGTGTTTCATTTAGGTTGGACCAGATAGAGTTTCAGTCACATGCAAGTAGTAATGTAGGACTGGTTATTCCAGTGCTATTTACGTCAAACAGATTGGACGCAGTACAAGTGTACTTCTGTCACAAATAGATTGCATATATGTACGACCATAATGGAACTCAGAACAGTAAAATTGCTTAAAATTCTCTGTTCTTTTCCTCTCAAGAAATATTCAATGAGGATGCTGAATATTTTCCGTGGCAACCCCAACTGAGTAACTACTTACTAATAAACTCTGAGCAATATGCACCCAAGCCACTAATTGTTCTCAGGTCAACCAGATTGCTTGGTTCTCTCTGCAGAAATTATATTTTTGGATTTATTTTTTAAAAGCCATATACAAAAAGGAACATTTCAACTCAAAACAGCTTTAAATCCCTAAAACTGCAGACACATTGGATCAATGTATCAGCAAAGACTTTAAGATAATACTGAGAATAAGGTCAAAGCCAAGTGGGAAGTCAGATTATGAGTTAGCCTTAGAACATTAATAAAATGCAAGCCTTATTTGGCTTTCTCAAGTCAGAAGTTACAACTATTAGCGATTTGTGATGGCCTGAGGTATTTTGAGATTAAAATTATGATGTAATTTTTTAAAATCTGCAGTATGAGGAAAGTACTTTCTTTAATTCAAATGATCTGTACTTGATGTGACCCTGTGAAACTTTTCAACCAACTCACATAACAGATTAACTCTATTACGAAGAGATTATTTTACCAGCTACCCAATTATTTCAGTCATTCTTTAAAATTGTCTTATCATAGCAAACAGTTTTAAAAGACTTAGCAGTTGAGCTGAATGAAATTGGATTACCTACATTAAGGTTGATTTTTGTTTATAAAAAAAGAATCAGCTCCGAGATTATGCAACTACACAGTTATACTGTCAAACCCAGTAATAATAACTCAACAGTGCTTTGAAATCAGTACTACAGTGCTCATACTGTCCTAATCCTCAGAACAATGTGAATTTTTTGTGGTGTCAATTTTCTCTGTTCCACAGAGTTTAGATTTTGCTTTCAAAAACAAGTGCTTAGAAAGGAGGTTTAGGAAAATATTATCTGACAGACACATTGCAAAAGGATTGAGTGATGAGATGGACTAGCGAATTTGGCTGACTCTGTGGTCCTTAGATAACTGTCCGGAAATCAATGTGAATTAAGATGTATAGCTTGTCAATCATCACAGCAAACAAACAGCCAGCACTGCACAAATGTGACACCAGTGCAGATTTTCCAATAGGTATGCAGCATCTCTTGAGCTACAATACTAATGCAATGCACCAACAGTGCAGTGTGTCTATGTCAATCTGCAGGCAAACACAGTTTAAAAGTTTGTGTGTGTGTGTGTGCGCGCATGCGGAAACATCAAGCAGATCACCCCAAAGCAAATATAATGCAAGTGAAAGAACATTACCACAAATCTTAAGGAAGGATCTAAAGGCACGGCCTGGGAGTTAAGGCTGTGATGTGTACTGCAGTACTGCATTTAAACAGGTAAATCAAATCCAAATGATTACAAGATTTAAGGATTTGGCCATCTCCTTTAATGCTCTTATTTAAAGAGTACATTCACCCAACTTCTATTGCACTAGATTTGTAGTGTAGTCAATTTAACGGATTCATTTTCTTTTTTTTTAAGAAAGTATATACGTTGTGTACATGGACATTTCTAAGCCCCTTGGCCTAATTTTGGTACAAGTGGGATCTCTTCATTGTATACTGCCCATGAAATTGACTCACCCTCCTCTTTTTTTAACAAAAAACTTTGCAGATCGCAAAACAACAAGGAGCATTAGAGGATATAGACAGGACTGTACTCGGACACTTGTAGACACATACCCCACATTCCGTCTCTCACCCAGGAACCTACCTGTCTTCTGGTCAGGGCCCTTGCAACTCGCCATCTCCTGGCAGAATAAAAGATGAAATAGCCCACAGTAGCTGCTGTGACAACGAAAAAGGAGATGGAGACAAAGAAGACCGAATACTGGTTCGTCCATGGTCCATGCTGCTTTCCAACTTCAATCATCATGGAAACCGAAATGCCCTCTCTTACGTGGTTCAAAATTTCAGCGCCTTTGTTGTTGCCAATCATTACAGCAATCATATTTTCAGTCCCTGTGAAATAAGAGGCACAATGAGCATGCTGCCCATTTCTACAAGATATCACAAACTTTAACTTGAGGAGATTTCGCATGTATTCCACCAAGGAGATCGGAAGATCCCAATGACAAATAGTCCTGGAATAATATTAAGCTAAAATACAATTAAACAGAAATAAATAGTAATTTATGACATGTTTGGCCATGGCATGTTTGGCCTGTGTTTACCTCAATAATTGAGGCCATCTTACATTGATGGCCTTGACCTATGGTATTTATAACATGTTTGCAGTATGAACACCGACTAGCACAGTCTTGTTGGCTGAACGGCGACCGTTTGCTTAATATTCAATTCATGTCTAGTTATAACACTTTGAAGTTAAACCAGATCTGAAGCAGAGATGAACAACAAGCATTTAGGCCTAAATTAAGCCAAAGCTCCCATTCCCAAATGCTGTCTCATATCTTGCACAGTGTATAGAGGATTGGGTTTGGCTATTATGGCCTTCAGTTCAACTCCTGTATTTGATGTCAATTAATGGCAAGAATCAAAAACTTGTCACAAAGGGAAAGGGCTCAGTGACAAGCTATCTGGAGTGGGGAGTTAGGCACATTAATAAACACATAAATAAATGCAGCCAGGATATTGACACCATGATGACTTAAGTATTAGTGACAAGTTACCAGGGTCGTGTTAATAGGAGTTTATTGCACTGAAAGCCATTGGCAACTTAAAATCATACTTAGCAACAATCAACACCTCCAGGAGAATCTGAATAGTGGGAAGCAAACAAGAAATCTGCAGGTATGCTCACATAGTCCGTGCATCACAATGGGTTGCACAGTTTTGGAAAAATAAAAGTTTATTCCTCCCCCTATCCCACATTTCTCTTTGGTGAAGGAGCACAATGGCCAATAACTATGGGCAAAGCTGCTACACTGCAATCATCAGTGGTTGCTTTATTGTTCAGTGTATGTGGTGATGTTCAAATGCACCTCATTATCACTTGAAAGAAAAACTCCATCACACCATAGGAAAACAACAACAACAAGATTACATTTGTGTAGCGCCTTTCATGTCGTGAGGACGTCCCAAAGCGGTAGACAGTGTACAGCATTTCAGACCCGAGCTGGGGTCATGGGGGTAGAAGGGAGGGGAGGGAAAGGGAGGTGGCCGATGGCATGGTCGAAAAGGAGGGTCCTTAGGCGGCACTTGAAGGAGGCTAAGGAGTGGGCGAGGCACAGTGACTGGGGGAATGGTAAAAAATAATCAAGAAAGGTACAACCTAAAATAAGGCCCCGTGCATTGCCAGGGCATTACAAAACTGCAAAAGAGCACAAAGACCAATCACTCTTGGTATCCAGTAGGAATATTATACCAATATAGAGGCCTGAAAGTAGCAAAAAGATCATCTAAGAACAGCGAAGTGTTGGTCTTGCAGAAACACTGAAATAAAAGAATGATAGGCCCTTAGAGTTTAAGCATACATACCTAAAGAGCTACTCATTTGACAACCAACCAACCTACAATCACACCCAGATACAATTGGTCCTACACTTGTGAGTAAAATTCTGTAAAAGGCCTTAATTTGCGCCTTATCACATCTTGATGATGTGATAGGACGCCATATAAATGCAAGGATTATCATTACATCAAGAATCTCAAGACTTTGGCATGGTTCACAACTGCGAGTTCGGGTTTTATATTTACTGCAGGCAGACAACATGGTGATACAATAATTTGTGGACCCGTCTTGCTCAGTGTTATCCCATTTGCAACTTTGGCACCAGCACATTGAAATGTCGAACCGGGGCTTATCTGGAGAATCTTCAACCTCGAACCAGTTAGAGCCAGATTCCATTAGAAAACACAAGGCCTCGGGTCAATAGATGTGGGAGGGTGTCCAACTACACAAACCGCAGAGGGTCAAAATGGATTGCTGAACCGGTCTGTTCGCATTATATACAATATACTAGACACATCATGTACAAAATATAATCTGGTGAAACGTGCTTAAACCAATGTGAGGGCGTACGAGCTAAAGCAGTCAGTGCAATCCACTTTCAAACTTTCCCTGGGGAATCTGACTGGATTCAAGGGGTTTTGTTTGACTGAAATCCAGTGTTGGGGTACAGTGCATGAGTGTCCAGCAATGATTTCACGGCGCTGTCTTGTTTATTACACTTGAAAAATGATTGTTCTGGTAGCCTGCGAACAGAACGCTCAATGTCTACGGTCGTACATGAAAAGTGGCTGCAGGATTGCTGCCAGCACCTGTGGAATGACACGCCCCAGAATGAATCAACATGTGGAAGCCGGCAACAAAAAAAGGTTGTTTTTTTCCCCTCTCGAGTCACTCACGCGTTCATCCCCGAACACAACAGTACAAATCACAGTGGCAGCCTCAAGGGGGAATTTCTCCAATCTTGGCTGTTCCCCAAGTCTTTGTTGTTTCCCAATGGTACATCATGTGAAGGAGCATAAAACTGATTAAAAAATAACGACAAACACGAGCGGAACCTGCAATTTTCACATGAGAACCTGCAATTTTGCAGAAAACCCTTGAAATCTAAACGTTTATTTCCTGAGAAGATTGAGAGCCACGGACATTACACTGCCCTATTATCCATCAAATGTCAGACGGCTCTTCTTACTTAGAAAAGATTCAGTTGGAAGGAGCGGATATCCCTTTGTACTGAAATGCCTGAATGCAGGCACGAAACCAAGAGATTTGAGTCAGCCAAGACCCACCTCAAACCACTGGACTCCCTTCTGAAGCCCACACATTCAGCTCAGGAACACAGAAATCACCTGAAGTTTTTGTTCCTTAAAATAGTACAGCCCTTCCCAGTGTGTACACCTTAGGGCAATCCATCACCCCTCTTCTTAGCGCAACTAGACTTGTTGATTCTAGTAGAGCGGAGTCAAGACTGTTCAAGAGACACCAACGCCACAGGGCAACACGAGACAATGAGAACAGAGCAGTGCAAAAGTGGTATGGACAAATAACTTAGGACAATTTGTGTTCCTGTTGAGAACACAGTAGGAATGTAAAACATTAATTGAAACAAACCAAAATTAAAGACAGCCTTCCACTCAAATCATCTGTGCCATCATTTCCCTCACCCACCTCCAAAGAGGAGTTCAAGCTGAAACGTGCAACAGAGAGACAACTAAAGTAGAACACAAGTACCGTTTAATAATGTACAGCATTGGTGCTGCTTAACAGCTCTCAGACCTCTACTTGAACACTGGGCGTGTTGAGAGATTAGGTATGTGGTGCTTTGTTAGCCAAATTCTAAAGACATGAACTCTATTGGGAATATGGGACTGCAAGCCCATCTAATTATATCACAAAATCCAGCTACCTCAACGAACAACTAATAATCCAGCATGAAATAATGGAAAGTCACAAACAATGCCTGTGAGGCTGGAGCTGTTGCATCGGTTTACTGTATTGTAAAACAATATTTAGAACATATTAAGTTACGACAGAACTATTTACCAACAATAGGCACCATGAGAATGCCTCACTGATCGACACTGACAGATGAATCTTTGACTTGGTGAACTCAGCCCACCGCACAATAGTTTGTTTCTACCAGGTCGATTACAAGTTAACAAGGATTCAAAACTGGACATATATGGGCAAATGCAATGGAATTCAAAACTGAAGAAAAAAGTGTTTAAACCACCCCAATTCAGTAAGTTAAACTGAAATCACAATGGCTAAACATTTTATTTATAATAAAATAAATCAAATATTATTTATAATAAAATTCACTTTACAGTATATTCTGTGAAGTGCTTTGAAATGTCTAGAAGACGTGAAAGGCGCTATATGAGATGCAAGGATTATAATTATTATCATGTGTTCGAGACATCTCAAAGCGCTTCACAGAATATACTGTAAAGTGAATTGACTGTATATTTTGTGGGCGAAATGTAGCAGTCAATTGCGCACAGCAGTGTCCCACAAAGAGTCATGGATTGAAGTGACCAATTTATTATTACTATTATTTTTTTGAAGGAATTGTTACCCCCAGAAAAGCGTTCCACCAATCGACTAGCAACCGGGTTCCTATTTACTGCTAGGTAAACTGAGGTGTGTGGAGTAAGGAAACTTGCCGAACATTTCGCTCTGCCGGGAATTGAACCCAGGTCTCTCGCTTGTGAGGCAAGTGCTCTAACCACTGAGCTACAGGACTTTTTTGAATCTCAAAATTGTAGCTCATCATTAGAATCCCATCAGTGCTAAAATAATAATAATAATCCTTGCATTTGATATCGCGCTTCACAGAACACACTGTAAAGTGAATTGACTGTATATTTGTGGGCGAACGCGGCAGCCAATTGCGCACAGCAATGTCCCACAAACAGTCGTGGATTGAAAATGACCAATTTATTATTGTTTTTGGTTTTGGAGGGATTATTATTAGGCGTGTGGAGTAAGAAAACTTGCCCAAGGTTTCGCCCTCTGCCTGGAATTGAACTCAGGTCTCTCACTTGCAAAGTGAGTGCTCTAACCACTGAGCTACAGGACTCCATAAACACTGGGAATCAAAACATTTCACTGTAACTGAGGAATTGGGATATTGTGTGGGAAGAATAAGATAGCAATAAAACACACCTCCATACACTTAAAAAGGTTTGCAATCTGAGTCACCTCATTTGGATCTTATAGCTCACTGTCAACATTTCCCCTGATACTGAGAGTTCAGACTTGAATGCAAACAAATCAATAATGTGAGATTGAAAAGGGAAGGTGGCTGAGACCTCTTATATGAACACAATTATCTAGGCGACACATTCAAAAATTCTATTGAGGTGGGAAGAGAGAGAAAGGGGCTAAAGTAGCATTACCCAATTGCTTTCACATTAACAGAATAAAATAAAACCAGATCTTTTAATGTTTACTGCTGCTATAGTCTTTCTTTTCTTCTTTCCTTCTCCAAATATGTCAGCCCGGCTCAGTTCAGCTGGTAGACTGTTGCCTCTGAGTCAGAAGATTGTGGATTCAAGCCAAAGTGGAAACACAAGGCTTACAGTAAGAACTCTCTTTTCTTTTTCCTGCCTGTATTTCTTGCCTAACCACAAGCCGGGCGTCGCTCCACTCCCCACTGATTAAAGAACTTGTCCGTTCACATTTTCTACAGTTCAACAAAAGTCGCTCACTCACCATGACTTCACATTATATTTATGATTTTCTAAATTTAGTCGCACCCACTTTTTCTACATAAATAACCCCTCAATCCCACGGATTCTCTTGTTCAGTGCTGTCATGTTTGTCAGCAAAGTCACGGTCAGCTGTGATGCTAGACAGCTAAAGCACAACTAAATCTTCTCTTCACCAAAATGCTCATTGTTGCACTAATAGCATACTTTACATTGCTCAATATTGAGATCCCACTTGTCCTTTATCTATAGATTGCTGAATGATTACCCTCTCTTTGGAATATCCTGTTCACCTGTGGAACCTGCCATCATTGGAAACTAAACACAACACAATATTTGATCTGATTAAGACTGTTAACTGGTAGAGTTCAACATTTCCCTCAACAAGGCATTCTCATCCTAACAGACCACACGTGCCTTGACAACGAACATCTTCTGCGCCACAGATTTAAGAGGTTTAAAAGAAGAGACCCCAAGGCCTGAAGTTTGACCCAGTCTCAGCCTGTGTGACCACTTTGTCTTAAAGTTTAAGATGCTACCTTCTTAAATTCAGTCAACGTAGAAGCTTGTTTTCATCGAAAACAAAGAAAGAACCAGCTTGTATATTATTTATGACGGAATTTAAGAGCACTCCACAATTCTACATGACCTTAAATTCTGAAGCACGCTTTTAGGGATCATGTGGGGGAAGTTCATGCTTACATCAAAGGTTGTTCGACTCTGGGAATTTGTACTTCTTACTGTTAACCCTCATCTCGAGGAACCCAAAAAGTTATACTAGGAATTTGGAGCAAAGAGGAAGAGTGCAGTGAAACCACTGCAGGCAAGAATAAAAAAAATTCCAGGAGGGGCATCATAGCCAGATGGCTCAATTAATAAGTTTAGTATGAGTACAGAATATAGCGGTATTGGGGCCTCGCTGTCTTTCTGTATTCAAGGATCAGAGAAGATATTCCCTGCTTAAATGAGCGGCCTTGTTGACTGTCTTACGCCTCGACTTCTTTCAATCACTCAGCAATAAACAAGGCGTTTGCAAAAGTTTAATATCAAAGGAAAGTACACAAATTCCCATTGATGCTGATTAGCAACAAGGATGAATGCACATTTGATTGTCTGTTCTGTGAACTATTTGCTAACACAGAAGAGGTTTTACACTTGGGGTTTTAGTTTTTTTTTAAGTCCAAGTATAAGCCAACAATTTGATTGCAGTGTATTTGGTTTAATAATTATTATTATTGTTATTATGTTTAAAAATACATATGTCAGAGATGTACATTATATCTATTGTATGTATAAATATATAAGTCTGCTGCCCACCCTTTTCCCACCTCTCTTGGAAATAGTGACTCAACACATTACGCCTCTTTTCTTCATCCCTCGGAGTCTAGCTCATCAACCAAGCTGATGTGTCATCAATACTGCTTGTTTCTCTGGCTCAGGAACTTATTACCAGGGCCACCACAAAATATTAAATCCATTTCGATATTCCATTGTCAGGCACCTACCCATATAACCAGCTCCAAAGAGACCCCACTCACCCTCCTTCCCTCCTCCTCAACAAGGTCCATTGATGGTACTCGCTCTCAGCTGTTTGAGTGGAACAGTCAGCGGCAGGTGAGAAATGTTCCTCGTCAACACTAGCAGGACCAAGTCCCAGAAACTATTATTATTTATACATAATCCTCTGGCCTTATTGCTACAGAGCACAACCACTGTGATCAAAGCTTCGAAACGTTTTCCCCGGAGGTGAATTGTAACCCCGACAACATATTCAATAATTAAACACTAGGGTCTAACAGGCGATAATTTCCAGTGGGACTTCTTAATAAGAAAACTAATGGAGACACTCCCCGATCACCAAAATTACATCTTGCACCTCCCACCGTCCCACAGGACTTCTGCTCCAAAGGCAGCTTGTGTCAGACTGAAGTTCCCGTGTGTTGGCAATGATGTACTTATTGAGGAATCCCATTCCATTAGACCTCACTGTAGGGAATCCATTACCAAAACTCATTGCTCTGCCATGTGAAAAATCACTCGTAATTTCAAATAATATAAATTCTGATAATGAACCAGAAACACTTTAGTCTGAACTGAATGTTCAGCGGCATTATTCTACATAATTGAACACACACACACACACACACAGAGTGGACAAAAGTCTGAGCTGGATGAACACTGGGTGTCTGCAGAGCAGCGAGGGGCACAAAAAAGACTGGTAGAACTCCAGTAATTGGCATTGGACATTTAGGCACCCAACACTGGGAGCTCAATTCCAGTTAAACTCTAGTTGCCTTCGATAATCTGACTGTGCAAGAAATAGGAACCAAACAGCAGCATATTGAATAGAACTGTCTAGCTAATGTAAGTCACTCATCATCTTGCTTATCTAGGCCATCTCATTACTAAAGGTTGGAAATCACTGGAAAATAAACCTCAAACCTTGTGTGTGTGTGGGGGGAAGAGAAAAATAAAACAACACAAGATTTCGGTATTCTACAGCAGTCTTCATGGCTCTTGGGCTGATAGACAACAACAACAACAACATTACATTTACAGAGCACCTTTCGCATCGGGAGGACATCCCAAGGTGCTGGACAGTTAGGGGTCAGGACCCGAGCATGGGGGTGGGGTGGGGTAGGGGTGAGGGAAGGCAGAGAGGTGAGAGGGTGACTGGAGGCACGATCGAAGAGGAGGGTCTTGAGACCGGCCTTGAAGGAGGCAAGGGAGGAAGCGAGGCGAAGGAACCGTGGCATGGAGTTCCAGAGTGTGGGGGCAGAGAGGCTGAAAGCCCGGCCACCGATGGCAGGGTGGGTCGGGCGGGAGACATGGAGCAGGCCGGAGCCCGCTGAACGCAGGAGCGGGCAGGTTGGTAGGGAGTCAGCCCGTCAGAGAGGTAGGAGGGGGCAAGGCCATGGATGGCCTTGAAAGTGAGGACGAGTGGGTGGGTGAGAGTCTCGGCAGCCCGAGGGGTGAGGCAGTGGCGGAGTCTGGCAATGTTTCGGAGGATACAGACAATCAATAGGGGAAGTTGAAGAAAAGTCGCAAAAGATTGTCTAGTCTAAGTGATTAGCTCGACTCCTGAACAAAAGCAGCAACGACACAAGCAAAAAGAGAGCCTGTAAAAGCTGTCTGCTTCATACAAATGTTTTGAACCAAGAAGACAAGACAGATACCTTTAAACAGCGTGCATGTACCAAAGGGAAAAGTCAAGGTCTCACTTAATACGGGAAGTGAAAAATGATTTTGGAAACAAAATAAATATAAAGCATGTTTCGAACAGGCATGTGTGTGTTAATAATAATAATCCTTGCATTTGGTATAGCACGCTTCACAGAATACACTTTAAAGTATATTATTTATTATTTATTAGACTAATTTATTATTTATTTAATAGTGCTGGTTGCCAAAACCAACAATGCGTTAGTTAGTTGCCAAACATTGTTGGCAATACAAAAAGCTAACTTTAATTGCCAAAACTTGTTTTGAAAACAAAATAAATAAAAAACATGTTTTGAACAGGCATGTGTGTGATAATAATAATAATAATATTCATTGCATTTGATACAGTGACTTTTCGTGTCTTCGAGACATCTGAAAACACTTCACAGAATATACTGTAAATTGAAATGACTGCATATTTTGTGGGCGAAATGCGGCAGTCAATTTGCTCACAATAGTGTCCCACAAACAGTCGTGGATTGAGTGACCACCATTTTTTTTTGGAAGAGATTATTACCCCCGGAAAAGCGATCTGCCAATCGACTAACAACCGGGTTCCTACTTACTGCTAGATAAACAAATAAGGAGTAAGGAAACTTGCCCAGGGTTTCGCCCTGCCGGGTGTCGAACCCAGGTCTCTCGCTTGCGAGACGAGTGCTCTAACCACTGAGCTACAGGACTCTCAATAATAATCCTTGCATTTGATATTACGCGCTTCACAGAATGTACTGTAAAGTATATTATCTTGTATATTACACTAATATCATTCGCTTAATTAAAGTGCATGATTGATTACAAATGGATTATTTGTTTTTTTCTGTTAAAACAAAATGGGTTGCGTTAACGTGACCCTATGAATGTGCGTTAAAGACAAAAAATAATATTAATAGTAATAATAGGTGCAGCTCGCAAATCACAAACAGATACTCCTTATCTCTTCGTTGTACAGTACAGCGTGAGAGGAAACTACCTGAACCTTCGCCAACGCTAACAAATCGGTCACTTCGACCCGCGACGGGTTTGTGGGTCGCCGCCACATTTCTCCGCGGGATAAAAAAAACACGCAGTCGCTTAGGCTTCCCGCGGAAGAAGCGATAAGGCGCTGTATCAAATGCAAGGATTATTTTTATTATTATTATTATCCTACAGTACAGGGTGTGGGGGAAACTCACCGGGGTGAGACATCTGGACTACCTCGTTGTTGGGAGTGGGGTAGTTGAAGATGACCACAGCCTTGGCTCCCTGGAAAGCTGCGTTCTGGATCTTCTCGGTGAAAGTGCAGCCGTTGCCTCTCTCCATCAGGGCGATCCAGTCCTGATGGTCCGGGGGCTTGTGGTACTGCTCGTCCGTGTCGCAGCCCCAGGGTCGGGTGGACACCGGATACCCCACCAGCCCTCTGACACTCTCCAGCGGCGAGTTCTGACCGTACACCCCGCACTCGCTCCTCTCCCAGCCCGTCTGGTTGCTGCCCGGCTCGGTGAAGCTCACGTTGATGTAGGCTGTCCAGAAGCACCGCGCGGTCAAGCAATGCAGAGACAACACCTGCATCACAGTCAATAACAACAGCCTCTGCTGGGAGAGGGCAGGTCCCCATAAACTCTGCATTCTCTCCTCTCCTCTTTTGTGGTCAGCCAGAAAGCAATAAACCTTTTTTTAATATATATATATATATGTGTATAAATAATCTATCAATCTATATATATATATATATATGAAAAAAAGACTTGTCAAGCACCAAAGTAACAGTGGTTCCAAATGACTTCCACTCCACCACTGTTGTGTTCTTTCTCTTGTGTGGTTTCCTCTGTCTCTCTCTCTCTCTCTCTCTTCTCCTCTTCCTCTTCAACCAACAAAAAATAACACACACACACACACACACACACACCAAAAAAAAAGTTGAAGGTCTTTTTCTTTGTATGTTGCTCTGAACCTGAGCAGGTGTGATCTGAGTTTGACCCAACCTCTTCCCTCCCTCCCTCCTCCTCTCCTCTCCTCCTTCTTCTTCTTCTCCTCCTCCTGCTGCTGCTGCTGCCTTTCTAACACGTCTAGGATTATGTTAACCAAACACCCTCCTCCCCCTCTTTCTCTCTCTCTGTGTGTTCTCCAGTGAGCTGTTTAAAAGGGCAATGTCAATGTAACCTCCTGCTTTGCTTAGCTCTTTCCAAACCAGTCTGTTAAATTGTCTTTTTTTTTAAAAAAAACACAGGTCACAACTTGCTCTCTGGTTAAAAGAGAGGAAACTCAAACAGGAATTGTTTTTTTCTCTCTCTCTCTCTCTCTCTCCCCCCCTTGGTTTTCTCATGGCAATTTCACAGGGTGGAATTTCCCAACTCTCTATTGCTGTAGGTCAGCAAATATTACAAAACACTGCTTTTGCAAAACTTTGCTCTCTCGAATACATACTCTTTGGTGGCTACTATTATTATCTTCCTGACATCTCTCTTTGTTTCAAGTACATTTGGATTTTTTTTTAAAAAAAGAAGGCACTTTTAAATGGCAATGTGTTTCCCTCTTCTGACTCGGATGGACTTTATTTCATTCTTCAAGTAGAATTTTTTTTATCAAAAAAATTGGGTGTGGGACACAATATCTTTACAATCTTGGAAAATGTTTGCTCTTCACCTGGTGCCCTTTTGTTCTTTATTCCGAGAGTTCAAAGTTTCATTTTGGTCTCTCTGATAATTGCCTTATCATCAATTTACATATATATTAAATCCTTGATTTTCCTCTTCTTTTATATGAATATGTTTCATGCGCTTTGTTACTTTGGGGAGGGGGTGGTGGGATGGGTGGGGGGGGACGCGTAACTTTGCTTTCTTTGGAATAATCTGTGTCTCCTGTGCTTTCTCCGTTAATAAATCTCACATTGGTTTGGATATTCTTAAGTATAGTGATCAGCATTTTGACTAATAAGAGTTTATCAATTCTCCTCTGTCATAGTGCAACTGCACAAGTATATATTAAATCACAGGGTGTTTTCCCTCTCGCTGAGCAACATGGGCAAGTTCAATCTCCATTAACATGAAACTCAGTCTCTGGCTGTGGTGATAAGAGGAGAGAGAGACAGGCAGACAGAAGTGAATACCCACGTAAAGGACAGATGTCTAGCTGGAGTGTTAGCGCCTGAACTAACTCTTGATTTTAAATAGTAAGCCTTAATGACAAAGATCACTTATTGATCTTCTGATTTTCTGCATCTGTAACCTTTAGCCGCTCTGTAATCATTTGCTTGTCTCCTAACTCTTTATTTTAAATTGCCTTTGGCTTCTATTTTGCCTCATTTTTTAGATCCTCTGTAAGATCTCTTTCGTTCCAGGTACAATGTACTGTAAAGGATTTTAATTTTCCTAAAACACCAAATTAATTCAGTAATAATAACTTCCTGAGAAAAGAGACGACAAATCTAGTTATTATGTTGCTGTCTGGCCTACAAACCCAACTCATTTACCAACATGTTCGGTTTCAATTTCTGGCTGGGTGAAACCTAAGGCAAGTTTCTTTACTCTGCATGCCTGATAATAATCCCTCAAGAAAAAAAGAATAATTTAGGCACTCAGTCAACGGCTGTTTGTGGGACACTGTTGTGCGCAATTGGCTGCTGTGTTTCACCCACACAATATACAGTCAAGTCACTTTACAGTATGTTCTGTGAAGCGCTTTGGACGTCTAGAAGATGTGAAAAGCGCTATATCAAATGCAAGGATTATTATTATTATTACCTAGGATAAAGTAGGAAGCCAGTTGTTAGTCGATTGGTAGATTGCTTTCCGGGGTAATAATCCCTCCAAAAAATACACAGTCAATCAACTTTCCATTATATTTTGGGAAGCGCTTTGAGACGACTCAATGATGTAATGAGGTGGTATATCAAATGCAAGTATTATTAGTATTATTATTAAGTATATGAGGATCACTGTGGATCTCCACCAAATGTTTTTGATATCTATCTCTACTGGTAATCTGACAAGAGACAAAAGATAGGTAGCGAGAGATAAAATAGTAAATAGTAAAAAAAAGAGCATATAGTAAAATTAGTTGGTAGCTACAAATTAATCTAACCTCTTGTTCTTCAAAATAGAATAAAAATAGCTGTGTGTTTATAATGAAATTATATGTGCAAGCCAGGGAAATTGCCTGACTGCAATCGTTCCCCCACCTCCCTCCCGACCCAAACAAACCTAAATTCCTGAGCGTGTTGTGAGCGGGGAGTCTGTTTTGACAAGATACATCAGTTTGCTGCCACCAGCAAATTCCCGAGCAGTATAGTAATGTGGGAAGGTCACGGGACAGTCTCATCAAACAGTTTACATAGTTCACCTAAACATTGAGCAGTGTAATTATTTTGGATTTCAAAGAGGATTTCATTGGTTTCCAATAACCAAAACAAATGGTTCACACATTTGCGCAGATGATAACAGATCACGTCAATTCTGCTTTCCATCAAACATTTTGAAAGCGCTCTGGGACGTTACCCTGTGTGTGAGGAGTGCTATATAAATGCAAGTTGTTGTAAGAGAATAGATAGCACTTTATGATTTTGTGCTACCTATAAGAGCCAGATGCCTCTGAATCATATACAGTACTACTGCACCACCTATGATCACGTGGGGGTAAATTGCAGTAGCTGCAGAAAGATCTGTAACTCATGAATTTCATTTATTTTGCCTGCAGTGGTCCTTGACTTATTTTAAGATATGTCTTTATGCTCCCAGATTTCAATGTAAGATTCCTATAAAACACATGGCATTAATATTCGACCATAACATAAGTGGATTTCCAATGCAGCTATCTGGAAAGCTATAAGAGCTCAATTTAGGTGAATTACAAATAATGTTCAATTTGTTAGAATTGTTACACATGTTGGTAGGGAGTCGGTTGAGGGCTTGCTCAAACCCATCACCCTTTCTTTTCGACCGCGCCTTTGGTCACCTTCGCACCCCCCTCCCTCTGGCTCGGTCCTGGGATCCGAAACTGTAAAGCGCTCTGAGACGCTGTCCGGCGTAGAGGGCGCTATATAAATCCAAGTTGTTGTTGTTGTTGCTCGTTTGCAAAGAAATCAGCATTTCCAAGGCCCTGCAATTCAGAGTTTATTGCAATGTTTGAGAGTTCTCAATTTCCTTTGGTCAGCTGGGTATCCAACACACGCAGAAACCCATCACCCATACTTAAGAGTTCTCAAAGATAATGGGAAAACAATTGAGGTTGCAGCTGTCGACTACACTGAACACAATTAACAGGCTGTTATCCAAAACATTACATTTAACACCTCATTCCCTGGCATCACTCTTTTGTAGCCGTAACCTTAAGTCTTATGCACTAGTATTCACCTTGTAACATTTACAATCTTTCCAGGCTATAACCCTGTTAACTTTAGTACAGTATTGGCCATGCTAATCTTTCTCTTTTGCTATCTCCTGTGGAAAAATATTCCATTTCAAAAGGACCTTGAATAGGATAAATAAACTCAGATGCTGGCAATTCCCTTAGGCAAGTAGTAAAAGTGAAGACCTATAGTACAGTGCAAATATAATCATGCCTGGTTATTCTAGTTCTGTCAATTGTATGCTTTTTTCCTTCGCTCCCTGGAGCTATCCTCCAGCAAAATGGGGAAGAGGTTGAAAGACTCTTTCAGCTGGCTGGTGATTGCCATTGTTACTGATTCAAAATACCCAGAAAAGAACATATAATGATGGACTTCACCTTCTTTCTAAGGACTATCGCAACAGACATAAACTTAACGTGGTCAATATCCATGATTGACATTTGCCCAATATCCTCAGGCTGAATTCCAACTACAGGTTCTAAAATGTATTTCGCCCTGAAATTCTGGAACTCTCTCCCTCAATCTCTCCACCTTGCGCCCTCCCCTATCCCTCCTAAAGACCTTCCCCTTTGATCGTGCTTACGGTCGCCTCTCCCCTTGGCTCGTTGTCAGATTCCGCCACTGTGAACCACTCCGGGATGCTATCCCATGTGAAGGGCGCTATATAAATGCAAGTTGTTGTATTATTTGAGAACTGGTAGCTCGTCCATTATCATAGACGGATAAATGATCTCCACGGCAGTGTTAGGTTTGTGAAGGCACAAATGCAATGGTCTCTGACCATCTCAGCTTGGATGAAAATTATACAAAGCTAAATCCTTCTATGCCTTTCGTTTCTCTATGATGACCTGGCACAAGCATGAAACACCCTCTTTGTGTGTATTTCAATTCTTTGTCTTATCGTGTCCGTCTCTCAGCTGTTCCTGCCTTTGAAAAGGAATGTGGTTTGCTTGCAGAGCGAGATCCGTTGGTGAGGAGGTGTGTAGACGGTATGGTTTATGAATGGCATGACATTGTTAACAGAACAAACACTCATTGCTTGTGTTTTGGTTTCCTTCCCAATTACATGAGTCTATTAATTTTGTGAAAATAATCCTCATTTTTGATAATACTCCCCATCATGTCATGACATCTCAAAGCACTCCACTGAGTTTTCCTGCAATGTGTAATGACTGCACATTTTTAGGTAAGTGCAGCAGCCTATTATTATACCTCAATGACTCACAAACACATGTGAACAAATGGCTAATTTATCTGCGGGATGACCAGAACACTGGGGGAAATCCTCTTCACCTTTTTGAAAAGTGCCATGGGATCTTTAGTGCCTGCATGAACAGACATATGGGACCTCAGCCGAAGTTCAGCAGCTTTGGTAATGCATAGACAGATAATGCAGTCCCCGCTATCACCCACCGGGCCTGCATTGAAATGTCAGCCTGGACTATAAGTTCAAAAAAGTCCCGAATGGAGCTGGAACCCACAACCTTCTGACTTACAGGCGTGAGTGCAACCCACTCAGCCAGGCTGATACCTCGAATTTAAATTACAGAGTGAGGCACATTCAAGAAAGAGGAAGACCAAAGTAAAGTGTTCTATTCTTTTGAAAAAAGATAAACAAGTTCCAGTTAATCATCCTTTGAGCACAAGGCTATTTTAAACCCTTCACTTGCTTGAAAAGCCATTTTTCAATAATCTTTAGCTTGTAACGGACACGGTGTGACATTTAGAAAGGATATTTTTTAAAAGATTAGGGGCCATAAATTTAGTGATATGCCCACGATGTTAAGCTCTGCTTTAATGCCATTGTACTGTGTGGTGGGAGAAAGGGCTTGGTGCAAGTGAAATGCACAAAATAACTCAGGCAGCAATGCTCAATGGAGCTCCAAGATTTGGAAGCAACCAAAACATTCACATTTGTGCAGGCCATTTAACACAGCTAATCACACACTGAGTCAAATTATCAGTGCAAGGCTACTGACCCAAGGAAGGTCAGGCTCACACTTGTACACAGATAAATCCGTTTCAATAGCTTTGTGGGGCACAGTGTTGGATTCAGCTGTTACACTGGAATTGGCACAGTCGTGTTCGGCATCGAGCCAGCTACGTGTATGGGTTTTGCTGGAGGCAGAGTGGCTGAATTTGAGTGCAAAACCCCAACGCAGACAAACAGTAAAGTTGTAAAGCACGAGAAATTAATTAATGCTGTTCGTAATACCAGCTCTCCCTTAACTGTGGCCTGCAGTGATCAAAAAACAAATTAAAAAAAAGCTACATTGTGAAATTTGATAATTCTGTAATATATATTGAGTTCAACACCTTCAGTAATAGCCAAAGTTTTCACTGGCTCAATAGATAGGATATACATTAGTAAATTAATAAAAATAATATGACCTTATACTTGACTTCACTGCTGCATGTTAGTGCTACAATGTGTGGAAACAACAAGATTACAATTGTATAGCGCCTTTCACGTCGGGAGGACATCCCAAGGTGCTGGACAGTGTACAGCATTTCTCCCCCCGGGGTCAGGGGGGAGAAGGGAGGGGAGGGGAAGGGGGGTGACAAATGGCATGGTCGAACAGGAGGGTTTTGAGGCGGGACTTGAAGGAGGCTAAGGAGGGGGCGAGGCAGAGTGATTGGGGGATGGAGTTCCAGAGGTTGGGGGCAGAGTGGCTGAAGGATCTCCCGCCAATGGTGGGGTGGGTGGGTCGGGGGATGTGGAGCAGCCAGAGCCGGCTGAGCGGAGGGAGTGGGCGGGTTGGTAGGGGGTTAGGAGGTCACAGAGGTAGGGTGGGGCGAGACCTTTGAGGGCTTTGTTGGTGAGGACCAGGATTTTGAACTGGATCCTCTGAAGGACAGGGAGCCAATGGAGTCGGGCGAGAATGGGGGAGATGGGGTCACAGAGTTTGGTGAAGGAGAGGACACGAGCTGCAGAGTTCTGGATTATCTGCAGCCTGTGGAGGGAGGAGTTGGGAAGGCCGACAAGTAGGGTGTTTGCATAGTCGAGCCTGGAGGTGATGAAGGCATGAACACGAGTTTCAGCGGCCTGAGGGGTGAGGTAGTGGTGGAGTCGGGTGATTTTATGGAGGTGAGGGAAGGCAGAGCGGGTCATGGCTTGGATGTGGGGAAGAAAAGACAGGTGAGGGTCGAACAAGACATCTAGATTCCTGACTGGCTTGGTGAGTTGAAGTGGAAACAGGTGATTGTTCTGCATACAGAATGCTTCCTGGAGCTCTGTCCATTTTATACTCCCACTGTATTTTGGGAATGAAGGTGAAGGTGTGGAATTTTATTTCATTTTCAGTAATTTTCTTTTCTTTTCTCACTGCCTGGCACAGTGGTAGCACTCTCGCCTCTGAATCAGAAGGTTGTGGGTTCAAGCCCTATGTCGGGACTTGGAATTACATAGTCTAAGCTGACACTCCAATGCAGTGCTAGGGGTGTGTTGCATTGTCAGAGGTGACGTCCTATGGATGAGGTGTTAAAACTGAAGTCCCGTCTGCCTGTTCAAGTAGGCATTAAAAATCCCATGGCACTATTTGAAAAGGGAAGGGAACTTTCTCTCTCCTGGTGTCCCGGCTAACTTAACCGGCAAATAGATTGGTCATTCATTTCATGGTTGTTTGTGAGATGTTGCTGCCTGCAAAATGACTGCCGTGTTTCACCCACACAAAAAAAGACACAGTCTAAAACACTTTACAGTATATCTTGTGAAGCACTTTGAAAAGTGTTAGTGTTGTGATAAGATGCTATATCAATTACAAGTATTATTATTATTAAAATGGCAACTCGAGCTGGGCTACAGTTTTACCTGACTAATTCATCCATTCTTCAGTGTGAATGCAGACAGTTTTACAGAGAGCCTCACAACCAAGATCAATTGTATCTTGTATCCAACCTTATATTTATTTATATTTGTATCCTCTGGTATCCAACCCTCAACTCGGGATCAAACTCTTGATTGTCCAGCATCTTGGAAAATCCTTCCAATGTGAAAGGCACTTTATAAATGCAATTTGTCGTTGTTGCTTTATCTTCACCTGACAAATACACTCACTCTCCCTTTGGATGGATAGTAATTAGCAATGAGAAACGTGGTGAATTTTTCCCCCGAGTCCTAACCCGGAGATAACTGAAATAAATTGCAACCTCTCACCTCATACACACACACTCACAATCCACAATGCACAAGTATAAACACCACTGCAGCTGTCCTGGTGAAGTAAGGTTACTCAGCTCAGAGAGAATTGTAACCTAAGACTCTCCTAAATCATTACATTTCACTTTCCCACCGTGCAATGACTTTAGAGATTAGCCATCAGAGTGCCAGAGAGTATATGAATTCCTTAAGCCTTCAAAAAAACACATTATTATACTAAATCTTTGTGTAGATTTCAAGGATATTGTAGACAATCCAAAAACTTCTCCAAAGTTTATTGTGTGCGATATCTTCATGGCTACGATGACAGTGATACATATTTTACTGGAAAGAATTATTCATCATAAAATTATTTTAATTCACAATTTTGAATCAAATGCTTGCATCTGTGAATTTCTGACACTATCTAGGCCCATTGCAAGGAAACTCTACGAAAAAACTAATGGGAAGAGAATCCAGAATTTGATAAATAGTTGAATTCAGTTTTTAAAAGACTCTAACAGAGAACTGACTTTAAAATTAAAGCTACATTGAAGAATTTGTCAAACACAGTCAATCTCGATCCAGGTAGAATTTTGTCCTATAAGTGCATCCTGCAGGAAAATACAGAACAAAAGCTGAATACAACCTCCATATGAAATCTATTTATATGGAAATCATGGACTAATTTAATCTTGGGGTTCAGGTGATGATAACCTATCAAGGTTAAGATATCATGTAAAACTCATATTAATGTGTGTTATTGCATTGGAATTACTCCCAGCTATTTTCAAACATAATGTCAGCTGGAGTTGATCTGTTATTGGCAGGGTGCATAGTATCAAACATTAAATATTCAGAAGGCAACTTTATTTAAGAGTTATTCTTACCTGGATGCTGAAATGGTTCAAGCTTGTCGCCTGTTCCTGCATTGTTAAAGATCACCACAGCAGCAGCTCCTCTTCGCCTCGCAATATTAATCTTGTATGAGAAATTGCAATTTCCCCTTTCTATCAGAGCAATCCAAGGCGACCCCATTGAATTGAAACTGACTTCAGGTTCACAAGCGAAAGCATCCTTTGATTTTGGGATCCCAACAATTCCGCTGGCCTCTCGCAGCGGAGATTCTTCACCGTAGAATCCTTCTTCGTATTGCATCATTGTTTTGTTGCTTTCTGGTGAGGTATTGGTCGTCACATTGATGTTAGCTATTGTCAGAAAATTCCTCCTGGCTGCTGTATGTACCACAAGAGCAGTGAGGAACAGCCATGCCGAGCCTTGAATGCAACTCGAAAGCTTCATAGTTATATTCTTCTAGATCAGAGCACGATTGACTTTCAAAACCAGACTTCAGTTCTTCTATCGAAGATATTTTTAGTGTTGAAAGCACGCACCGACACAAAATGGAAGAGTTCAGCGGTGGTCAGACACTACCTAGGAAATAACTTGTGTGCTGAGTTTTGCCAGCCTGAAGGGTTATTGAGATTTTCCATCTATATGCATTGAGCAAACAGATACATTTGTTTAGTACAGTCCTCCCATTTCTTCTTATCTCTGCACTTTGATCCTGGTTGAAAGGACCAACCAGGATCTACCAGCATCCAGATTAATCTATAATGAGTTTGTTTAAAAATATATATATAGATAATATCTATATATATATTCTTGTTGGGGTACAGTTCGGTTCAGTTCAGTTTCAGTCCAATATAAATTGGTGGATGACAATGATGGTTTGTCAGTCTTGTTATCATTGGTAGATTTGTTCTCTGAGCGCACCTACAGATGATTTCAAAAGCAGGCCTACATCTTATTGATGTATCCCCATGAGATGTGAAGAATTCATGCACTGCTGTAACTGGGCAGCATTCAGTGTAATCTAAAACTGCTCCCTTCTGGGCATCCCATTTCCCAGACGCATTTGGCAATATTTTGTTTTGGGAGCTTCAAAGGAAGATTAAGTGGCATTGCATTTCAATAATAGACCACAATCGCAATTTGCTGCAAAAATTGCAATGTGTTATACAGTTACTTTTATCCTTGGGAAAATTGAATTGTTGGGACACTCATAATAATAATAATAATAATAATACTTGCATTTGATATAGCGCTTTCATGGGGAACCTCAGCAATCAAAATAAAAATGAACATGAATTCTGAAGTGTTTTTTTGCTCCTGTTTCTCAACCATTGAACCTTGCTGGGTTGAAATTCAACAGGTATCAGCCACTCTCCCTTGCCCAAGTGACCTTGTGTGAGCCCTAGACAATGGGAGACATCAGCTAAGTCTGATCCTATTTTTATGAAACACTCCCACACAAGCAATTGCTAAGTCAGAGTTCACTGGGTAAGGAGTGGAAGCAGGTTGGATAGATGGTCAGACAGACAGACAAACAAACAGACAGACAGATAGAAGCTGGAACCTGGCTGATTCTCTTCTCAAGCTCGTAATGATTTATTTGCCGCATGCAGAGCCGTCCAAGGTTCGCTGCCTCTTCACAGTGTAACCTTCACATCGGGAACCTTGTACCAAGTACTGGAACTATATCCTGTTTGCAGAAAGAGTTCCCTGCCAAGAATGCAGAGACTTTGCATGAGAAACATTGAGGTTTGGGGTTGGGTCAAGAAAAAAAATCATAAGAAGGTACATATCTGCTAGAAAAAAGGTGCTTCAGTTGGTAGCCTCTATCCTCTGAGTCGCAAGGTTGTGGATTTGGGCCCTAAATTGGAACTTGAGCTCGTAGTCTGGAATGACACACCAGTGCAGTACTGGGGGAGCACCAATAAGGCGCTAAATCACATGTAAGGATTATTATTTATATTCTTTATACTTTAAAAAATTGCAAAAGTTTATGCCTCAATTACAGTACACGTTGTGTGATGTCTGCGTATAGCAATGAAAATGTGCACAATTTAGATAATAATAATCCTTGCATTTGATATAGCGCTTTTCACGTCTTCTAGACGTCCCAAAGCGCTTCACAGAATATACTGTAAAGTGAATTGACTGTATATTTGTGGGCGAACGCGGCAGCCAATTGCGCACAGCAGTGTCCCACAAACAGTCATGGATTGAAAATGACCAATTTATTATTGTTTTGTTTTTGGAGGGATTATTATTAGGCTCTGTGTGGCGTAAGGAAACTTGCCCAAGGTTTCGTCCTGTCTGGAATTGAACTCAGGTCTCTCACTTGCAAAGCGAGTGCTCTAACAACTGAGCTACAGGACTCCACAATGAGGAGGCAAATAGATATCATAACTTGATATCAAAGAGGGGGCAAAACAGGAACAATAGAGTTTTTTTGAAGAAGGCGGAAAGACCATTATGGCAAAACAAATATAATATGGTACAGGCCAGTTTCACTGAAACAAAACTTGATTCACCACTGAGGCACTTTTATTGCATAATCAATATCGTGACGTCCTCCTGTAATAGAACTATATTGATTAAGCACCATGACAATTAGACAGGATTGTTTAGTCAAGCCCTTTATAAACACAGAAACCCTGCTACAAGGAAGTTATTGTTTGTTTCCTTATATCCAGTCAATGTTGGCCAGAGTTCATGGGGAACACCTGTCCTCTAGTACCTTAACAAGAAAGAACAATCCTATTACTTCTTTATATAAAACAACTGACTAATTTCTCCTCCTATTAATCTTTCTCCGCTGCTTACCCCTCCTCTCCTGAAGGCACTTAAATTAACCTTCAACTGAGGTACGTACAGTTTCTAGGGCCTTGGGACATCCTCCTGACGTGAAAGGCGCTAAACAAATGTAATTTTGTATTGTATTGTACTGTCTATTCCTCTTGACTAGCAAATGACATCGGTAATGCAGGCTTCCAGTGGCTGGAAGAGTTCAGTTGCAGACAGACACCTGAACATAGCTCATCTTTTCCATTACAGGTCAGCCCGCAACAGTGAACCAGCAAAGATAACAGCAAAGATTCCATTTGAGAGTGCTTATAATGTCGTACAACTGTTTTTGTCAAGATACCGAGACAAAAATCCCTTCTTGCTTTGAACCCCGTCATGGGATCTTTCACATGCACCTGAACAGGCAGGTGTGGACACAGGTGGGACATGCTGTGTTAAATCAGCCTCTCCTGTGGGATGTGAGGGAGATAGCCTGTACCATCTTCCCAATCGTTGCTACACCACCAAAGGAGAACGAACTATACAGACCTACCCGGCCCGCACATTCAACATGCAGGGCGATTAACATCTGAAAGAGAAAAATAGGTCAACAGCTTTGTTTTCATGGCCTGGTGCCTGCTTGATCTCGTCAAAAGCATCCTCCAGCCCAATTGTTACAATTGGAATGACAGGCACACTCGAAAACTGGCTCTGACGCAGATTGAGCTGTCCTGGGCTTGATGCTGGCTGCAGTGGTGCGGAGCTTTGCTTTGTGCATCTCCCAGAGGTTAACATTTATTCACCATGTTCTGCAAGTCAATACGTTCTCTGCCCGCCCACCCTCCCATGTTACTGTCTTTTAGGTTGCTGCTGGTCAGAACTAGTCTGGGAATTTCTGAGCGGATCATGAGGCACCATCTTTGTTTATGCTCAGCTGATCTCAGCCAGTTTAATAGAAGCGCTGCTGCAGTTATCTTCTGCAGTTTGAGGGCGATGAAGGGCAATATCGTCGAGGGATCGCATTTCTGGATCATTAGCCCGTGACGCTACTAAAAAGTGTACGTGTATAGAGATAGGGTGAGGACAGGACTGCCTTGTCTGCGATGACCCCTAAATCGCCTCCTAATAGTCCTGATCAGAGCCGAGACATGAAGAATGAATGAAACTTACCCGGGTGCCCATAGAGCCATATGTCAGCATGAGCTAATTGGTCACCCCCTTCAGGACAGATGGGGGAAAATTAAAAATTTAGACCCCCACTCCTCCCCACTACCAAAAAAAATCTGGAATCTCAAAATAAATACTTCTAATTAGAAATTAAGCTCTAGCCTTTGGCTTTGAATAACAAGCCATGGGACACATTGAATCCGGGAAGCACGTGGTTCAGTTCAACAAACCCACTCTGGGATTTAAAAGGCAACAACATTATAGTAATGGAAAAGAACTGACTGTATCTGATAAACACAATATAAGCAAATCCACTTGTAATGTTCATATCTGCCTTTATCTCTTATCTAAATGTATGCACCAATCCTCAGCTTTGAAGTCTCCTTCATAATGTCGTCATCTTGATTCAATGCCATCAAAGTTTCCATGAAATACTCAATCAAGACTGTGATAGGCAGACTGGGATACAGAATGAGTGTTCCACACGTAATATAGATTTATAAGCTGCCCCATAAAACAATAAAGTGCGGTGGTACATGTAAATCAGGAGGTCAAATGTTTGTTCTTGGCTGTGACTTTCAGATGCTGGTGAAATTATGTGAACAGAAGTTAACTCCTTGGGCCTGATTAAAACGAGGGCTTCAATTCTAAATGGTGAACACAATGGGATGAGTGGATGAACCATCCTATATTCACTGTGGATGTTTCCTGGACAAGGATCAATACAAAACGAACTGCGTGACAACTTTTGCACACTTTGGACCATGGACCTTTGAGCCAATCACCTAAAATAAAATAATAATCCTTGCCTGTGATAATGTGCCAAGACACCTCAAAACTCTTCAATTATAATAATAATAATCCTCATCTCAAAGCCTCATATCAAAGTGCTTCACAGAATGCATAGAGTGTGGAGTAAGGAAACTTGCCCAAGGTTTCGCCCTCTGCCTGGAATTGAACTCAGGTCTCTCACTAGCAAAGCGAGTGCTCTAACCACTGAGCTGCTGGACTCCCGAGATAAAGTTAAGATCCTGCTTTACATTAATTCCATTTTGTTGTGGACTGTAAACTATTTACATAATTTGAAAAGTTGTTTCAGTGTTTTGCTCTTTTTTTTTGGTCAGACAGGTGTCCAACCCAAACAGAAACCCATCATCCCGCTTAATAGCATCCACTTACACAGACAATTCCAAGCACGCCAACTACACAAAGAGATGGGCATTATATCGAAAACGACTGTGAAATAAATGACAAATTTTACATAACTCACTCACAAATCGCTACACCTGATTTTCTTTGGAGGTGGGAGGGAAACACCTACAACAATAAAACAATTGCACACTATTAAAAAGCCAAAGTATATTTACTCGCATTGACGCCAGCAGGCAAATTAACAACCAGCATCCCGCTTTTATAAGAATGAATGAGCTCTTTACTGCAAAGTTACTGTATATCTAACAGTTCATTGCTGTAAGAATTTTTACCTCAAGCTTTATGGGTATTTATCGAAAATCAGGCTGCAGATAACATATTTAATTGCACAGTTGTTAGGTCAAACATTACATTACAAGGCGAGAGATCCACAATGTCCACTTTCCTCCATGAGCTCCCATCTTTCTGTTGGTTAAGAGAAGGCAGACAACTACATCAACAACAAAAACAACCTGCCCAACACATGTAGGATAACAGTTCGGAGAGCTTCATAAAGATGGATGTTTAACCTATTTGCCTATTCCTGGTATGAACAAGACTGTTTTGGAGACAAACTATATAAAAAAAACCTAGATAAAATAAACCAGGATCATACCATCAACCTACAGCTTTTCAACCTCGTGAAATAGTCCTTGAAATATTGAGTAAATTTCAGGTAGGAAGAACCCAAACCCTTTTTTTTCTCCAGTGTATTATTGCATAAAGAGTTTTCGTAGGGTGAAGAAACTTACCTGTTGCCAACCATACAGAGGCGCGGGATTTAAAATTACAGAGTGGGGGAAAAAAAAATCAGTCAGCATTTCCTATCATTGTACAGTGAGTCCTGCTGCCATTGCTGGGTGAGAAGATGACATGCTGTCAACGGGCTCCGTGTTGAGTTAGTAGCATGCTGCCCCATTGCGCCAACTTTACTGATAGGAATAAAAATGATACATTAAGAGTTGTTAACAACTACGAGAGCAAACTGTCCTCTGCCTCCAGTACGTTCCATTCGCAATGCGGCAGTCACAGCGAGCACATCATTGTGTACATGAGTACAAGGCAGGACACTGCTGCGATATTGGTCTGATGGCAACAATTAAGCTATGCGTATATTGTGTAATATTGTGCAAATGTATATTAGATCATATATTGTAAGGCGGGGGGAGCTATTCTATCCCTTATTCTTTGAGAAACTGTTTCTTTCCCCAGTTCATCAGCTTGGCTTCACAGAGATTATTGTGCTTAGTAAGCCTTGTTTAACAATTGTTCTTGGTCCATAATCCATTCATTGAGAACACGCCAGTTCTTTTGATAGCGCAGAACAAGGTCACCTTAAAACAGAGGTGCACTGGAAATGATAAAAAAAAGCAATTTGTTTCAGAGCTAATCAGCTTGAAATTTATGGAGTCTGGCAATGTTATACCAGGTCAGCTTTACATAGGATGTCAAGATTCAACAGAATTTGCACATAAACACAACTGCATTTCCCAAATAGTGCTGTCTAATATCAGAAATAGGCAAATAGATAAAACTGAAAACAGACTGAAAAACATGTATAGCGAACATGTGCCGTCTTTTGATTAATGTTTTAAATAAGCATCTAACTCCCTCAGCCAAGACCGATCCAACAGCCAGGGTGGTTATGGAGAAAAGGCATTTGCCTGAGAACTCCTGGCTTTCTTTCTAATTATGGAGGGGAAACATGCCATGAGATTACATTGTGGGGCATTCCACTCTAGGAAACATCTCAGTCTGTAACTGCCACGAGGGAATAAGAACCTCTCTCCATTGTGTTTAAATGCTTTTGCCAATGCTGGTCATTGTGCTGAAAAAAAACAATCATTTCTGTTTTATATTGGATTTAATCCAAAGACTTTATTTCAAACGTTAAAAAAAATTTACAGACAAAATTTGCTGGCACAAATTTGTATTAAATATATATTTTTTTTGTAAAATATAGGGAGATGTTTTACACAAGACACATATTTTCATTCCCATTACCCTATCACACAGGGTATTAAGCATAAAAGTCTCAAAATAAACGTAGAAAGTTCAGAAACTGAAGTGATGTGTTAAAATGTGGTCGGTCCTCAATGATTTCCATCTGACACTCTGTATGTTTTGTTCAAACATACTTCAACTCTGTTCCCACTGTGATGACACATATCTAGGACACATATAAAATGCAGCCCGTCTAGTTCATTGGCTGATTTCACAATCTCCCCTGTAAAGAAAGAGTCAAAATGGACTTAGTACGTGTATTTCATAACAGTACTTTATAAATAAGTCTGAACGCACACAAATAGATATCATCCTGGCTCAGTTGGTAGCACTCTTGTATCTGGGTCTGAAGGTTGTTGGTTCAAGTCTCTCATCAGGACTTGAAGACTCCTAGTCTAAGATGACACTCTTATTACAGTACTGGAGGAGTGCTGAATTGTTGGGGATTGCCCACAAAATATACAGTCAATTCACTTCACAGTATATTCTGTGAAGTGCTTTGAGAGGTCTCGAAGATGTGATAAGGCGGTATATGAAATGCAAGGATTATTATTATTGTTGATATAGAAATGGAATGCTTGAGTAACAATGTACAATATAAAAGCAGAAGTTTAAAGTGCATCACCAAATGAATGGCCCACCTATTTTTATTTAATTCCAAACGCACTCCTGTAAAGAATAGGATAGGGGTCAAACATAGACTAGTTTCTTTCTCAGATCTGGGGTTGGACTGCAATATCAGACACGCGGGCCAAAACAGGGGCTGGCCTTCGGAGTAGGTCAGTACTGAGATCAGCCTGTCTCACCTGGAGTTGGAGGTGTCTGATTTTCTCCATTGACATCTGCGGGCTGGCAAATGTAACCGGTGGCCATAATGGAAGCCAGTGTGTTATCATGAACATCCACAGCTAAGCCTGACACCCGGTGATCCTCGTGGCTCTTCGTGGCTGGAAGAAACATGACGTCCACTGCTAACTGCTGATTGACACCTGTATCAGAAAAGCAATTGTATGTTGATTCTGGGCTCTCTTTGTGTAGCAATTTGGGTGACGGACAGGGGGGGAAGGCCATTTGTTCCATTGTGCCCGCTCTGCCCCAAGCTATTCCATAACACTTTGCATAATCTCCCACAGGAATACACACTTCCTTCAATCGTACAATAGGACAATTATGCAACAGTGCAAATCAAAAGTTGTGATTTGTACAGCCTGGGTCGCCCTCAGCAATTAGTTTGTTTGCCACTCACCTCACATATGCTAAGGAATTTCTGAAGAACATGGGAACCAAAAGTACTTCAGAGCATTCTGAAATACAATCGTGTCCGACTGTGAATAACTCTATGATCCCATATTTACAGGATACCTAGTGTCTTAGAGAGGAGGGATTCTGGGAGGAAGGTGTTGTACATATATATATAGGAGAATATATAATATATAGAGGGAGAAACTAGGCTGAAAGCAGCAGACACAACAGCAGCTTTGTGCCCAGTTATTTCAGCAATCCACTTTGCGAGAGCAGTACAACTGGGAGCTACGATTCTGCTGACTGCTCACATTGCTGTTGAGCGGAGCAGAGCTTCACGCACTGCTGCTCAAATTCAATTAATACTTGCATGGGGCTGCTCAGCTGTTTTCAGACTCTAAGTACCTCCTAAAAGCCAACGACAAAACGCCACGTCCCCTTTGTAGCTCTGTCGGCTCCCGTGGCGCAAACTCGCCTCGGAAGGACGTTTTTTCAGTCTCTGGCCCGCCATGTTTTTTTTAAACACACACGACATGGTTCTCATTCATCAAATGATGCCAATCTATTCAGTACTCTTGTGATAAACATGGCACTTTAACATCTAATGTTAGAAGGCTTATTTAACATGTGAACAGCAGTATATAGACTGAGGTTAGGTAACAATGTTATTCAAAGCCCACACTTAGATTGTACCATTGCCCGATTGCACAGTTACTGACTTGTATTGTTACTGCCATATACCTGGAGCCTGTGGTTTCAGCATAGCTGCCAAAAGAGACTGTGGACTTTATGGTAGATCTACACACTGTACGATATCCTGACCCACCCTTGCCCCTCAATGTAGAATTTTGCTGCAAAGTAAATGGAGGAAGATTCTATCAGCACCCTGAGACATCCTCCCGACGTGAAACGGGCTATACGAATGTAATTTTATATTGCGTCCTCATCAGCCTCTGGGCATGCATTCACGTGTGCCAGCCATTTTGTGATTATTGAAGCTGTATTATCTTATTGTGTCTTTACCTCTCTCTCCACCCCACCCCCATTCCATTTATTCAGCGGAACCATGGATTTACTAGATTACCACACATTTATGTGGCTTTTTCCACCAGAACAAGTGCAGAACACGAGTCATATCAAAACTTACAGCAATACTGACTTACAAGCGAAGTGAAGGTTATAAGCCAAGATACTATAATGGCAATTGTGTGTCCATTGCCAAGGTGTTAAATCAGGGTTGCACATTTTTAACAGGTTTGCCTTTACATACCAACAATGGTCACACTGTAGTATCCAGTGTCGTAGGCAGGGCTGAAGCTCTGAATGTCTCTGTTGCATTCTGTTGTGCCTGGCGTATAGACCTCAGGCTGCAGATTGTACTGCTGCATCAGGAAGTCTCTATCTTTGTAGTCGAATTTACGTGGAACGCTCTCGGGAAGTAGCTGACCAAAGTTTAAGTACTCGGGCAAGTGCTGTGTGATCTCTTGCCACGTAGGGCTTTTCCACGTGGCTCTGGAAAGGTCAATAGCAGCCGCCTGCGTCTCCTGTCTGTCACTTGGCCCTGTTAAGTTCAAACATAATTTATTAAGGATAAGCACGATGCACGAATCCCGACTTAATTTGCTCCAAGTGTCCCAGTGAGTATCCAAAATGTCATTCATCTGCATATCAAAGTAAAATAGTAAGATATGACAACATATAACATGTGATGTCAATTACAGGCCCAGCAATTGGCTGCCAAACCACTTGGAATCACACCATTATGTAGCATCACACAAAAGCTTTGTGCTTTCAACTCCCATGTCTTCTTCAATCCTTTTATCTACGTCACATGCTGCCTGCACGCTTGCTGCAAAACCTCAGAATAACAATACGTTGCAAAGAACAATTGCATGGCAGAGTTGAAACTTGGAGGAGTTTCTCAACTGTTAGTGCCCCAATGGGATCTGTTCTTATCGAAGCTGCACAACCATATCATTTGATTCCCAGCCTTCTAATCCGTATGCACTAAATCATTATTAACTCTTCCACTCCCCCCACCCCCTTACACCCCGTTATAATTGCGGTAATCAGGCTGGGCATGTGAATGGGGGTGAAGGACCATTGCAATCTCACTTCCTTGAAATCTCAAGCAGGAAGTGGAAATGAAGTGATGTACGTAATTGCAGCGGGAATGTGACATGTTGCTAAATATTTCTCACATGGTCATCTCATATTTATCAACTTGTCATGTTGCAACACGATACGTCATTAAATCAATTACAACCACAGGAATGTTCAGTATCGTTGTCCTGTATCCGTCACTGACATAAAACATTGGAGTCAATGCAAATGACCAAGCTTAGAATCAACTGCAAGGATTATTATTGCTATTACATTATTAACTGACATGATTGCTGGTAAGATCCCCACTTTGCCAATGCTACACTTGTTTTCTTCTCAATAGTAGGCATTTCTTTACTAGTCACAAGCAGAATTACATTGGTTATTTCGAATGTCTTTTCAGAAAACTCAAATGCATTGAAACTTTACTCAAAACTGTAACTCCACAGATTTCCTCCACTTCATGGTTTAATCAGTCTAAGCTGAAACTCAGCTGCAATACTGGAGAAGAGAGCTGCATTGCCAGAAGAACATTAAACTGATATGAACCATTAAACTGAGGCCCCATCTGTCTGGCATTCAGATAGACAGACCCTAAAGATCCCATGACACTATTTGAAAAGAAAGAATGGAGTTTTATTTGGTATCGTGGCCAACAGCTCATCAGTTTGATAGGCCAATTGTCTTTGAGACATTTACTGGATGTGACAAGGTTCTGTGACAACGTTTGTTCTTTTGTATTTCTTTTATTGATTTGAATCAATCAATCAATCAATCAATCAATCAATCAATCAATGTCTTCTGGAATAACAAATACGATAAACCCTTTTTTTGCATGACAAAGCAGAATCGTGTCCACCAATAAAACTTTGTATTACGTTTAAACTAGCCAAAGATTCACAGTGACAGTAAACTGTGATCAGCCACTTTTGGGGTTAACACACCCCTCAAGACTCACACATGTTTGCAGGGTGTCCTCTCCCGCACTAGGCTCTGTGACCCTATCACCCCCATCCTTGCCCAACTCCACTGGCTTCTCATCACACAGAGGATACAGTTCAAGATCCTGGTCCTCACCTTCAAAGCCTCCATGGCCAACCTCTCCGACCTCCTAAACCCCTACCATCCTGTTCGCTCCCTCCGCTCAGTGGGCTCTGGCCTGCTTCACGTCCCCCGCTTTGCTCACCCCACTATCGGTGGGCAGACCTTCCGCCACTCTACACCCACCCTCTGGAACTCCATCCTGCAGTCCCTCCATTTTGCCTCCTCCCTCGCCACCTTCAAGACCCACCTCAAGACCCTCCTCTTCGACCGTGCTTTCAATCTCCCTGCATCCCCCACCCTGACCCTCAGCTCGAGTCCAAAACTCTTTCTGTCCAGCGCCTTGGGACATCCTCCCGACGTGAAAGGCGCTATACAAATGTAATTTTGTTGTAGTTGTATAATAGGCACTTAGGTGAGCTACCAGAAGGGTGTTCCGTGCTTATGAAACTGTACACCCACACAAAAAAAAGGAGTCAAAAACACATTCAAGAGAGGGGCAGGGAAGGGAAATATAACAGAGGGAAAAAAAATCTTCTCATAGTTCCTGAGCTGCAACAAAGGCTGTAAATTCTTTCTGCTGCAATGTGCGACAATAGTATGCAATGGTCACTATCTCCTCACACTGCACTCTTGAGTCCTGCTGGGTGTATCGAGACAGCAACGAGACAACAGCACACCCGAGTGGCTAACTTTGCTGTTCCTGAAAACAGCATCAAACAAACCCTCTTTCTCTGGCAAAGGAAAGTGCACTAACTCTCCCGACACTCACACATATGGGTCTTCACCCAGCAACCCCTCCCCCACCCCCACCCCGGTCTTATAACACAATGACAGTTTCCCTAAAGTGTTCTCTTTTCCCCGGTGAAATCAACCGAATGGCAAACACAGCAGCTTGAGGCAGAGCAGAAGATACAACCCATCTTAACCACGCATCACTGAAGAGAGGCACAAACTGCATGTTGCCAATAATAACAACACAATACGAAAGGTCTCTGAGACACGACACAAGAATCCATCTGCTGAGAGAATACTCTGTGTCCTCGGAGTGGTTTAAAGAGCTCATGTTATACCTGCATTGTCTGCAACCAGTTCTTCTGACTGCTCTATGAATCTTGTGGTGTCCGTTGGAACTTCAGCCTCTTGCGAATGTTCACGTGTTGCCTTTAACCTGCCAACAAAATAGGTTATGATTAAGATGTATATAAGACGTTAAACCATGTGGTCCCATCTGCCAGTTCAGGTGGATGTTAAATATCCCATGGCGCTATTCGAAAAGAGAAGGGCGTTTCTCTCTCCCGGTGTCGTGGCCAACAATCCCCCAAATAAAATTGGTTACTCACTCCATGGCTGTTGTTGGGACACTGCTGTGCGCAAACTGACTGCCGGGTTTGCCTGCAAAATTCACAGTCAACCCACTTTACAGCAGTATATCCTATGAAGCGCTTTGAGATGTCTGGACCACGTGATAAGGCATAATATCAAATGTAAGGACTATTATTAACTGAAGAAAATATTGTCAATATTAAAAGTCTGTATTTGAGAATTTGACGCTTGCTGCATGTGTCGTGCTCGCAATTTCATGAGATTGCGGCGTTGCTTTCTAGATTGTGCACGCTTTCTAAACTGTCAGCTTTTGCTGTACGCACTTCAGCAGTTAAACCAGATTTGATTTGCCGGGTGGGAAGGAAATAAAAAGACTGACTGCAGTGTAACAACTCCAATATAGTTGTGGCATATTCATTTCCCTCAAGCCCGGAAAATTTCCGCAGCTCCCTGAATAAAAAAAAACACAGGAGCTTCGGTTGGCAAGTTTCCATAAGAGGCACTTTTGTCAGATTTACGAAACACCAACACCTTCGGGAATCGGTGCTTTAAACATCATGTCCCTGGTTCACCCGCAGTGAGTGAATTTCAAAAACATAGGAGTGGCTCCTCTGTACACTACATTCATTGATGGTGAAACAGTACACAGATGAAGAAATACATAAGAGAGAAATTGTGTAATCCTTATGGACGATGTACATTTACAGACCCCATGGGCACATCATCTGGTTTTGCTCTGAACAGCACTGAAACATGCAGTGATGACTGCAGCCTTCAGTGTAGATGGTGTTAGGTTTAGAATGCCCAAATTTCAGACATTTAGGGCAATTTGCTCGCTCTAATCTATATGCAACAATGTTCTCTCGATGTGAAAGGTGCTATGCAAATGTAATTTGTTGTGGTTGTTGTCTGCGCTGTATCTGATCAGGATTATACCGGGGTTATCTTAGAACTCAAATGTTTAAATTAATCTTAAATGAGACTGAATAACTATATGCATGGTTGGGGGGGCGGTGGGGAAATAGCAACACAACATAGTTTGAAGGCACACTTGTTGAGAGGCAGAATCATGATCTTATTCTCAGCCACTGTAATGATCAGGTTTACTGTACGGCAACAGTCGTGTTCAGACACCAGCCCATTTCCTACAGTCCTGGATTGATCAGGAACAGGACTGGCTGCATTCCACAAATAATCTTCCCCAGGTTTCAGCAAACTGATTGTCTCCGCACATGCCATTCCAGACACAAGGAAGGAAATTTCCATATGACATACATAGGTGGAACGCTATCTGGTTTAGATACTCTTAAGCCAGGGTTTTGGCTACATGATGTCCACGTTTCTCAATAAATAATAATTCTCAATAAAAATATTGCGCACGCAAACAGCCAACACAAAAATTCATACAAATTTCGAAACAATAATACAACCAGCAACGAGTATCTGTCCTCTGTGTGCGTCTGATCTCACAGTCCGTCTTAATCTGGAAGCCGTTTTTAAAACAATGTAGTTCAGAAAACAACTTGGACTCCAAATTAAGGACAGAACTTTAAGACGAAATGGTCTTGCCGGCTAAGACCAGCTGGAATTTCGGGCCCGATATACTAAATTTAATCTGACAAACCTGATCGCCAGCGGTGTCTTCTTTTGGTTCCTGTTCTTCTTCGATTTCTTCTTCTGTGATTCCAGCTTCTTCGGATCAGGTAACTCCTGTCTTTAAACATTGGGCAGCAAAGCACTTTCTGTCAGCAAGGAGTAAATCTGCAAATAAGCCGTGATCAATTCAAACCCTACGATGATTACAATGGACACTTACCTGACCTGCCTGCGTGCAGGTAAATTATAATTAACCCTTTTCAAATTCCTCAAAGAGTATCTTCGCCTGAAAACGAGAAGATGCGAGAATGAAGATGAAAAGAAAACAAATGGAAATACTGTTTTATTTTTATTGACTGGTAGAAAGCCACAGGTCCCATCACTTTCACACCATTTATCAAAAGTTAACAGCGGGAATCCCACTAAATTGTGTTAAGACCAGAATGTGAATCACACTCTTTTTTCCGAATAGTTTTTGTGTTAAGAAAAAACTGACATCACTTTGCGCTAATGTATTCTGGGTCGATGTTAAAATGGGAATGATTTAATCCACTAGCTGGTGTCACTAACTGAAGCACACTCAATGCCAAGTACATGACTCCAATATTACATCCCTAAACGGCTGTTTGACCCCAGTGTAATACCTTAACACATAGGAGCTCAGAACTGGACAGGATGGATTTGTCGTCTTCTTCACTGGTCTCGGTTCAAGTTCCTCTGTCGACTGGCTACAAACAATTTGTTCCTTCGGTCCAGCAGGCTCGGACAATAATCCTGGCAAAGCTCTGTCTTTCGGAGGCAGTAGATTGACCCCCTGGTCAGGCCTGCCTTCCGATCTCTGGTCATGACAAGTAGATTACAAGATGTTAAAAAGTTACTCAAAGCATGGAGAGGTTATTTGTTTGCGTACACGTTGGGCATTTTATCTGTGATCCAGTTACCACTAACAGACTGAGAGCATATTGAGTGCTGCACTCTCCATCATCCCAGTTTGTGCACAACATGGATAATTACAGGGATACATGAAGAAGCAAATACAATACAATTTACAATTATACAGCGCCTTTCACATTGGGAGGACATTTCAAAGGGTTTCACGCTGCTGGGCAGACCTATCGAGCTGGGGAGTGGGAGCTAATGAGGACGGGGAGGGGAAAGATAACTAAAAGGGAAGTCTTGAGGGGCTTTAAACTTAAAAGAGCGAGCGAGACAGAGTGAGTAAATCGGAAGGATTATCTATAAATGTATTATGTGGGTTATATCTTGAGGCATGCACCAACTCTCAGATGAGTGTGCATTTACAGTGCTGTACATATTACTGTCGACTAAGTACCTGCACTGGTTCTGCACTCAAACTCTGAGTTGAGTCTGAGTGACTGACGTATTGAACAGCACCAATGACTCCCTGGATTAAGATCCGTTTGTGCTCTCGATAGTGCAGTTTCTCGATCTCTTTCTTCAGCTCATTTGTGGAGGTCAGGAAAGTCTCAGCTGTGGAAAGATATTTTTAAAAAAATGCATTGTCCACGACAAATAAAGCATGAAACATAAATGTAAGCCAAGTACTTAATAAGGTACAAGGATTATTCTGCAGATCTCACGAGGTTTGACCCGTCTGATTTCATCTGTCCAGAATACCAACCCAACCAACTATCCACTACAACATCAAGCTGTATCTTAAATGAGTTCAATGTTGTGCCTTCAACCACCTTTAATCTTGCTGTCGATTATCTTTTGTGTAAATGAATCCTTCCTGTTGTTTACCCTATACAATATGTCACTCCACTGTGCAGTAAATCATGTGAATTGCTTTGAGATGTTCGTCCTCCTGACGTGAAAGGCGCTATACCAAAGGCAAGAATTATTATTCTATCTGATCTGGCTTTCCTCACCACTTGATAGCACCATTCTGATTTACTCTGGAGTCCAGGCAGCTACATTTGCTCATGTCACTCACTGATGACATTCACTTGAACTTCCAATGTCACCACTGCAGACCAAGGAACTATCTGCTGGCAGCAACATGTTTATGAGATAGCCTGAATAAATTGGTGCGAGGGACAAATATGAGAGTATATACAGTGCAGACTCGATTTGACACAGCGCAATTCATGCCAGGAGGACGTCTCAAAACAAGTATCACATGCAAGGATTATTATTAAGTGCTGAGTCTCATTCTTTTGACTTAACTCACTCACCCTGCAAGCACTCAGGGGAAGCTAACTCTTGTATGTCTTGTACCCAGGTTACACACATCTCTTTTGGGCTTTGTAAGATTCTGATGGAAATCTGTGATCGCTCCGTGGCTGAATTTATATGACAAGCAAGACTCACGAGGGAGGATCAGTGGAGTTCTTACCTGCAGCGTTTTTACAGTATTCAGAAAAGGTAGCAGGGACTGGTGGGAATGAGAAGTATCCGCCAACTTTGCACTTGCTCAGCATCTCCTTCTCTCGCTGCCCTTTAATCCACTGAATAAAATGCTTCACCTGTGGGTTCCACGTGTATGGCTGGCCTTTGTGACACCCTGAGGATTATCAAGAGATACAATAAAGGCTGAGTGGACCTCAGTGCAACTCCAGCGCTGACCTCTGAAGAACAATGATTAAAGTCACCGTGAACGGAGGCACAAAGTTTTTCCTCAGCCAAATGGATGTTTTTTGTGAGACTCGAAAATAACGTGCGATACTGCAGGACATTCTTAGAATCATTTGAATTTCAAGTATCAACCCTGCGATCTTCAAATAATACATGGTCGCGCGGAAGAAAAACCCTTTGCAGAATTGTTACAGGTTTTCTGGGTCCTTGACTCATTTCTAACCCAGCGTTTGAAAAACATTAATCGAGCAGCCAAGGACCTCGCAATGATTCGACCAGCGCTGTATGAAGCGCTCTGCAATCTCACCTGTGATGAATATTTGACTTTCGTTGGAGGTTGTGAGATAGGGGCTGTTGGTTCTGCTGGAAAGGTTTTCTCGAACGACTCTCATCTGCGTGCACACCAGATAGGTCACTGCGAGGAAGAAGCATTTGCAAGCACGGAAGGAGCGGTTACCATTCCAGATTGCATTTTGTACTGACCACTAGATCTTGCTGATCACAGGATTTTAATCTTTAAGTGATTATGTCATCGGGCAATGGAGTTTAGCCATCACCATTTATGCAGCAGGAACTATCCACACATTCACACTGCGCATTCACACTGTGTAAAACCGTGGCGGGAGTGATTGTAAGGAACGAGCAATCCAGATTACAACACGTGACCGTGTAAAGTGGACAAAAATCTTTAGAGATTATTTACTTGTATCGCTCGCAAAACACTATGTCACGTATTCTCCAGTTTAATTTTAAAAAAGTTTTAGTTTGTTCCAATATGTTTCGAGAGGGTGAAAGTACAGCAAACGTTACGAAGACAACACTGTAATGACGGCTGATTATTATTAGGTGTGATACAAAATCCCCACAAAACCAAGAAACAAATGTAGTTACATTGGCCTCATTACAATAGAAATTAAAGAGGAGTCTCTGTGACATAAGACCCTGAGGCACCATACTCCACATGGTTCCATCTTAGTGATGGGCGGAAGCTAAACATGGTTCTGCTCAGGCTGCTCTTGCACGCGCTCTGGTGGCCATCTCAGACCAGCATTGCCGAAGGTTAAAAGCCACCTTGCAAGCCCAACCACTCACCCTATGCGGTTAAACCTGCTACGATTCAAAATCAAGAGAACAAGGAAGGAATTTGAGGGGTTAGCGCCTCTAAAATAAATTTATTAAGGTTGAAATTCATCATGTTTGATGCTTTAAATGACTTATATGTGTAATGTACATCGTGCACTCTATTCTGATCTGTCAATACTCGAAGGGAAAGACGCCATTTACTTGGATGGATGTGTTCGAAGGTTTCTGGCTGGGAAGTTGAGAAGAGCTCGAGGATGAAAGGTTGATCACTGCTGCCATCCACCACGTGAACCCAACGGTACAGAAAGAAATCTTCGCTGTCGGCTGCAGCACAGAAAAGGGGAAAGAAATTACAACTAAAATACAAGTGCAAGGCAACATGCAACATTCACCAACGCTGAACTGACAGCTCTCTGTCCACAAACATTTTGAAAGATTACCTTTTTTCCTAAGTCGCTCACAGCGTCCCACAAATGTGACAAGCCCGATGATATCACATGTGTAAGCGTGGGGGAGTTTTTCCAACTCCAGTCTAATGGGACAGATTAATAGGATTAACAAATTAACATTAGCTGAATAAAAAAAACGTAAAATGATCACAGGTTAAAAAAAAAATAACAGCATTTTTTTGGGGAGTGGGGCTGATCAAATTTGTGTTCATGAAGGTTATGAAATGCTACCAGTAACTGAATATCAGTTTTGGGCTGTTCCTTGTCAGAAATAATTTAGGAAGACGCAGAGTAAAGCTCCTCTACTCTGGTTCATCGACAAAACACATGGTCACTACACTTTATAGTAAATCCTGTGAACCGCTTTGAGACATCCTCCCGATATGAAAGGTGTTATTAGCAAATCCAAGGATCACTATTATTATTACTGCTATTCACAGACAGCTGAGGTATATCTATATGTGTGATTTTATATTATAAAATTTTATATTATAAATATTTTATATTATAAAATCATTGACATATAAAATTCCTATGTGACTGTACAATGTGTAGGAATCAAAAGTGTACAAGAATTTTTTTTACTACCGGTTAGAATCATCATTTACTAAAGGACAAATCTGGAATTAACAGTAAAAATCAGGACATTACAATGAAAATACAAGAGGAAAGTACGAATTGTAAACAGAACAACATCCTGACCAGGGATAACATATTGACTAAACAAATAGCTATATCACAGTCAGGTGTGCGAGGATGATAAATACTCCTTAGTGAGACTGACTGATACCCTTTGGTTGAAAGGGTTATTGTGTTACAATATAGATTTCCACTTCTAATGCTTCCCCTATTTTGCCTGCTAGCTAATGATGCAATATTATTCCAAAATAAGCGTATGTTTTTATAAGAGAATAAAGATAGCACAGACCACACAGCACAGCACAAAAGTTAGCAGAACTAGAAAAGCATTGTTTTGGGACATTGAACTAACAAGACTCTAGGCCTGGGATTGTACCTCGAAATGAAGTTATATTTGACTTCAGGCAATTCCCACTCTGGTTTGATTTGCTCCGCTGGCACAATCTGAAGTACAGTGCAGAGATGCTGAGGGTTCAGGGAAATCTCTGTAACACACAATGCTCAGCAGAATATTAACATATACAATACAGCAAAGCCCCCCCCATAAAACAGGCATATTTCCACAAAATCTGTATTCCCCATCACCAGTGATGGCTCAAATCTGTTCTTTATCTAATTACCTCAGCTGAGGTACAAGTATCATTATAATAATAATAATCCTTGCATTTGATATAGAGTTTTAGCACAGCTTCGAGACATCTCAAAGCGCTTCACAGAATAATACACTGTAAAGAGAATTGACTGCATATCTTGCAGGCATTAATGCCTTCTGTTTTACTCTCACTCCTTATAACGTCATCTCAATGGCACATCAGAAGCCTCAGCCAACACTAACTGTATGGAAGTACCGGAACAGGATTCTCACCTATTGTCCTGAAACTCTTCATCTGTGGGTCAAATGGAGTTGCCCACGTCCTCTTCTGGTAACTCGGCTTTACAGCGTAGCGATGAAGCAGAAGCACTGTGCCAATGTTTAGGGACTGGTACCATTCAGGGCACAGGGAGTTCCACAGGACCATAGGCATCATACCGGACTTGTCTGCTACTTCAAAATAGGCCTACAATACAAGCCAAAATAGGCCCTCACTCACGGTAAAGTGCACAGGGCACACAGCGCAGTACTCTGCAGTTCCAGCTTATTACTCTGAATCACTAAAAATTTACAAACAATCACTAACGACTTCCTAGGAAAAGCACAGCTCGAAACAAAGACCTTCTTCTGCAGAAGGACTGACTGGCAATAAATGAAAATAATTGAATTTTTTCAGACACCTTTTTTTTGTCAGAACTTGCAAAAAAAGTTCGCGCACCAGATGTTTTCATTTGCTGAGGAACCGTGAAGGATTCTCCGCTGAGAAGCGTCTATCCCGAAGCGAATGACCAATCTTGTTTGGGAGAAACTCCCTTGAAACAAACTATGGGGTAGTTCCGCAGTCACTGACCTGAATTGGGCAATTAATCTTCGTGGTGATTCTTCCATAATATCGTAACCTGGACTTGTGCATTATCCGTACCAGAAGACGCGGGAAATCCAAGTTATTTCTCCAGGTCATCATCAACCCTTGTAGGGTAATGAGTCCAGAAACTATCAGGAAGGAATCAGCGGAAAATATTGACTGTTCCCACAACAAATGTGATTACAGTATGGTCCCACAGAATATATATTTTTTAAATCTTCCAATTAGATTCAAAGCTTCAACAGATCAAAGAGGTGACACAAGATAATAATTAATAATCCTTGCATTGGATATAGCGCCTTATCACATCTTCGAGACGTCTCAATAGCGCTTCACAGAATATACTGTAAAATGAATTCACTGTATATTTTGTGGGCGTAACGCAGCAGCCAATTGCGCACAGCAGTGTCCCACAAATAGTTGTGGATTGAGTAACCAATTTTTAAATTTTTTTTTAAAAAAGGATTATTACCCTCAGAAAAGCAATTCGCCAATCGACTAATGACTGAGTTGCTACTTACTGCAAGGTAAGCAGAGGCATGTGGAGTAAGCAAACTTGCCTAACGTTTCACTCTGACGGGAATCGAACCCAGGTCTCTCGCTTGCGAAGCGAGTTCTCTAACTACTGAGCTACTGGAGATATTTCCACCCAGTTCATTTGTGGAGCAAAATGTTAAGTTTTCATATTGCGAATACATTTTCTGGCAGACTCCCAATTCAGTCTATAATGGAGGTGGAAAAAAGATCCCCTTTATAAAGACCTCCTGGTTAACCCCCCAATATTCTGTCGATCCAAAGTAAACCTGATCTTAATTATTTTGGATATTGCTTTGGCGCAATTTGGCTGCCACGTTCATCCACAAAATGCACAATCACTACACTTCTCAGTATATCCTGTGAAGTGTTTGATATGCCCTCCTGACGCGAAAGGCACTTTATGAAAAGCACAGACTATTATTAAATGTGGTTGTACAGAGATGTAAGCTACAAGGAACATAGAACAACAACAACTTGCACTTATATAGTGCCCTCCACGCAGGGCAGCATCTCAGAACGCTAAACGTTGGCGGAGCCTGAACAAGCGAAGGTAATTCAGCTCATGAAGCCAATTCCAAGTCACTGTATCAGCAAGGAGAATAAACATTAACATCACTTCTTCTCCAGTCTCTTGGTCCACCTTTAGAGCCTGGAGTTCAAGTGAAACTTTAGCAGAATAATAATAATCCTTGCATTTAATAATAATCCCTCCAAAACAAAACAATAATAAATTGATCATTTTCAGTCCACGACTGTTTGTGGGACATTGCTGTGCGCAATTGGCTGCCGCGTTCGCCCACAAATATACAGTCAATTCACTTTACAGTGTGTTCTGTGAAGCGCTTTGGGATGTCCTCCTGACATGAAAAACGCTATATCAAATGCAAGGATTATTATTATTATATATTAATATAGAGCTGTATCATGTCATCGAGATGTTTCACGCAATTCACTTTACAATATATACAGTAAAGTGGGTTTGACTCTGTATATAGTGGGCGCAGCGCAACGGGCAATTGTGCACAGCAACACGATTGCAAAGAATAACATTCTCTTGAATGTGTAAAGAGCGGAACCTCACAGGGCTCTAAAGAAAGACCTTACCGTTAACTTGAACATCTGGGGCAAGAGGTCTGTTTGCATTCCACTTTCCACCGTGGGGGTCATTGTTATTCCACAGGGGTAAATAATGAGTCCTTCCACCTTTCAATGGGGTTTCCAACTGCAATGTGTTCAGGATGTCCCTTCCCCTCTGAGTTGCAGTGAGATTGTAAGGAGAGGCCCTGGTCTGGTTGGAGATGTTTCTCAACACGGAAAGAGAATCTTCACCGCCTCCCAACTCCAGTGCCTCGACCTGCAGGAAGCAATGGCTCAACCTCATCTCTTCGTACACCAGACTGCAGCGGGTAATGCGGATGTGGGAGCCGGCTCTCAGGGCGTTCCTGTACACCAAGCAGTTCAGGTCAGGAGCCAGGTGAGCCTTGGCCTGACAGGCCCCATCGGTCAGAGTCACGTCGTAAAGGTAAGAGGGCTGCGGTTCGGGGCCGCTGCTCTCCCTGACGGCCGTCTCTCCCAAGTACCTCTCCACGGCCCAAACCACCAAGGGCTCAGAGGGGTCTGGGACCACGGACCTGCAGGTCGCGCCAGTGACCAACTGATGAAAAAGATCCGAAAGGACTGAGGCATCTCCCCGGTGACGGGCGCCAACGCCCTCGGCACTGGTGCCCGGGGCGGGTCTGTCACATCTCCCGGCCGACATCTCCCTGATTGGCGGTGTTTAAAAACAAAACGATGGCAGTGTTACTGTAACCCTTTGTGCAGTAGCCAGCGATGGCAACATTACTGTAACACGCTCTGTAAACAAAATAAAAGAGACTGTGGGATCCCGGTCCTGTTCGTAAATGTAACCAAAGCGGATTAGCCGGTCGGGATTCGTCTCCGAAAACCCCCCCCCAATTGCCCTGTTCAATAATCGTCAATGAAATAAGGCCACAAAAAACGTTACAAAACGTTGCCCGCCCCTCCCCCCCCCCAAAAAAATAATAAATTCAACGAAATTGAAATAAAAACAACAACCCCCCCTCACCGGATTAAAAAAATGACCTGATTCTAAATAACAACAATGATATTACACAGAATTATTATTTGTGACCCCCCCCAAAAAAAATTAAAACAAAAACAAAACGATTGAGAAGGGTTTGGGGGAAAAGGAGAAGTACGTTAAAAGCAGAAACAGGTTGTGTGTGTGTGTGTGTGGGGGGGGGGGGGGGGGGGGGGGGATGGAGAGGGGGGGAAGGGGATGGGGGGGGGGGGGGGTAAAAACACATTTTACCCCCCCCCCACTCACCCCAAATAATTCATTTATTCTCCCAGATCCAGAACGATTTGGGTGTTGGGGTGAGAGAAGTAGAAGTAGAAGAAGAGAAAAGAAATTCCCCCCCCAACCCCCCCCCCAAAAAAAAATAATAATTCTAATTAATTAATCTCCTTAAAAAGATTGCCCCCCCCCCCCCACCACACTCACAGCCATGTCAGTCACAGGCCTCTGAAACCAGACGTTTGTGTGTGTGTGTGTGTGTGTGTTTTTTTCCTCCACCTCCTTTGAAAAGAAGAAGAAGAAAATGACACAGGAACCAATAGCCACAGATATCACTCACTAAATAAAACCCCTTCCAGCCCCAGTCACCCAATAGCTGAGGCTCCAGCACTGCTCAGCAGGTTTCAAATGGCTCAGAGATTCCATCTGCCCTGAGCTCAGCTCAACTCCCACATTAAAGGCACTGCCCCCTTTCATTCACTAATTCATCCCCCCCCCCCCCACCAAACTGAAAGTCTTTATTTATTTGTTGGCCGAATGTAAATGACTCCCCCCCCCCCCCCCCCACCCACCACCCCCCCCCACCACCACCACCCACTCCCCCCCTTCTCTCTCTCTCTCTTTCTCTCTCCAGCCCCACTCCTGTCTTCCATCCTCTCTCCCCCCCTTCCACCCCCCCCACCCAATCCTGATCCCAACACCCACCACCGCCAACCGCACCCCACCCCCGCGCCCCCGCCCCCGCCGCGCCCACCCCCCCCCCCCCCCAGCTCAGGTCTGAGAAATCCTCCCGCCGTGAAAGGCGCTTATTACAAATGTGATTTTCTCGTTGTCGTTAATAATAATGTTCCTTGCGTTTGATACAGTGCCTTATCACGTCTTCGAGACGTCTCGAAGCGCTTCACAGGTTGTACCGTGCAGCGACTCGACTGTATGTTTTGTGGGCGAAACGCGGCAGCCAATCGATCGCGCACGGCAGCGTCCCCACAAACAGTCGTGGATTGAAATGACCCTTTTATTATTTTTTGGTTTGTTTGTTGCTGATGCTCTTTTATATCTGCTGGGGGCAAGGAATAGCGCCTCGGAGCGCTTAACAGTGGAGTGCTTGACGCCGAGCTGCCGTGTGGGGTGGAGTGTGGGGGTGGTGGGTGGGGGCTGGGAGGTGACCTAATAATGTAACTTGAATTGAATTGTGTGATGCACGCAAAGGGGATCCGATGTAACCAGGTAACAGAAAATCGCACACAGAATGCGACGTTCTTTTCTTCTGTTTTCATTGCTTTGCAAATATCAAATGTCGAGGAGTCTTATAGGGCGGTAGTTAGCGCACTCGCCTCGCCAGCAAGAGGACCCAGGTTCGATTCCCGGACGGGACGAAACCTTAGGCAAGTTTCCTTACTCCACACTCCTCTGTCTACCTTTCAGAAAGTAGAAACCCGATTGTTAGTCAATTGGAAGATCGCTTTCCAGGGGTTATAATCCCTCCAAAAAAAAATGTGTTCACTCAATCCACGATGTTTTGTGGGACACTGCTGTGCACAATTGGCTGCCACGTTTCGCTCACAAAATAAGTCAATCCACTTAATAATATATTCTGTGAAGTTCTTTGAGATGTTTCGACGATGTCTAGCCTCCTCCTTGTCCCCCGAATCCTCCGCTCCACCCTCAGCGGCCGTGCCTTCAGCCACTATGCCCCGAGGCTCTGGAACTCCCTTCCTCACTCCCTTCGCCTCGCCCCCTCTCTTCTTATTTTCAGGACTTGGCTGAAGCCCTTTCTTTTCGACCGCGCCTTTAGTCACCTTCTCCTACCCTCCTCCCCCTGGCTCGGCCCCGGGATCCATTACTGTGAAGCGCTCTGAGACACCGTCCGGGGTGGAGGGCACGATATAAATACAAGTTTTGTTGTTGTTGACATGATAAGGCGCTTTATTAAATGCAAGGATTATTATTATTATTATAGTTTCATCTCGGCCCACATGACTTGTGTTCTCACCATCGGTGATTCTATTTGCCTCCCATTAGTGCAGAAAATAACGGTGTATTTGCAATAGAACATTTTCAGTATTAATCCAGTTGAATATTGTGTGCAGATGACTTGTTGGGTAACATTAGGCAAACACCCAGTGAAAATATTACCAGAAATGCATAAAAGCAGTACACACACTCACTCATAAATGCTGTTATGAACAGGGCTGAGAAGGCGAGTTTTGTACAATAAAGCCAATCAGGTCATTAAAATTCTGAATAAATGCATATTTTATTTACTCTCAGAAACTTGCAAAAATGCTCACATCACTAAGAACTTAGTGTTATGCATTTCTATTGCAACCATTTCTTCTTAGAACTGTCAATTTCGGTAGCAACAGTAGTTAAACACTGAATTATTATGTACAAAACATTACAAAAAGATTACAAACTCGACCGATACACAGCAAACAAACTTCAATACTTTTTTTTGTGCTGAACAAAGATGGAACACAAGGCATGGGAATATCAAACTTTTTGTTTTTTTAAAAAAAAGTAAATTGTAAATACATTCACATGATGGGACAATCAGTGGCTACACGTAAAAGCAATTTCCAATAAAGTATTGGCTCTTCTTGCTGTCTCGTGATACACCATAGAAACAGGAAATACAGCAAAATGTACAGTACTGTACTGGATTCAACAATCATTTTAGAACTTATCAAATGTACCAGAGAACCATTATGATTGTATTCAAAGCTTTTATTTCCAGGGGAGTGGGGAAACTTGTTCATAGTTGTAGTAACTATCTTAGCAATACTTTCAAACTCAACTGAGAATACGTATTACAATCCAGAACTTTTGTGGGGTGTTTCTTTGTTAACAGGAATAGACAATTTAAAAATAAAAAAAACATATGGCCTATTTCATTCTCAGAGGCATCTGTTCTTTGACATTGTGTAGGATTGAATAGCAATAATATACTTGAGGGCACATTGCAGCAGATTTGAGACAGACTATTCCCACTGACTAAGGGATGAAGCCACGATAAATCTGTTCTGAACTTGCGATGGTAAACATGTGCATTCAATAAAGACTTAACTAAGGAGTAACAGATTCCCAAGTTCAATGTTTTTTTCAAATTGGAAGGGAGACTGGCTTTAAGCCCACCATGTTCTTCAACCTATAACCAGCCTATGTTGGATAGACAAGGCAGTTTGTTGGCGGATAGCTGTATTATTCAATCTTGAAGATTTTCATAGCAGTTTCAAAAGACTTGGCAAGTTGTTCAACTCACCCTCGAATGCCAGTGGTCTCGTCTGATATTGCTGGAGTGTTACAGTATCACAAGCAATTGCAATCATTACATTCAGGTTGACTCTGTGGATTGAGTATCAGTGGTTAGATGCAAGTCAAACAACTAACCACAACAGCCTGTGATGGGGATTACCATTTACTGCTTTCTGGTAATACAATACTAAGCTCTCAGCAACAGACGTTGTCATGTTTGCACGTAGCTCTCTGCCTCACTTCAATTGTAAAAAATATTTTTATAAGCATGTGAAATAAATTAAATCTCATAATCCTCCTGAGACTTCATGCAATCCTTTTTTTTAAATTAGTTTTGTTTGCCCAAACCACATAAAGTCTGTACTTGTTTAATTCAGCAAACCCTATTCGCCTCAAACAGATATTTGATAAGTGTGGCTCATATTCAAGTCAAAATTATACTTAAAATTAAAGCAATATTCTTTAAAATACATAGCTGTACTCCCCAGTATCCTGTATGCAAAAGACTTGATTGAATAACAAGTGCTGTTTGTGTACATAAACAAAAGCTTTTTTCTGATGGACATTAAATAGAGATGTGTCTCACAGTGCACACACTACATAGGGGTTTGTGTGAACTCAAACACACCAAACGAAGATTGCCCACAAAAGCAAGAGTTACTGTTGACAAATCCGACTATAGAAGAGCAGGCAAAAGGGGCAATGTTCCTTAAGCATCAGTGCAAATAGATTATCTATTAATTTAAGTAATAGTCACTGGCTTTATTAGAAAAGCTCAGACAAATTACCTTAAATTATCTACTAATTTAAGTAAGTTACTAGCTCAGCAATTACATTTGTACTATCACCTTTTGAATATGCTTCACTTCTCTACACACCCAGTCAGTTGGTGATTTTATGGAACTGCCCCAGTATTACAATTAATTTCACACCTTACAGAATGGCTGAGCCTTCAATCCAGAAATCAGGAATGACTTTTTTTTAAAAAAATAAAAGCAATAAACATCCCCATCACCACCGGCCTTGGTTGTGGGGTAAGATCTGAACCTGAGACAACCATCCCCTCAGGCCGACCAGAAAAATGAACACGCAGAGACAACAATATCGAGGCATTATGTTTGATGTGCTACAGGTTATCTCTCAAAAGCCAATCAATGACTGGATACCTGTCTCTCAAACCACAGCTCTGTGTTATTGATTCCCTGGGGATCTTATGACAATTTCCAAAGCTCTGCTTTGCTGCTTTACAATCACAGAAGACAATCTGAACTTCGAGGAGATCCCCGACTCGTTGAAAGACATCTAAAGGAATGTAGGTGTTGGTATAATAACCAAAATTCATAAACAAGCAATTTCACCGTTTTCCACAATCCTATCCCTGCTTACGATCTCATCATTTCCCAGCATATTTTAATTTTGGATGCTCCTAGACAGCAAAAGAGAGATTAAATGTTTAGAGTTGCCAAGGGCAATTGCAGGTTAGACACCACAAAAAATTTCTTTACTCACAGGGTAATTGACGACTGTAACAGGAAAGGGTGGCTGAGGCGGGGACTCTGATATAATTTTTTATATAAAAATATAGCTTGATGCTGAGATGAGTTGACGGTATGGTAGGTATTCTGGAAGGATGAGATCAAATGGGTCAAAGGGCCATTTTCATCTCAACACCACTCGTGATCCGCTTGTAATAAAATGACCACAGTAACAGTCGTAAATAAACCTGGATTCCCGATCCAGGAGATTGTTGCTGAATTTGAGTTCTGAAACCCTGAGCAGATGGGCGATTACTTTATAACTAAAGATTCACATGCCAACAACTTTCTTAGAAACATCACAGCTTTCTGATAACGTTTTAGCCAATTCAGGTTAATTTAAATCGAGACGTTGACAGCGGTGTGACAGAGAACAGCAACAAATATATGCCAGCACTTGCAAGGCTCCAAATGTTTTTGCAATATTAAAGCTGTCTGTTCAATGAGATTATAAAAATGCCTTTATTAAACTTTGAAATGATACATAAGGAAGATTTGATGCTTGGCAGCTTCAATCAAATATCCCTTATGTGATACATAATAAAGTATAATCAATTTACACCTACTGAAAGATCCAATTATAATGTTGTTGCCTGTACAATACATTGCTCATCCTTCCTTCTATTCTATACTGTGAATCTTTCTCATCTATTTCTAATTCCCATGGTCAAACTACAACACCACGACCTATTTAGCCCATTTGAAATAACGTTTTCTTCCTCAGATTACAGGCTCAAAGGTCGATTTCTCTGAAAATACCACTCTCCGAGAACCGGTCAAACTGGTTTCGTACAATGTGCTTGGTAAATCAATTGACTGAGTGCAGTAATTCATCAGGAAAAATATCAAGTTTGGTGGACTAAGTGCGTGAGCGTAGAACAAACAAACAAGAGGAATAAGGAACAGCTGAGAAGAGTTTGAAGTGAAGGGAAAAAGCAACAAATGGAGAAGCTTTTTCTAGCCTAAGGTCAATTATTTTTCAAACACTGGGACAAAGAAGGAATGAAATTGCTCACAGGGCAATTGCTCTGATGTTTAGTGCCAGTACTCTTATCAATTAATGACCACAACTGACCCAGAGGTTTAAGATATCCAACAATAGACACTGAATAAAGTCTGATACTGATTGAAATCTGCCCTTAAGTTTCGAACTTGCAATACTGGCTGGTTCTCAATCGGAATGAGAAAACTCTTTTGATTCTTATTTTAAAGTGCTTTTAAAAAAGCCTTTTTTGAGGGTATATCAAGAAGTGACATTACTCTTCAGTAGAATCCATTAGAGTGTACCAACACCAGGATTTTCTTTCATTTTACACAGGAGATTGCGCCACTTTTTATTAAAATCCTGTGATCATGAGGGCGAGTAAGTGCTATAGTATTTCTTGGTGCACAAAGAAATAGGAGGGAAACAAAAAGCAGAAAACATGAAAAATACCTTTGAATAGCAAACTCCAATGCTAGGAGTCATTGCCTTGCAAACCAGAAAAAAAGCTCAGGCACAGCAGAGTGAGACCCCTTGAAGTTTCAGTCGGCAAAATGTCAAGTGTCTAGGGGAATGAAATATCCACTGTGCCCAGTGGAGCCTACTGCATGAATCAGACATAACTATTTAAAATAAATTAAACATTCTTACAAGGGGAACTTTTGGGGCTGAATAAAATATTTTTTCTAGAAGCAGCAAAAAAAAAGATCAGTATTGACTCATCATCTACATCCCTATTGACCTCACTGGCACAGACCTGCTGTGTGTCCCTCGATCTCTCCTCTCCACTATCGGTGACGGTGCTTTCAGCCACTACGCCCCTAACCTATGGAACATCCTGCCTTAATCCCTCTGCCTCGTCCCTTGCTTTATCCATCTTTAAATCTAATCTCAACCGCACCTACAGTCACCTCCTCCTCGTCCTCCCCCTCCTCTCTTGCACGACATCAAACTTTGCCACTGTACAGCACTCTGAGACACTATCCGGTGTGAAGGGCACTATGTAAACGCAAGGTGTTTTGCTCTTGACTTAGACTTATCATCTGCTTTGCAATTTAGCAGACAGAATCGGTGATTTAAAACTTGCTTGTAGAAATTTGTGGATCTTACTTTCCTGTTAAATATGTAATCCCTGGGGTTCTGGGAGTACGGCACAAAGGGCCCCCAAATCAAAACAAAAACAACAGGATTCAAAACACTTTGGTTATAATGGAGAGGGAAATTCTGCAGTGTGCATACAACAACTTGCATTTATGTAGCGCCTTCTACACGGGTTGGCTCCTAGGAGCTCTTAAGTATATAAACGTATCCTCACTCAGAGTGTGGCTACATCTAAACCCCAAAAGGGATGCAGCAAATTTACAGCAGAATCTTTCTAACAGGCATCTGAATTTCTTTTAAAACTTTCCCTTGCAAAATCAAACAGCCTGGTTGCTCGGAGACCAACACAGCACCAACCCTTCCCTGCACCCACACACTTGTCAACATTAAACAAAATAAAATGTCAAGAGATATTGTGTAGGTTTCTCGGGAATAATTTGTCTAAAACGTCAACCAGTGGTGACAACATTTCACCAAAAAGCCAATTCTCGTTAGTTTCCTCTGAAGTTGACGCCTTTTGAAGAATACTAAAAGGGGAGCGAATTTTTTTTAAGATTTATTTGTGTCGATGGCGAATTTTCGCACTGTCTCCTAAAAAAAAAGATTTTCAGAAGCACCACGGTTAAACCCTTTCCACCTGTCTGACTGTCCTCTGTGACGTTGAGCACCTTTAATACAGGGGAGTTTTCAAAGAAGCTAAATTCGAACGGAAATTCCGACATTCGGAAAGGAGAGAAAAACGATCCGTTGAGAACGACCGACAGACCTTCAAGATCACCCGGTGGCCAGCTAGTCGCGGTGGCAAGAATCTGTGGAGAGCTATGCGAAAAAAAAGATTGACATCCACTCAAAATACAGTACATTATACTTATAGTAATAGTGCTACGGACATGAACCCCTCTTTAAAATATACAAAAATGGGGAAGAGTTTTTTTTGTAAATCGTCAATTTTAGAGCATTTATAACCTGTAAAGTATTGACTGTGCAAAAAAACATTGACCACATACATTTGTGCAAACAGCTGGCATTAGAGAGCTACTGTTTTACTTAACAGTACAGTTAGATTTTTCTATATGCTACAACAACTTTAGTTAATATATATATTATATATAAAGGTAGAAATACAGTAACCAGTTTTAGTTTTGACAGAAAGTGCTCTGTCCAACTGTGCCATCTGCTGTATTCAGAAGTTCAGCCATTGTCTGACATTGCCATGAATTTCCGTGAAGAGTTTATAGCTATGGGATGGAATTATTTTTGTATCTGGAGATGATCGCGTCATTGTAACTCCACGTCTGGCGAGTGTTTTCAAGAATTCATTGCTCCGACACGAGGAGCCTGCACGTCTACCAGTTAAGGAGACAGGGACGGCCGAGTGTCATGAAATAAATCTGGTTGCTCCCGCCAGACTGGGATGAAGCAAAAAACACCTGCAACAGAAGGGGAAACGTATTGGAAATAAAATTGGGAAAACTGCCAACAAACATTCATCAACGCTGTATATATCATCCACAATACATACAGTCAATTCACTTTACAGTGTATACTGTAAAGCGCTTTGACATGTCTCGAAGACCTGATAAGGCGCTATATCAAATGCAAGGATTATTATTATATTTAGTACATTGAGTCACACAGGATTACATAGAGCGTTACAGCATACAAACAGGCCATTTGGCCATCTAGTCCGTGCAGGTGATTATACTCAATTGAGCCTATGCTGCTCCACTATACATCTCTATTCCCTTTTCGTAAACATATTGAATAGGGTTCTGCTGTGCTTACATCTGTTCGTTAGAATATAATCCCAATTTTTACAGAATTAATTGAATTGTCAAAATTAAACACAAAGTCACAGACTGCTCAACCAATTACTTTGAGGTAAAACGTCCAGAATATTTATAATATAAAGTTACCCTGTCTCCTGTTAAGATAAAGCAGAAATAGAAGAGAACATTTTGAGTCTACACTGGAGACCCTTAGGGCACCTCCAGTAAAATGCTAAGGTCTTATTAAAAGCATAAGCAAGCCCCAGTGTCTTTGATCGTTATCAACACACCTTGATTTGGGGGAAATTTACCTTGTCATTTCTTTCACACAAGAATTTCAGCCGTTGTGCCTTCTTGTGCATAAACACACCGTCGAGATGTCCAGTTTCCACAGAGCGTAACTCAATTGCCTTCTCTCCCCAGCCCATTATTTGATTTGATTGGATGTATGCTAGAAAATCAAAAAAAAGGGAATTGGCAAAATTATAGTTTATAGCATATGGCAGGTTCCACAGAGTTCTTAGTTGAACAGATAAGCTCAGAGATTGTGCTTCAGTGAATATGGTTTGCGATTCAATGATTGCTGCTGCCTTCGTGTCATCTGACTGCAACAAACCCACGCTTCCACATCGACTACTATAGCTTAACTGAAGAAGGCACTTCATAAAGCAACATTGTGATGCAGAGCTGGGATAATTATTTCATGTTAGGTGATAAATATAAAAATATACAGTCAATTCACTTTACAGTATATTCGGTGAAGCGCTTTGAGACATCTCAAAGACGTGATAAGACTCTATATCAAATGCAAGGACTATAATCCACTCCAGCAAGCAAAACCTTTACTATACAATGACACGTCTCGAGAAAGTGTTAAAGTGCTACGTTGAATGCAAGGATTATTATTATTCTAAATGATGGTGCAATAATGGATGAATTTCACAGTGAAATGCAGCAGATGTACTCTTTGTGGTTTCAATGCCTATTTTAATTTCCCTGGAGTCTTTGCTTTTCACTCTCAATACCGATTAATGAGCAAGTCACAAAGGCGTAACTAAAGAAAAATTAATGTGACATTGTATTATTATATTTTGGGTCATTATATGGCCCAGATCTGTCAATCCTCAAATCTCTGTTTGTAGAAAGGTTCAAAGAGCTCACTTTCGTACCAGTGATTCTCACTATATTTAGAGTTGGCCAGGATCAATAACAATGAAAATTATATCTCTCTGTGAATCTATCTCACACTGATTTACTATCTTCCAATAACGAGATACAGTAGTGGGCCATAATTAGCAAACAGATGGAAATTGTACATGTCAGTGTGTATCTAGTTCATGATTTCAAATCAACATAATAATCCTTGCATTTGATTGAGCGCCGTATAACATAATTGAGCAACATTACTTTTTAGGAAGTAGAAATTGCTTTTATCAACTAAAGTGGTAAAAGCACTGCCTTGTTCATCAGTGCATGTACTGACAAGAAGATTCAATATGTGGTCTGTACGGAATTAATTTATTTCAACCAGGACAATAGCTGGGGTGCTGCCACAGGACCTTTTACAGCATCACTGAGAGATAGGATGGGGCAACAGATCAGTCAGTATTTCCGCTTCTGATATTTTATCGAGTCCTGCTGGAAAAGGATGCACGCACAACGGATTCAGGTCTATTCCCTCCGCACCCTGGTGACGCTTAGTAACTGGGTCACATATTAAGAATGGCCATTTGGGAAAGGTGTCAGAGGGCTGGCTGGCCCATATAAGCCATCAACCGAGAAGAGGGGGAAATGAGCAACAAAGCCTTTCGCCTACACTTAAGCTCACAAGATGCAAAATGGTGCCAGTTCTAGCTCCTTGGTGTAGGCGAAGCTGACTTTATATTTATAATGGAGCATTTACATCTTTCCTGAGGAGTATAAGGTAAGAGCTAAAAAAAAAGGCAGATAATAATAATCCTTGCATTTGATATAGCGCTTTTCACGTCTTCTAGACGTCTCAAAGCACTTCACAGAATATACTGTAAAGTGAATTGACTATATATTTTGTGGGCGAAACGAGGCAGCCAATTGCGCACAGCAGCATCCCACAAACAGTCGTGGATTGAAGTGAACAATTTTTTATTATTGTTTTTTTTCTTGACGGATTATTATCAGACGTGCGGAGTAAGGAAACTTGCCCAAGGTTTCGCCCTGCTGGGAATCGAACCCAGGTCTCTCACTTGTGAGGCAAGTGCTCTAACCACTGAGCTACAGAGATTCCACGAATAACAGACGAATAAAACAGCTGACTCGACACTTACACAAAAGAGTAAATAAGCAAATTAATTAAAGTAATATTAGTTAATTAATACGTGATGAACAAGCAAAGTCAGGGTTCTTTAACCATGATACTGTGGATACCAATCCTCAATACATGCCTTACTTGTGTTACCAAACATGGAAAACCCTATTCTGACCAACAAGTGGGATTGCCATACAAATTCGGGATTATTAACACATTTATTATTATTTTGCCTCAGAAGATGGAAGCACATGTTCCAAAGAATTTTTGATAAATGTTCTTAACATTCTAGGACCCCGTTGACGAGACACCTTTAGCATGGGTTTATACAGCTCTCGTTATACTTTGGGAAAATGTCAGTTTCTGGATGAGTCACCCATGGAGTTCATAAACAAGACAAATGATTGCACCTTCATCATTGTGAACATGTCAGAACCAATGTACATACCAATAGACGTGGGCATCTCTCCCCACTGCAATACCGTCTCCTTTGTGATCCGACCATAGGTGTTTATATAGACTCCTTCATCCTCATAGCAGATGAGCAGCTCCATGCCGTTTGTGTTGGGAAGGATGATAATGGCATGGGGGTGAACGTTGCTGTGAATCTGAACAAAAGTTCAATGTGAAAGCATTACTAAAAATGAGCATTCAAGTCAGGAATTACTTTGCACCAAACATGCGTGATGTCTCTCGTGCTATACTTATCCCTCACATAGAACATAACAGTATCACATCATTTTAGGCATCAGTATTAGCACGACTTGCAATCTCTTACTTGAATTACAAAACACAATCTCACAGTGAATCAGACCGTAGGAAAGCCTCGATATTTCTACTTGCCAGGCTATGCATATTCAGGCTGACGACTGAAGCCCATTTCTCTGCAACTACAATCCGTAACACCAGCACAGGCATCCAGAGGCGGAGAGCAATTTTCATGCGCTGCCTTGTTATTCTCATGAGGTAGTTGTAACGTAGACAGGAGAGTGTCTGACTTTCAATCTGTGAGCTGCAAACTAGACTGAGCACCAACGGGAAGCCAGCTTCATAAGGGCTTGTTTCCCTTCAGGTGATCCCCAAAATAAAATAGCCTCTCGCTGGAACAGCCCACTCCAGCAGCATGCTATTTAACATCCAAGACACCGAGGGGGTTCTTTATTTTTAGCTTTCCGTGCCTTGTGCAGCGACCAGCTCACAAAGCTGGGGACTGGGGAGGGTGGAGCAACTCATCACTCTTCCTTAGCTCTCTGTGCTGGTGAACATGTGTGTGCGCGTGTGTGTGTGTGCCTGATGCACTTAGAAAATGTTAACCATTTCATGGAACTTAAAAGGGTTTCCTTCTTCAGTCTGGCAACATACGCCAGCCATTCACTCAGACATCAGAGCACATTTCTCTCACAGCTGCTTTTTGTGACAAAGGCGACATGTTCAACCTGGCACAGTGTCCCTTTACATTTTGTGCACACTGATGATGTGCAGGTTCGAGTGGGGAAATCCCATTAACTACATATATCGCTAAAGTGCGCTAAAGCTACAGCACATTGAGTTCAATAACATGACTGAACTCTTCCCTTACGAAGAATTCCTACAGCATTTTGCTCTCATGTGAAGGCTTACTCTACAAATGAATATTTTATTGCCTCTCTGTATCAACGTATTTTTCGGCAAATTCAATCCAATGTCAATAGCTTCCCAATCGCAATACTATTTAATGTCAATACCTAAACTGCAAACTGTTGAGTTATTTTTCAGTGTGAAAAAACAATTGCTCTTTGCTGTACTTGAGTGAACGCATGGCACTTATTTTACTGAAGACACTTTAACGCAACAGGTTCAAAGTAGCTAAATAAAGTACAAATATTTTAGATTTACATTGTTATATAAGCAATCAGGAGACCTTTTTAAACTGAATAATGGGCTTGTTTGTTTCAAAGGCAGGGCACTCAAACTGCACATAATAGGCCAGACATAGCCTTAGCGGTAATGTTTTTGTAACTTCTTTCAACTTCTAACTTCTTTCATTCAACAACAACAAATTGTGAAGCTCTTTGAAACGTCTTTGACATGAGAAGGACATCCCAAGGCAGCCAACTCAATATTAAGATTTACAGTAGCCTCTTCACACAGATTAGCATTCGTAATCCTGGCAGGATGCAAACTAGTATTAGCTTTGTGAGCAGGAAGCCCACATCGTTTCAACACCTTCTACTAAATGGCACCACTTCATTTTCTACACATCAGTTGGCTATTCAGGTGTGAAAGCTGTCGGCAGTCAAGCCCTATCCTGCTCAATCCCAATGCCCATTCAGGCGTGATTTCCAGGAAATCACTCAGGAACAGTACCATGCTGGTGTTCTCCTCCTTACCATGGGTCACTGAGCCCCAATTGTAGGGCTTTAACCACTGCTCCCTCTGAGATCAATTATCTTAGCACATCTAGAAATTAAACCTTCAATCTTGTGCTCTGCACGCAGACCTTGGTTGTAAAGACACTTTAAATAGTACAGAATAGAATGCGTAACATCTTATTGCAAAATGCTTCAGAATTCTACATGACCTCCGTTCACTGAATAACCCATGTGGAGTACCATCACTATGCTGCAAGGAGTAAAGAACCAGCACACCTCTGTCACTTCAAGCCCCACTGCCAGGTCAGAACAATGGAAATGGGGTCAATGCTTACATGAGTTGGCAGGTAGATGTCATAAACTGTTCCAGAATCAACATCGATTGCATGGAAACCAGAAACAGATCCATAGATCACTTTCAGCCTCTGACCCTCTTCAACAGTCAGGTCCACTGACAGTGGTTTATTTGATAGACATGAAAAAGACTGCAAGAAAAAAAAGAATAGGATGAGTAAGCACCACGGTAATATCTTGAGATTCTAAGAACCAATAACATCTAAAAGATTGTAGCACATTTTGGCATCTGAGAATTGTGAGGGGATTATTTAAAAGGCCTCAAACTTTCTCTGAGAAATAAGGCAGTTTCATTCTTAATTGTTTCCTCCACCCGAACAACCAAAATAATCTTCTCTTCTTTTATGGGTCACTCCAGGCCGTAGGGAGACCAACAATCCGAGCTGGCCCACATCCTCCGCTCCTCTGTCATGGCTGAGAGGAAGGATGCAAAGATGGTCGATTGGGGTTGACTCAGTTTCTGGCATTTCCTTTCTCCTCATCTTGGAGCACTTCATGTCTATTCAGAGCCTCCCTCAAACGATTGACAGAATATTGCTGGGAGTGAATCCACAGACTACCACTGTATAATACAGAGCTTTGGTATAGCATTAATAATAGTAATTATAATAATCCTTGCATTTGATATCGTGCTTTTCATATCTTCTAGACGTTTCAAAGAGCTTCCCTGTAAAGGGAATTGACTGTATATTTGTGGGCGAAACGCGGCAGCCAATTGCACATAGCAGTGTCCCACAAACAGTCGTGGATTGAAAATGCCAAATTTATTATTGTTTTTGTTTTTTTGGAGGGATTATTATTAGATGTGTGGAGTAAGGAAACTTGCCCAAGGTTTCGCCATTGCGCACCTCGTCCAATTTGAATCCTGGAGATTAGAATGACACTCCAGTGCAGTACTGAGAAGCTCTGCTCTCTGAAAGGAACCGCCCTTTAGATGAGACATTAAACCGAAGAGATGATTTGTGTAGTTTAGATGGATGTTAAAGATCCCAAGGCATTATCTCGAAAAAGTGTTCTCCCATGCTTTCCTCCCTCTCCAAACACACCAATAATAATATCCTTGCATTTGATATAGCGCTTTTCAAATACAGATCATATTTGCTCATTCTTCTCTTTGCCTATTGTGGATGTTACTGATGCAGATCAGTTGTAGTATTTATGTATAGGTCTGACACTTCTGACTCAGCGTGAAGCACTTTAAGATGTTTTTTGATACAATAAGGCATTATGCTGAATACAGGCACAGTGTCAATAAAAAACAACTCTGAACAGAAAATTTGGGTCCCGTACAGCATAAAAGCCATACGTACAAGCAAAGCAAATAATTCTCAAACCACGTGAGAATTCCTTCTTGACCCATTTTGCTTTTCAATGACTTTTGGAGCAAGTTTTAAAGCAAAAAGTAGAAATTGCTAAACAAATATCCAAAAGGCATGCTTGGTTCTAAATGATTCAAACAGATGCATTAATATTTCAATGGTAACGCCTTTAAATGCGTATGCCCTGCAGTTTGCTCCAACAATTTCATCATCCGGTGAACCATTCTTGATTCATCTAAGCTCGGCCCTCTGGTGAATTATTTCTCAGTGAAGAAGGCTGACAAGTAAACCTCCAAACGGTGACTACTAAGCTGCAGCCCTTAGTTTTAGGATACTTTTCACTCTGTGTTGAGATTAATGATACAGGCATATTAGGCAGAGCTGTACCCGTTTCTCAAAACAAATAATTTATGGGTGTAAGTTACTTCTAAACTTAAGATGTGAACCACTTGCTCATCTCAGAAACAGCCGAGGTTCTGAGGGTTTTCAGCGTCCTTGTGTTCTGGTCCCTGATCATTTGGAAATATCCTTTCCACTCATGAGATGAAGATGTTACAAGACTTTTTGCAAAGTAATAATAATAATCCTAATAATCCTTGCATTTGATATATAATCCTTTTACAATTCTTTACAAAGTCAATCCACAGTGTCAAGTGAGGGTGTGCTGCATATGTACAAACTGCTGAACAAATGCCTTGCAATCCAGACAGAGCTTTCAATTATACATCTTCCTAACACCACGTTAGGTTCCCAATGCACATCTACCCGCAAGAATGGTATCTAAAAGGAAATGGAAATAAAACATTTCCATTTAAAGAACAGTAATAAAAAGTATAAAATACTAATACTTCTATTGTGTTCAATTGCAAGCAATGACTTGGTAAACAGAACTCTCTGCTTCTCGTGTGCATGTTCCTATTGATTTAATTTGTACCATTTTAAATTTACTTTGCTATAACATGACTATTGTTTTAAAGAGTTCAAGGTGACTTCTTTGTCTTCATGGTCTGCTCCACTTTTTTGGACAGCATGCATCAGTGTTAACCTAAAAAAGCAGGCAATTAATAGACCTTGAAAATGGAACGCTTCAAAGCTGTTATTTTCCACCATCCCTGGGAACTAAAACTGTAACACAGAGGGACAGAGAGGCACTGAGTGCTGAAGAAATAGGTCACAAACACACGTCAGGCCAAAGAAATATGCAAAGATGGAATGGACATCATAATGATGATCGCCTACAAAATACACAGTCACTACACGTTCACAGTAAAATCCTGTGAACAGCTTTGAGACATCTCGTTGATGTCATAAGGTACAATACCAAAATGCAAGGATTACTATTACATTATTACAACCATAACAATCCTGTGTTTCTATATTATTGCCTATATCGGTATAACGTCTCAAAGCTTTTCATAGGTAATTGTTGTAAAATATAAGTGAATGTTTACCTGCAGGGAAGTGGGGCAGACAAATTGTGAACACAATGCCACATAAATCAATTTAATAATCATTGGCCAGGACACACAGTGTCCTAGTGAAGCGTTGTTAACTTTCAGCCGACTAGTCTTTCAATCCTCTGAAAAGGTAAACGTTCAATTCCTCACAGTTGACTTGCGTGCGATTCGCCCACTGATGATCTTACCTTAAATGCCATAAACTTGTGGTACGGCTTTGGCGCCCAAGCATAGACTTCGACAGAGGACTTCAGAGCAGTCACTAAGAATTTTATTCTCTCATACTTGACTGTTGAAGAACAACAAAAGATCAAGTTACTGCAGCATTTCTACGTAGAACTTCAATATTTATCTGATATCAAAACGCCACGTGGAATTCAATCAACCGGCAGGACAATTTTTTTTACAACACACCCTGGCTGAGCGCAGACTCACTTAGAGTCTGGGTTTTCTGTGGATCGGCAGAAAACAAACCAACAATTTGCTTTGCGGCATTTTATCCAACTTTTCAGGCCTTTTCCATGGCTGATCAATGGCCCAAAGCAAAGCCCACAATCGTATACCTGATCATAATCAATGGAAAGAGATTCTGGGTTGCAAATATCGCATTTTAGACACCCCATTACCCATGTGGGTGAACAGGGTGAAGCAAGCTGAAACCTGCTTCAAGAATAGGCAAGACACCAATGCTAAAGCTATGTTACACAGAGCAAGTAGAACTTACCAACTTTGTAGTGAACACAACCTTCAAGTTCTCCGACTGAAACCCATCCTTGCTTTTTCTCTACTTCGGGGTCGTTGTGCAAGACCTTGTTTCTAAGCCATGACAAATAGTAAACTCTCAACTTATTCTTCTTTCCTGTGGGACAGCACAGTAGGATCATTAATACTGGCATGCTGAGACTTCTATACAGCTAGAGCTTTCACCTTGCATTACATGCTGCTTACATGGAGACTGCAAAACGGTCACACTTAATACAGAGAGTAATAAGATGACACTGAGCAGCTGCCAGTTGAGTTCATTACTGAAACACTTGCCTGAATCATTTGGTTTATTCACGCGGAGATCAATATAGGATGGTGTTCAGTTGGTTAATGTGAGCTCTTTACTAACTTATCTCATGTACATGTCCTGCAGTTTATAATAAATAGCGATCCTTGCATTCGATCTCAGAAGGATATGTCAAAGTATTTCACTGGATCGATTGCAAAGTGTTATTAGTAGATTGTTGTTAATGAACACGGCAGCCAATTTTAGCACAGCCATGTCCCACAAGCAGCTATGAAGTGAATGATCAATCGTATCTGAGGGATTGTTGGTCAAGATACCGGGAGAAACTCTCTTTAGTTTATCACTATTTACTTGCAAATTGGCATCTGATCTCTTAATGAGAACACAATAGCAAAGAGAAGCCCAGTTGTCTAAAATCAGATACAAAGCTTCAAATGACAACAATCAATCCAGCCAAATAAGTCCCACCATTTGTCAGGAATGCCTTTAGGTTTACCTACTTTGTGTTGGTTAATTCCATTGCTCACTTTTAATTCTAATACTAGGTGCTGTTATCAAATTTTCCAGAAATCATCACTAGATGAAATGAATGCCCCCTCCTCCCCACCTTCTCTGTGCAACCACACAGTAAGCCTCGTGATTTAGATGCTACTCTAGGAACATTAGCAGAGAGACTGATAGATTAGTCACTCACTGGCATATTCATGCAAAGCAGAGCCACTGTATCAAAGTGAAGTAGCTAACAATCACAGTGTTGAGATCCAAGGAAAGGAACACTTTGAGATGTGTGGTTTAAGCGCTCTGAGATGCTACCTGGCGTGGAAGGTGCTACATAAGTGCAAGTTGTTGTATTGGTGGTGGATAGAATTGGAAATTGCCATCAACATTATCAAAGTAATAAATATAATGCTATTGTTAATAATCAGCAAAAGATGACCTTAATATTGGCAATGCTTTACGCAGAGCAAAAAGGCATAGACTACTCATGGATTCATGGAACAAAGCATCCATTAGCACTGCTTCAGAATGAATCCTAAAAATAGCCTTGTCTTGGACTATTGGTGCAAAAAACAAGGAAGTCCCACTTCTCTCCTGAAGGTGATGATTCTTTCTGAAGGATGGTTTCATCGTACCATTTTAACCTGCACGTACAGTGAATGCAATGCTGTTGCTGTGGGTTTACAGCACCACCAACTGGTCAGAATGTAACAACAGCAGATGTGTTGAAAACCACACTAGGTTTTGCCATAATGTCTGGACATAAACTCTGCCAGAACAATTATAAGAGTTATATTTCCTGCCTTGCCGCACGTTTCAAATATTTTCCAACCTGATATGGTGATCAGTACATTCAGTCCCTCCAGCACATCCATTTGTTGGAAACGTCTTCGACTGATCAGGGAATACACTTTGCCTTGTCCACTCCTGTCCAGTAACCACAGCCCATTCTCTGTACCCACCAGCAGATTGACACCTGGAGGTATGAAATGAATCAATGGTAATGGCTGAAGATGACACCATATTTTCCTATACATTTGAAAGAGTAATAATTGTGCAAGCTTGCGCAGGGACAGAATAATCAGATTCAATCTACGTAATTGTTGATCCTTCCATTCTAGGTGCTTAAGAACAACGCGTTTGTCACAGGTTACCATACGATTGTGATATCAAGACGGGAATTAGACAGGTACTTGTCTAGACAGGAGTGGGACTAATTGGGTAGCTCTTCCAAAGAGCCGGAACAGGCACGATGGGCCGAATGGCCTCCTTCTGTGCTGTAATATTCTATGATTCTATGATTGGTTTGGATGAAGAAGGCCCTTCTGCCCAACTGATCTCATTCTTCCAGTACACCCACCCTATCATTCCCAGCCACCACCCTATCACAGCGTCAAGCTGCTGTTTAAACGTCAGTTGCCTGAAGCAGTCATAACACATACACACAAATATGCCTGGTCTGTTGCTTAATTAACTTTGGCATTCGGGATGTTCAATTGGTATTAAAATAGCATTCGTCAGACAAAAGTGATTTGCCTCCACAGTGTACATTTGCAGTGACATAGAATTGGCCAGCTTGTGGAGGCACTGAGCAGGCCTGGAAGTACTGAGAATGTTGCATTGTGCTCACATCTTATAGAAAATCTTGCACAAAGTAACTGAGATACACATGTTTAAGAATTGTGTCCTCCTTGATACAACGTATGCTGTCTGGTTGGGTACGGGTTTAAGATATTGTAATACTACTGAATGTAAATGGTGATGTAGCTTTGTCTTTGCGAAGTACTGAGAAGCATTATCATGGATGTTTTGATTAAAGCTCAACAGACATGAAGGCAATTATGCATGACTACACAGCCATAGACTGTGGAATTCTCTTAGTCATTGGCACTTATTTTTTCCCCTTGGACTATTGCCTTATAAGTGGTACATTTACACCACACTTAGCTTTATTGCTGGCAGCAGTCCTCAGCTCAGTGGGAAAGTAAATGAGACAGTGCTGTGTTATTGGATTTGCACCAGAAGAGACAGTGCTCGTCAGTGTCTTTACTGGCAGTGATGTCTCTGTCTGTAACATGATGCATTTGCTGCAGAGGCTGAGATGATCAAATATTTGGGGGTGGGGTTGGGTTCAAGTACTCAGGCCCATCGTACAGGCCAGCGAAGGACAATTTTCTCTGACTCCTCTAGCCAACACCCACGTAGACAACATTGGGAGCAATTGTGGACGTTCGGTAAATTGGAGAAGGAGATTAACGTGTGCTTGCTGCTGAAGATCAGTTAATTTAGACAAGGGAGAACAATCCCCCCCTCTCTCTCCCACGTGAACTTGAAACACCTATGTGGGCCAATTTCTACAGATTGGAGAACCCCATCCTGCAAGATCAATGCAGAATCCAAGTGAGTTATTTTATACGTGAGGGCTAGTGACCACAAACTTTTGACCATGTCCCTGTGAAGGGGTGTGAATGTTACATCGGCTCTCGTCCCATCAAAATTTCTTGCACAATAAAAATTCTGTTGACGTTTCACCATCATGTACGGAAACAACATGAGAATCCCACTTGACCGAGGCAGTGCTTACACTACGGAAAAGAGAGGGAAACATTCACCCATTCATTACGGAGAGAATACAACTGGAACACCAGCGGATATCAGTGCACACAATGGCATTCATAATGTGGGAAATAATCTGCCCACAGGTACGAAAAACCCGAAGAACGTTTTCCTTACCCCATAGAGCTGCACAAAGTATCTCGGAATTGAATTTCTTCTTGTACTTGCGGATTTCTGGAGTATCGCTTTGCGGTCGTATATTTGTTGGATTGACATTTACGACGGATCCTTTTCTTGCGCTCTCTCTCCTAAAAGGCTCGGATTTACTGCCCGCTGAACGTGGAGAAATGAATAAAAAGAAAACGTTACAGCAAAAGATTGCTTCGATGACAATCAAACCTCTCACAACCCCCCCACCCCCAAGGGGATTCGACCGTTCATTTCTAAGTTACTTACGAGAACTAGATCCCGCGGAAGGACTTGAAGGGGAGATTTGCAGGAGCCTGGGATCGATGAATGGTGTGAAAGAAGAAGAGGAAGATGAGGAACTGGATTTAAGATGTGGGTTTTCAGCTGAGATGCTCTGAAAACAAGAGCAAGTGACATTTGAAAGGAATGTTCTTGCAAAATGAACAAGGACAATTCTATTTGTACTCTGATACTCCACACATCCACGGTCACACAGAATCAATACACTTGTAATGTCACTGGGCAGTTGTAAGCTCAGCCAGAATCAGAAGGCAGCTTGCTCTGAATATCCCTTTGATTGATTCTGACTGACAGTGGTAAATGTCCCCAAATAATAATAATAATATCAATAATAATCCTTGCATTTGATATAGCGAGTTATCACACCATTGAGACGTCACAGAATGTACAGCAAAGTGAATTGACTGTGTATTTTGTGAGCGAATCTCAAGAAAGTAATTTTCTTTTTACAACCTTTTTTTTAAGGCAAGGGAGGTGGGACGCGGGTTGTCATGCACTGGATTGCCCCGGTGATCCGTAAGCATGTTGTGGAGTAATAAAAGCAAAGGGAGTGTTATGAAAAGAGCAACGCTATTGTTAATACAAAACAGGTAGCATTGTTGGACATGAGTGACAATCAGAGAATAAAAGCTGCTGTAATAACTTCCCTGCAACTGGCCAGTGGAACTTTCACTATCTATCACACCGGAACATCTGACCTTCGGTTTCTCTCTTAAACCTGGTGCTGACAGGTAAACATTACACAGATAGTAATTCTCAGATCTCTGAGGCCTTTCCACACAAAGCTGGTACACAATGGTTGGGGAAGGGGGCTTGTTATTCTGCAGTGTTGCAAACGCAAGAAACCACTTGCTGAGCGTTGTAAGTATATCTTGCTTTCGTAAAAAAACATGCCTGGTTAGTAGTTGTAGTCTCGTTGTGTGGTGACTCAGGGGTCTGCCCAGATCCCTGCTGATTGACTGAAGGGTTAGCAGCATGGCTCTGCTGAATGAGGTCTGGCAGGAGATGGATGCAACTGGTGACACCAGCATTTCCTTGCTGTCTGCTACAATTTGGCCCTGCTATGTTCTGTTCGGAAACAATACATATCGTTAGGCCGAAATATCAGTGCCGGTTGACTTCCAAATCTATTCCGTTAGTTAACCACCAAGCGAGAAGCAGAGTTATGGCTGGCAATATGGAGGAATGATGGGGAACAAGCTATATCTTTTCCAAAAAAGAGCAAATTTTATTTGCAAAAAGCACCAATGGAATAACCATGCGTACTCCAGCTTTAGTTTAGCATCAAACATAAACCAAGAGAAAACCTTTCCTTTGAAATAGCAACAGCAGACAAGTCCCTTTATGTCCACTTGAATCGCAAGGCTAAATTAATATAAAGCATAAACACTTAAATAAGAGTGAACATAATTCTAAACAGGGCAGAGTTCTCCTAAGTTATTGTAGTATTGTGTTTGAATGGACTTTGGATTTGAAAATGGTCGACTCCATCGCCAGAGCCCCATTAAAACAACCAATTATCAAAAATTCCAAGTAAGATTGATGTCATTATCTTTATTTCTGGTTTGGTTTTATTTTTGCAGCCGAGTGATGGAAGCGAGGAGGCGTTGGGTGGGGTCTGGCTGGAACTAGTCATTAGTCTGACAGTAACTGGCTGAATTATTAAATGGCTGCAGTCTGTCTTAATAACCTGCGCATATTATTTCAGTTTCCTGACACTGAAGCTCGAGCCTCTGATAATGACACCAATGCTCAATGCTAAAAAAAGAAACATTCAAACAAAATTGACAGAAACGAACAAAAAAAATGTAATCGTAATGCTTTGTATGTGTTGGCAACCAAAGATAATCAAAGATCCACTGATAGCGAGACTCCGATTGTAGTAAAAGGTCAAAACTATTCAGCCTGAGGATGTGTTGCTGTGGCAACATGTTCGGTAACTGGATGAACGAAATGGTTTCACATTTAAAACATTTGACTGGGGAAGGAAGGGAATTGCAGGGGAGGGGAAAGCAAGGGAGGGCATGGGGATAAAGAATCTGGGTGGTACAATGGATTACCACACATTCTTTTTATCTCTGGCGTCTAGATATGAATCCACCACACACAAAGGAAGATGGCAGTTTCCTATGTGCCAGCACTTAAGGATCCTTACTGGAATGAGCTTTGGTCTGAGACCACAATAATAATCCTTGCATTGATAGAGCGCCTTATCAGGTCTTCTAGACGTCTCAAAGGCCTTCACGGAATATGCTGTAAAGTGAATTGACTGTGTGTTTTGTGGGCGAAACCATCACCACAATACAGCCACAGTGTGGCACCCTTGCTCACGGCACACAAGCAAGACTGGTGTGGGAAAAGGAAAAAAACATGCACAAGCCCAGTAAAGGCATTCTTCCCAGTATGATTGATATTAGGGAAAGCTGCTGAAGCAAGAAGGACCTTTTCACTATAATCAACAATGTAGGAATACTTTGACAAGATTTCACATCTGTTTTTTTTTAGAAACTTGTGATTCCCTCGTGGGTCACTATGTGGTCAAGGTAGGTACACGCTAGTGAGCGCAAAGACATTAGACGCTGCCGTCTGACTGAGCTAATCTGCTCAGCGAGGCTCACTGCTGCCTTCAATAGTTCTGTGAGGAACAGGTGAAAAACAACTCTTTAGTTGGGTTTTGGATCACGTAGAAACAACAGGCGTTCCTTCTCAAAAATGATAAACTGTGTACGAAAGAGAGAGAGGGAGAGAGAGAAAGAAAGAGGTATAATACTTATAATAATATAAGTATAGTATAATAAGTATTTTAATAATATAATACAGCAGAAAGCCGATACGAGCTGACTGTTACTTTGTGTCTGGGTATGGAAACCATTGCGCTTCTTTCACTTACAATGCCATCTAGTGACACTGGCCATATTACAGTTACAATTTATCTGATGTTGTTTCACGAGTTCACAAGATCGGTTCGGATGAATGAAGGCCTTTTGACCTCATCCCTCCAGAATCCCACTCTATCGTCTTCCCCTCACAGCATCAAGCTGTTTTCTTTTTTATTTCAAAAACAAATCCAGTGTCCCAGCCTCAACTACCCTTCTTGGCAACTTGTTCCAGTTGTTAACTACTCTCTGGGTAAAGAAATAAAGAAATCACAAGAGATGTTTGAATGAACCCGTGACCAAAATTTCCTCTCGTTTTTTTTCTTTACTCGACACAGCAAGATAAGTTAATACCTTTTGTTCGTTAAAAGTGCTGTGCGGCTGAAGTTCGATGCCATCAGGAACAATGGTGCCGTCACAGTCTGTCTCTCCACTGCTCAGCTTGGCTGGCTGCCTGTTGGGGAAGGAAGAAAGAAAAAGCAAAGTACAGTACTGTGAAAATAAACTGGAGGAAGTCGGTGTTTCCCTTGGTGAAACACTGATAAAGAGTTAGGGAATACAATGGTTCGAGCTCTTTGTTAAGATTTGTTTATGTTGTAGTGCACAAGATGCAATGAATGGAATTCAGAACGGAGCGGCCTGTGACCTCTCTTGAGTGAGAGTGCTGAATTGTTGCTTCCTTTAGAACAGTCCTGGGTTGAGCTGCCTTCTCTTTACCAGGAGGAATGTAGAACCCCTGCAATCACAGACCCTCAGAAGCTTATTGCTAACTACCGAAGATCCCACCAGGTGGTGTTTATAATAATGCTTGCGTTTGATATCGCACCTTATCATTTCATCAAGGCGTCGCAAAGCCATGGGACATACTGTAACGAGGTATGACTGTGTGTATTTTATATCTTCTACCTTTTGGGCAACTGCCTTTATTAGGGTCCTCTATATCTTGCAACATTTTGCATTGCATCTCCGGCCAGGAAGGGGTGGTGGGAGTGGGGAAACCTTGTTTGATTACCCTCTCCCCAAATCAGGGCAGCTCAGGCCAATTGTACAATCGCAATGAGGCCCCCGCTCAGATCGTCGAACTGCAGCTATGCAGTCTGCATGTCTGAGGCCAGAAAATCCACCTGGTCTTAGCGTGTAAGGCCATTTTACCTTAAAATATAAGATTGTGCAGAACAGCGGCATACGCTTCAATTCATTCCTAATTTTTAAAGCCAATTTTCTCCTCAAAAAAGCCCTTGGAAAAAAAGACTTCAAAATCAAGAGCTAACTTTAGAATTGTTCAAAATTGTTCAAGCTCTGTAATGCTGTTGGAAAGGTTTAAGTCTTAATCAAGGGAGAATTTGTCCCTGCTGCTTTTACGCACTAGGTATTCAGCGAGGCTCCAATATTTTTTTATTCCTTTTTTTATGCTGTATATTATATCAAAGCTGAGGGCAAAATGTCATGTTTTGCTTCAGTAATTTTGACATCAGCAGTTTGCTATCTTAACATTTCCCGCTGCTGCTGTGGCTGCAAAAGGTAAATTAGAAGTGAAATTTGTATACTAGTGTATAAGAAGCTCACGCTTAAAGGATTTGTTTTAAGTTTTAATACTAAAGAGTCCAGCGCACCATTAGTGACTCCTCAGGGACTCAATAAATCTCTGGGCTGAGGGGATTTTATAAAATATTTATGAAAACCACAAATATAACCTATCATAAAAATATTAGATCCATGTCATTACCCTTACAAGAGGAAAACAAATTCTGATGTAAAAATCGAGACAAATGGGAACTTTAATGTTTTACTGTTAAAAGGTCACTAAAGCTCTTGCTAATGGGCATAAACTATGGAATCCACTGTAGATGACAGCGGTAAAAAAAAAACAAGTGACATCTTTCACCAGCATAGCAACATGAGCCAATTTGGCTGTGCGTACCAGTGTACGTAGCACTGAGCTCCTGGGGAATTATATTAAATAATCCTTGCATTTAGTATTAGGGATCCATTACTGTGAGCACAAACTGGAGTCTTGAATTTATAACCCTATGTGACTCAAAGGCAAGAATGCTTCCAACTGAGCCAAGCACCATTTGTGCAAGAGTCTCTGTAGAGTTGCTCACTTGGGCACTGTGGATTTACACACTGTTGCGTTAAACAGTGCACAGAAGGAGAAACATATTGAGGTAAGAGAATGCTCGATTTGAATAGCACATGGAGAAAGGAGACTGCTGGATGGAACAGCAAACAGATAGGGAAGACAGCATGAAGGAGTTCTGTATGTGTGTGGTGGGGGAAAGAGAAACATCAGGGAAAAATTCAAGGAATGAAAAGGAGAAAATAAATAGAAATAGTAATAACGAGGTTCCTGGAAGGGCCGACAATGCAGTACATTGTCCAAAAAAAACTGGAAATTGACTGCATGAAAGGGAATTATTAGTGCAGAAAAATACGTGACAAAAATCATTCAACGTTCATCCCTTCTGAAGGGTGAATAACTCAAGAGCTGTACATTTTGTACATTGTGACAGTGACAGATGCCAGAAGCTTGTTAACAGTAAAGGAGTAGAGAGCGGGGAGAAAGTTGCTGTAGTTTCATTATATAAGTTTAGCTTAGTTACTGGGCTGACCTGGCTTGTAGAGGCTCCGCGACATCAGAGCTCGAGTCATCGTCTTCATCCGTACTCCCAACTTCGTCACTGGAGGAAGAGTACTCTGTCGACTTGACAAAAGGACTGTTGCTAACTTTTCCTTTGGTTGACGTAGCCACATTCTGAATAAGTGGAACGAAAAGCACCATCAGCAACAACAACATGCAATTATACAGCACTCTTCGCATGGGTAGCATCCCATAGCCTTACACTTTAGCCTTCAGCTGGGGGGGCATCTTATTAACCCTATATGCCCTTGAAACAAATACTTCCTGGTGTCCATATCAAGACTGGGAATATTTATTCTGCTCATCCTGCAATCAACAATTGGCTGAATGTGACGCAGAGAACCCTGCTGGTCAAGATGTGAGAGCTTCTGTCTCGACTAATTCAGAAAAGGAATTGGGGTGGACTATTCTTATCTGACTCTTGGATACAGCTGCCACGTTGATACATATTTGAGCTGCATAAAGACTCAGAATATCTAAAAATCAAGAATATAATAATAAATCCTTGCATTTGATACAGCTTCACAGGATATACTGTAAAGTGAATTGACTATATTTTGTGGGCCAATTGCGCCCAGCAGTGTCCCACAAACAGTCGTGGATTGAGTGGCCAATTTATTATTTGTTCTTTTTNGAAGGAATGATACGATTATCTCACAAATAATACTCTGCATTAAACGGTTTGCGTGGGTTGAGATTAAACACAAATGCACGCAAGAGTTAAAAGTGCTCTACAAAGCGACTTACAGTGTGACTCCGAGGTGAATGCACATTCCTTTTCTCTTCAAAGGCCTTTGAGCTGAGTTGCTTGTGATTTTGGATGGGTGCACTGGAAAAAGGAGCTGCAAGGGAAAAACAGATGAGCTTCCGTCCGTGCGAGCTTTCACCTCTCAAGACAGCAGGGGGAAGAGGCGAAATCCATTCCTTTCAACGGAAAGATCAAAGCCGACTTAAACAATACCGTGTTAACGTGGTGCGAACACATGCTTTGGTCCAGTTGATTTTATATGAAGTGGATGTTCATACATCTGACCATGATTAAATGTGTCTGAATATTTAATGATACACAAAGTCAATAGCTGCCACACTCAAACAAAGTAGGCTGAAAGTAGAAAGGCACGTGTGGGCTGAAATCGCAGTCGACGTTAATGGGTAAATGTGTTGACAATGTCGGGCACTCACAGTATTTTCTCTACAGTCATTACAGCATCCTCATAGTCGCTACATGTGATGACATTTCTGCCCTTAGAAAATTTGAAGGTATTAAAAGTTTCACAAGGGCAACATCAGCGAAATGAGATCACGATAGGTAACTCCAGTGTGAATCTCTCACGCCGCCAAGGAACAGTGAGCCGCATGATATTCGGTATTGAGATGTCCCTAATTTGCAAAGATGCAATTTATGAAAGGTAGATTGATGGAAGTAGCAGTTTTAAAGGATAATAAGGACTGACTGATACTGTGGAAAGAAGGGGCGACCTCATTTCCTGTTGTATGGCTACTTGTGACCTGGAAATGATTCATATTTCCTGCTCTGGATCGTTCTCGTCAGAGGTTAAGTGAGCTGTTTTGTCCATGTGCAATCAATTGCCTGGGCAGAGCTCTGGCAGCAAACTCCAGATGCCAGGTAATTGTGTGCCTTATAAAGAACCAGCTGTGTCACCGGCAGTTCAGTAACATTAATAATAGTTATTGCAAAGTTCCTGTCCAGGCAGCTTTTATGTGGCCAGAATTTAAGGGAAAATGAATCAGTTTAGACTGCTTACAATTTTGTTGGGCGAGAGTTTAACTCTTTAGCTATCTTTAAATCCCACCTTAAGAGGTGGCTCCTTCGACCGCATCATTGGTTACCGCCCCCTCCCTTTCCCCCTCGCTCAACGTCCATCTCCGCCACTGAGCAGCGCTCCGAGACGCTATCCTGCGTGAAGGACACTATGCAAATGCAAGTTGCTGTTTTCGTCATTGAGTGAATCCATGTCTTGGAAGCATAACCTGAGCCTCCCTAGATGGCACAAGAGGTAGGATTGGTGGGTCACTGATTTTTAGAAGCCACTGGAGTGTAAAGAAAGACCAGAGAGCAAATACATGGCCATGATATCTTTTGGCTTCGCTATTGCCACTTTCCTCCTCTTTCCCCCTTTTCAGAATTAAGACCCACAGTGGTTTTTCACCGACATGTCCTGAGCTAAACCCCTGAATCAGCTGTCAGCTCTATACAAACTCCCGTCTCTGTGGGTTGACTGTTTCTGTGCATTTGCCTCTTGTGTCCTCTGGCACTGAAATTGCAACTATAAAACTATTCAATTGTTAAAGTGGCATGAAACACTGGACCATCACGCCCACACCACTGAAATAATTCCCCAATTTAAATAGAAATAAAATCAATTTGAAGTGTTGTCTATATTTTATGTACCCCTTTTCTTGTTTTTTTTCCTCTGTCCTTTGCGTAAACATAAGGTTTTTCTGGTATGAGTTTTTTTTAAGCAGAACCCTGCCCACCCTGCTTACCTAAAGCCCGAAAAGTATTTAGGCACAGGTTGGCAACAGCTGGGTGTCTGACACATGCAGAAACCCATCACCATGCTTAAGAGTATCCAAACTCAAGGGAGTTCCATGTATCTATTTGCCCCCAAGTGATCAGTACGCTCCTTTGAAGTCCCGTCGATGAGCCAGACCGGCTAGTCTGTCATCAGCTATGCATTGGGAGTGTTTTAATTTTCTCACAGGTTATGACTGAGTTATTGTGTTTGATGAAAGTAATCTTGAGAATTTGTTAGATCGAAAGTAAACATGTTCTTTGGATGCATGACCACAATCCCCAAGGCAGTAATTAACAATCCCAGCCTGAGAGTGCAATTTTTTTTTCTGTTTCCCGAGCACCACAAACCTCTCCCATCCTTGGCTTCAAACTACATGACAACTGAAATGTCTGATTGATTTCTTCTCAAAAGAAATGGGCAGCCATAGTCCCCGGGGCTCACCTGATGCAGTCTGAGGAGAACTTTGCCCAGAAGTGGGTGAGCTGTTGCGGGGGGAATTGCCTTTCACTTGTTTGCCGACAGGACTCTCCACCCTCTCCCATAGGGGCTGCAGCTCAAAACTACAGAGAGAGAGATAAGAAAACACACAAATGGTTTAGAGTCAGTAAATCACAACCAGAGAAACTTCAAACGTGGTCAGGGAGGCTTCGATATAAAAAGGGAGCTATTTTGTCCAGTTGTAAACTCACTTGGAAAAAAGCACACAGGCTTTTTATTGTTGAGAACTATAATCATGAAATATTTGAGCTCAGTCTGATTCATGGAGGAAACGGATCTGCTCACCAATGTTCTCTACAATATAATCATTTATTTACTGGGAAGTGGAGTGACTCTGTGTTTTGCATGTGAGTACAGCAGCCCGTTTGCATGCAGCAATGTTCCACAAACGGCCACGGAGTGAATGACTATTTTTATTTTGGCGGGTGGGATTGGTAACCAGGGCAATGGGAGAAACTCCTTTCTCTTTTCGAGTAGTGCCATGGGATCCTTAATATCTACCCGGACAGTCACCTCAGTTTGATGTCTCATCCGAAGGATGGCAGCAATGACAATGCAGCACATCCCCAGCACTGGAATGGAATAATCAACCCTGTATTCACGGCTGTTAACGTCAGAGTTACAAAGGAGTTTAAACTTGATCCAAAATGGTCCTTGCCGGAGGAGAATTCTTTATTACAATCTGTGATGAACAAAGGAGAAGAGAGCAGCAAAGGCCTGTGTTATTTCAGAGTGTATTGTAGGGAGACCATGTGCCACAAGGCACATAGCTTCTTCCTGTCTGAGGAAAGTCTTGTGATACTTCATGTGCTGAGTCGTTTGCAAGACGATGTCCCGTGTGTGGTGTGTCGGGACGAGGCGGAAGTGGAGAAACACATGAGCGCAGCTGTGTTCCCGACCACAACAGAACGAAATGGGGGTCGTTATGTAACAGCCTGGATGTGTCATATCAAATTGGACCATTGTAAAATATTGTAGTTTTCACTCCAGTGAAGAAGCAGAGGAGAGAGGAGAGAGAAAAATGATAAAAGGCAATGGGATAGATGAAGGGGTAATTTTTTTGCGATGTTGTCATGTGTTCGCTAAGATCCAAGTACTAGTTTACACTAATGGTCCATTTAGCCACCTTATGGGATATTTAACACGTTGAATGGTGCCTGGCTGAGCACGGATCTGCCTATAAAGCAGTTCTCACATACATCTGGGTACCAATCGATGTGTTGAAGTGGTAAGGGAGGCTTTGTATAGCTGTGGGTTTGTATTCTGTGTTAAGCACCGGAGCGATAAAAATATCGAAGGAACAGGGAAAAAATTGGAAAATGGAAATGATCATAAAGAGGCAACTTAGAAAACTAGCAATTCTGTGCACACATCAATGTTCTCACCAATCCTAGCATGCAGGCTGCTGTAACTATCACATCAAATCTGTTCCGAAACATCGGGTTTTCACCCAACTTATTATTAAAATGCCCACAAACAAAAAAACAAGGAAACATTTAAAACCAGCACTGTACACTAGATGTCACCCTCGCTATTCAAAGGCGAGGATTCAATATCAACGGCAGAAAAAAGGCTGTCCTCGGTTTATAGCATGTCCCTCAACAAAGTAATCATCTGTATGTTAACAAGCCCTCACTGAGCCGGTAATGACACCGCCATAGGCACCATCCCTGTTGTGCGTTGTCTCAAAATGTTCTGTTAAACCTACGGCGTATGATTGAACAGACTCGACAATGAAACTGGGGACAAAGTTGCTGAAAACAACGAGGTGATAGTTGAGCGGTTTAATCAGCCTGAAATCCCCTTGCACCAGATTGAAGCTCGCAGCTTACTCACACAGTGTAGCTGTTAATAGGTGGTTGATGAGAAAATTACGAGGTAGCAGGCCAGGCTAAAAAAAAATCACTAACAGTGCAGCCTTTTATACTGAGGACACAGCGACGGAAAAAAACGTCGCCTGTTAACAAAAAGGAGAGGGGGCGGTGGGAGAAAGTGTTATCAAGCCTATTTTTATAAATATACATTTTAAGAAAATCACCTTAATACAATGAGCACGGAAACCATGTGTCATATGATGAGAGGCCTTTTTTAATCAATTTAAAATTTTTTAATAAATCAAGATTGGGCAACAAAATATAAGCATTCAGAACATCCTTCTGACGTGAAAGATGCTTTATCAAATGCAATGATTATTATTATTATTATTATTGAACTGATCGCTTTACCAATTTATACTTCAAGAGCACTTTACTCCGAATTTCATTAACAACGCGCGGAACTGAACAACTGATAAGTTTTCCTTTCTGGTAAATATGACTGGGAATTTCCTGCGATTATACTAAAACTTCAAAAAAGATTTGCCAAAGATCACCACATTTTACACAACTTCCAAACAAAACAACATTACTGGTGACCATGAGGCTTTGAAATTATTCAGTCAGTCAATCAGTCAGCGGCGAATGTAATAAATCGCTTCCCACCATCAAAGTCTACTTTTTTATTGAACTGTTATTTTCTTATGTCAACTAGAATCACTGCTAAAATGTCAAATCATCATCACTTGTTGCACATCACTTGATTCTGGGAAAATGTTCACTTCCCGTTATGACCAGGCAACGATCTGACAAACTTCAAGCAAGTTGTTTGCAGCCCGCTGCCTTTCTCTTATCACAAGGCATTTGAGACTATCCGTCACCATGTTTTAAAACAGATCTACCAGATCTAACTTGATTTGGAAAGTTATTTGTAACTGCTGTCTTGTGGGCATTTCGCCCGCAAAATATACAGTCAATTCACTGTACAGTGTATTCTGCGAAATACTTTGAAATGTCTCGAAGACATGATAAGGCGCTATATCAAATGCAAGGCTTATTATTATTATTTCTGTGATTCACAAAAGTATGCTATTTTATTTCTGTTCAATTTAAGTCTTATGCAATGTTTATATTCAGCGGAAGGAGCTTCTCTTGGAATCTCTGACTGACAAATCTGCCACATAACAATGGTTGTTCACTTCACTAGCTGTTTGTGGGACACAACTGTGTGCAAACTGGCTGTCATGTTAATCTATAAGATACAAAGTCACTTTACAGTAAATCCCGACGTGAAAAGTATTAAATCAAATGCAAGGATTGCTTATTATTATGCTGTGTTATTTTGTTCATGCCAATTTTTCTCCCCCTCACCTGTTCTCCTCTGTTTAAGATTGTCTAATGGCTCCTTCCTTTTACTGAACAATGGTTGTTATTAACTAACCTGTCTGTTATTGCAGTAGGCACAGAAAATGATGTTTTACACAGTGGACACTAACCTGGAGGTACTTTTCGTTGGAGTTTGGCTGCTTATTTGGTCTTTGCCATGTGATTTAGAAACGGTCCTCTGTGGAACCTTGGGAGCGAAAATAAATATAACGTGCCATTTAATTAAAAAAAACATTTATTACGTCAATGAATAAAATGCACCTTAAAACTACTTCAAGTTCACTGACCAACACTCTGGATAAGCCATGTAATAACGGTAGAGTTTAATTATTATAGAGTCTTTGCTAATAAATGAAATCGATAAACAACTCCCAATTGTCACTACAAAAAGCATGAAATTATTTTTTGCTCAGTTCAAGGCTCAAGGAAAAGTATGGGCCAATTTTCACACTTCATAAACGCTTGTGATTCAGCCAGTTTACAAATAATATGACCATAATGTGGGGGATGCGCTTTAAATGCCTGAGAAGGTCTGGGACACAGCTTTCCATCTGCTCTTGTGTAGAAATAATGGCCAGTCGGATCCTAGGGAACGCTGACAACTGCTCACGGTAATCTACCAGGGAAATACGCCAGGCTCTGATTTACTTAACCCTGTAATTGGATGGGAAAAGACTGAAATAATCTTTGAAGAACTTCTGCATTAGGAACGCAGCTTTGTGTTAACTCTAAACTGGAGCTGTAGCGGGTTCCATTTTAGTCAGTGATCTGGGTTAGCGTATTAGGGAGATATCAAAACTTCAGACATAACAATCATTGTAGCAATGAATTGTCAATGAGGTGAGGTTCAATAAGCCATTGTATATCGGGTGAGATTATCAGCTTGTTGGGCAACTTCATCTGCCTCACCGATTATACGTTCAGTGAAAATCCCTGGACATGCTGAAAGATTCAAAATGCTGATTCCAACTTATCTATATAATGACTTCTCCTGACCCAGTTACTGAACTGAACCAGTGAAGGAATTATCGCAGAATAATTGCAGTTGAACAGAACGCATCTTAATTAACTAGATGGAGATCGCTGAACTGGTAGCACCCAATTGTGGCATTATTCCTTCAATTTAACACTGGGTAAACAAGGGAGTATTGCAAGCCACCTTGTCCCCTGTCATGGGTGCACAATTAGTTAACTTACAAAATGTCTGCTTCATTAGATCTCCATCCATCTCTCAAGGTAGAGATTTATTATGCTGAAGTTGGAACTTTCACGCATTGCATATGGAACCATTCAATAAGCTTGATTTTCTGCACCATCTAACAGATGAAATGAGGGACTTCAACTGAGCATAAAATGAGTTAGTTGCCTTGAACTGCTCTGCATGGATGCAAAAGTAAATAAATTCACACCTGGTTGGAGAATGCTGTTGAATTTCAAATCTCTATAAATTACAAATCAAGGCACTGTGCAATGATGGACTTGTGTATAATATATATGTACTGTACCTTGGGAGGTGGATTGTCATTCTCTAGTGAGTCCCAAAATACTTCATCCTGTCCAGGTGTGATTGGAATGAGGACCATGTCAGATAAGGAAATGGAACTGGGATGAGCAGCTCGATACAGCTTGAGGTTCAAATCCTGTGGAATCAAGACCGATCGTAAGTGGAAGCAAAGATTTTAACCTTTACACCAAATAAACTGATATTACAGCTGTTAGCCTGGCTCAGCTCGTAGCACTCTCAACTCCGACTCAGAAAATGTTGAGTTCAAGCACCACATTGGCGCTTCGAACTCACAAACATTAGGGTGAAACTTCAGGGAAGGTATTTTGCCCCTTTTTACCTGCCTCACTGTTGGAAGTTTTTCCAATTTCCCCTCTTATCCTGAAGGCATTGACTCTTGCTGGTGATTCAGATCCACAGGTAGTAGCACCCTCTAGTACCTCAATCAAGAGATTGCTCGTCAAGGGTGAGCCTTGATAAGCAGTGTCTTGAGGGAGAGGGGGAAGAAATCATTTTCAAGCCGGGTCCAGTCATCAATCAAAGTCAGCAAAGTGAAGGGGTGGGTGGGAGGGGGTGGTCCACCTGTTACTGATCAAAATCCATGGAACCTGAGAGCAAATTGCAGCGTCCCACCTCCTGCCCCCACCCTTTGACACCAACGAACTCGGCATGAGCTGGGATTCGAACCTGCAAGCTTCTGTTGTGAATCCTTTCCGCACTTCACTTTTTATCCACGAGACCACTGAGGGAGGGGGAGTTCGTGACGGACTTCAGATTCAAACCACCAAAATCCGAATGCTCTCAGGGTACTACCCCCAGAGAGAGTACAGACTCCCACAGTTGGTTCTGGACCTTAAGGAAATAACTTAAAGAGGCAGACTGCTGCTATTTTTTTGTGTGAAGTGCTGCATCCTTGTCCTTGAGCTATCTGCATTGACCTCTTCAGCCCCGACCTAAAAACGTAGCTTTCTTACCCAGTCACAGACACTGACAACCGCTGATAGAAACTTTCACTTACATGATTCGGAATGCCGCGGAATGACACGATAGCGCTCCAGAAACAAGTTTCATTAAATTGTCTGCTGAGGGAAACTATCGCATGTAGCCAGCGTGGAAGCCAGAAGGGCCACTGCACAGGCAGATGTTAATCAGATCTGAAATATCCAGATCATTATTTATGCAACTAACAGTGCTGTCTGTACAGCAGAGCTGCCAAAATCATACCCCAGGCACAATGTGTCTTGTAACCACTGCATTTAATATGGGAAATAAGCTTTCCTGACACATGTGGGACAGAGGCATCTCCTTGTGGGCATTCACTTTTATAAGGGTTTAACGTATCACCAACCCGGAGACCTTAGAGAAACTGTCCCTTCTGAAAGGAATCCCGCTCAGAGCTAATTCTTCGTGTATTGTGACTCCACAAAGTAACTGCAATAAAACATTTCCATGTTGCAATCACTGCTCTTACCCATTTGCACAGTTATTGCAACATGCGCTCAGAAGAGCAAAAGCGGGACGAGAGGGCACAGGTTCTGGCTCGTGAAGGGCAGACTGAGGGCAGGCACCGGGAAGGATTTCTTTTACACAAGAGAGATAAAATATGAACAACAGGTGGAAGAATCCGTGGTGGATGCTTCCAAAAATCAACAGAATTGGCTGGCCCATCGTGTCAGGATAAGAAGGGGTGAAGTAGAATAGCATAGTAGATTGGTTCAGGGTTTGACACTCTGATGCATTAAACAGATATGGTGTTAGGCTTCTACACGTAGCAAATTTATGATTAAGCTTTGATGTGCACTTGTTGCTATCTTAGAAGAAGCATGAGTGAGCGAGAGAGAGAGAGAGAGAGACACACAGAGAGAAGGAACTAAATTGGCAATGAATCCTTCTCATGCTTCCTTCCAGCTGCCCGCTCGAGACAGAAGAGAGGAAGCAGCTCACATGCTCGTTCTCTCAGCCAGGAAATATGAGCAGCACAGGGTTGAAAGTGAGGGTTACTGTGAAGAGGTGAAAAATAAAATAACAGTCAGAAGACAACAAATAATTGCATACACACACACACACACACACACGTTAGAACTCTGGGACAGCTGCAAAGGTTATTTAGTCCTCAAAGGATTATTTACATGCTGAAGCCAAACCTGACAGGATTACATTGCCTGGTACCACAAGTTTCCCTTTATATTCTCCCCCTTCTTGTAAAACAAATGGGCAAAAATAACAAGATCCCTTTAGAATCCCAATAACACCCATGCCATCAGTCCCGCCAAAACAATTTACATTACAATTGTTTTTTTTATCGTATACAGAGCTCCCTTTTAACATGGTGTTTTGCAGTCATTCCATTAAAACCCCAGCCATTGTTATAATGGGGCGCAATCGCCTTCACGTTCACTTGCACACGTGCCAGCTCAATCAGGGCTTCAGAACGTCAGCTGGTTGAGTCTGGGAAACCCAAATGGCCGACTTACAGGTTGTCAGGTTGTTGGCATCGTTGCAGGAAGCAACATCAGGGCTGACCTGATCACCCAGTAGCCGGCCATTTTGCTTCCTCGCAGGCTAGCTGATGTTTTGAAACATGGGGGTGGAATAGACAGTAAATGCTGGGGTCCAAACCCCAATTGTGCTAATAAAACAGACCCACGTTATAACAAAGTGCATTTTAACAGGGTTGTACGACTAAAATAGCAGTTCTTGAACTTACGTTGATTTTTTAAGCATATAAACGTATTGTAATGCCAGTACTTGATATGCGTAAAAATTCAATTCAAGTTTGAGAACTGATATTTTAGATGTTTCAGATGAGCCCGCAGGAGGTTGAGATAATGACTATTTGCTTGGAATTACTCCAAATTCAATGACCTTGGCTCAGTTTAGTTGCCTCTACATCAAGGCCGCTCATTCATCTCTATTTGTTCATTTCTCAGTCTTCACCAGGGGACTTCCTCCATCAGAAAAAAGGCCATAATTTCAGTGAGGGCCATTTTACTAATGAGGGTAGTTAACAGAATGCTGATATGGTACCTTATTAGAAGTCTCAGTGGAATAAGATAACCAGCGAAGGTCTGCTTTCATGATAGCATTCTTCTTTCCTTCTTTGAAAATTAACACTTACCAGCCACAAATCAGAATTAGGTGCAAGCCTTTAGCAGGGACTGAAAGAAAAAAACAATCTACTCCAAACTTCTAATGTCATCTAATCTTACGATTGTACAGTTATCCCTAAAGCACAGTTATCCCTAAAGTTATCCTTTTGAGGCATCCTCCTGATGTGACAGGGACTGTTTCATTGTAAACTGTATTGTAAACTGCATTGAATTACCTGTGAGCCGGCAGATCTTTGTAAAGCTGGGCAGTGGCTCGTGCTACCTTCTCTTTTGGGATCAGAATGCGGAGGTATTGGAGGTCCCGGGTCTCTCCTGTTTGGTTTAGAATGTGCTACCACAAGGCTGTCACCACTTTTCTTCCGTTTGTCTTCCACCTAAATGCAAGATGGAAAAACAGACTCATGTATAAATCCTTGAATTTGATGCAATGCTTTAATCACATTGCAGAAATATCTGAAAGCGCATCAGAGGATTCTACTGGAAAGTGTAGTGACTGCGTATTTGTCGTCAAATGCGGAGGCCAATTTGAGCACACCAATGAGCCTTGAAGTGAAAAAACTATTTTATCTGGAGGATTGTTGGCCAGGGGACCAACAATCAGAGACAGAGAAACTGCTTTTCCTTTTTGAATAGTGCCATGGGACCTCGTTTATAAAGTCTCATCCAAAATGTCGTTTCTGACACCTCTGGCCTTCTGGCACTGTTATTAGAGTGTCAGCCGAGTGGAGTATGAGCTCAAAGTGCCAATTATGGGTCTTGAACTCACAACCTTCATACTCGTCTGACACCTTACATTAGGCAAGAATTATGAAGAAAGTAAACTCCACTGCTGCAGTGGAACAGACAACCTCATGTTATTCAAGTTACAAGAATCGCTCTTAAGAAGGCAGGCAAGAACGGCACTATCTAGATTCAATCAGGTATTTGAAATGACAGCGGTGTTATCGCAGTAAGGAAGGCATCGATGATGAAATTGGTGAAGATTTCAAGATTTACCAGCTGCATTTCATCTTTACTTCTCATTGCTCGTGTAATTTGCTGCAAGATTGTTCCCGATACATTCTGGGTTTCGTTGCTTTTGAGTCACGCTTAGTTAGAAAGCATCTTCAGTCATCGCAGTATCCCAAGATTGCTATGGATGAAGAAGGCCCTTCGGCTCATCCAATCTCATCCGTCCTGAACACCCACCCTGCTGTGCCCTACCACTGCATCAAGCTGCTTTTTAAACGAGTCCTAGTGTCCTGGCTTATACCACCTATTCTGGCAACCTGTTCCAGTGTGTATGTGTATTCTGATAGGTGGGGAAAAAGTGTTCTGGATGTGGAGAGTGAAGAGTTTCGATGCACTGACACAACAAACAGTTCTTTCTCTCACTGTGCATACAACTCTTGTTGAAGTTGACCATAGTGGAATACCCAGGCCACTCCATCCCTTTTCCTATCGTGGATACTCACACGATAAAGCGTGACTAGTATTATAATCCATTCCAGCAAGTAAACAGGATAATAACCCACATTTCACCCACAAAATATACAGTTAATTCACTTTACAGTATATTCTGTGAAGCACTTTGAGACGTCTCGAAGACGTGATAAGGCTCTATATCGAATGCAAGGTCTATAATCCACTCCAGCAAGCAAAACCTTTACTATACGATGGGTTTTCAAAAGGAATGAATGGAAATGGATTCCCTTAGAACTGAGTGGAGACTGTTCCCTATTCCCTGGCTTCCTCTTATTGGGTATTGCTGCTCTGTGAAAAATAACACAGGCGCTGTGAAGCAACATTATGTCTACCTGGAGAGGCCGAGGAAAATGAATCCCGTCTGCCGCTGGTGTCACTGAGGGTCTCGTATTTTATTCCAGTGATACTTCTAGGTTCCTGTCTCCCAACTCTTTTTTTTGAAAGATTAATTTGTCGTTTAAAGATCCTGTTTCATCTATTCATACTTACAAGAAAAGAAACGCAGAGTTTTGTAGACAGATATAAATTGCTGTTTGTTTCTTCTTAATCTGCTTCTTTCCTGTTTTCCCCTCATATAACGGTGTTTGTCTCTCTCTCTCTCTGCTTCTCTCTGATTATCTGTGTGTAGGTCTCCTCCTTTTATCTCATAGCCTCTGCGTAATTCACTGTTCATTGATCAGTCCCCAGTTTGACCCTCCCTCCCCCTCCTCTACCGACTTTACTACTCTTGGGCCTGTTACTACTTACTAAGTCGTGTCCCTGCTTATCCTCTGTTCTCTGTACAAGAGATATTGCACCCCTGGCAACACATTCAAATTCTGTCAGAAGTGCAAAGGACCTAGAACTTGCTGCACATCAGGAGTTAGTTGAATTCAGATCCCAAGAGACCTGCTCAAGCTGCATAGTGCTCTAGGCAGGTCACATCTGGAGTACTGTGTCCAGATGTAGGTTTCTGCAATATATGAAGGGTGGGGAGGGGGGGAATGGGTTTCCCAGGGTCTAGAGGCACTGCTGAGGAGAGTGACAAGTCTGGTCCTCAATGTCAGAAGAATGAAAAATTACTATATAAACTTTCATGAAACGACACATCTAAAGAGAGTCTTAGAGATATCAGTAAAATGCTAAATGGTATTGAGAAAGAAAACCTAGAACGTTGCTTTCAGGTACAACAAAGCAGTAGAACATTGGATCATAGGTTCAGCCTTGTGAATGGCTGAACAGATTCTAGTAAGTACAGAGATTGATCAACAGCAAAGCATGGTCAGGGCCAGGACACTATACTCATTTAAGAAACCACTTGATGGTGTACTGGGAAGATGATAGGGTTGATATGACAGAAGAATGTGACTGAATGAGCCAAAGGAACTTTTACATCCGTATCTCTCTTGTAAACTTGTAAGTTCAAATACGAGGGTTTCACTTTGCACAGAGAAAAAGTTTAGAAACGGCAGAGTTTTAAATGGCCACAGCTGTACATGGAAGCTGTGTGTGATTCCATGAATCAACCATTTAGATTTCGTTATCAGGGACTTCCAAAGCATCAACAAGGCTCAAGAGACATTCAACCAAGGTCCCATTTTCCTGTTGAGGTGGACGGTAAAAGATCATGCACTGTATTGCTGGAAAAGATAAGGGAGTTTCACTGGGTGTACTGGGCAGCAGTCCCAAGGATTTTTAAAAAACGGTCATTCACTTCATGACTGTTTGTGGGACACTATGCATAAATTGGATGCCGTTTGTAAATTGGAAAAAGTGCTTTGAAACTAATTTTCTTGACAATATAGGCACTATATCAGATGCAAGGATTATTGATATTATTATTATTAACAATAAAATAGTGCAGACTGTACCTGTTTCTGGAGTGCTTGTTGCTGGGATGTATCCATTGGTGTAGGATTTTCATTCATCCTGCAATCCACTAATTCTTCAGTCTGTTAATAAAAACAACAATGTAATTAATATCACCTCAAACGGAATAGGCGGATCAAGAAACACATTGGTCTCTTTAGAACTTACACCGAAGAAAATACGGCTGTACAATTTTTGACACATTCTGCTGACAGAATATGCAATAACACCTTGGAGAATACACCGTCGAACCTTTGAATGGAGTTGATGGAGTGTTGAGGGATTATGTACTCAAGAAAGTTTGCCATTTTTATTGCAATCTTTATGTTTTGTGTGTTTCAGTGGAAGCGCCCTTATCTAAGTTAAAAGTAAATTGGAGTAAACCATGAAGGAAACACAGTAAAAAGTGTACTGTGTTTATGATTTCAGTTTGCTTAATCGTAAAGCACCCCATATTTTTGAATGCTCAAGGTTCATTCCTCAAGTCACGCAGAAAGCAGAGCATCAATGTATTATACTGCAGTGTGACTGAGCGTAGTGTATCCAGTATCTCCACAGAGGGCGCTCTTGGTCTCAGGCATGTCATCAGAGAGGCCACACATGACTGAGCGTGAAGGAGACATGATTTATCCCCAGCAAAAGCCAACCTGCAGCTTTCAACAGCTACTTCATTACCAGCACAGACCACTGTCCTGCCTGGGAGTGGGTTTCCTGCTCTCGCCCCTGTCGTGGTCATACGGTCAACTGGAGTCGAAGTTAAATACAAGGATAATAAAAAGTAACCAACACCAAACTGAACAGTGCCATGTGATTTCAGTTGAGCTAATGCAAAAACATACACACACACACACACACGTAGGAATACTAGAATGCAACAGAAGAACTTCAATTAAGTCATTTCTATTCATCCCAATTTGCACAAATGTTAATTGTCCCATTTGACATTTAATACAAAAGAAAATAAATACCTGCTTGTTTTCAACTTTCTTGTTCCCTTCCACTATCTTCCACCTTTCCTCCTCTGCCCATTTCCTTTCTTCTTCCTCCTCTCTACCCTTCTGCTCCTTCCTGTCTTTCTCCTTCAGCTCTGACTTCTTCTGCCCACATCCCTGCTGTTTCCGTAGCTCCTGTTCCCTTTTGTGCTGCTGTGTGCGAGATACCACAGAGATGATAGGTGCCAGGAAGCAGGGCACCAATTCAAATTACTTAACAGGTCAGGCACAAGCCTTTAAAGAAAAATAAAGTCTAGGCAATAATGGCGTGTCTGTAAATCAGTACATTTACTCGTGGGGTATGCTTGTAAGGGGGGGTGGGCGGGGGAGGAGAGCAATTCACTTGAAATAGGTTGCTGGAACAATTATGCAGAGTAACTGGAGTGTTAGCAAATAAGGTAATGAAGCATATGGCATGTTGATGGTGGTTGCTCAGCAAATAGTCTGTATAAAGTAGACGTGCTCTCTTCTTGGATATCCACGTAAGCTATGTTAATAGCCTAGGAAATGGTCATCATGAAATGGTAATCATACTCATGAACACGTATACATATATTACAATAAAATACAATTTACATTTATATAGCACGTTTCACATTGGGAGGACATCTCAAAGTGCTTAAATACAACCCCAAAGCACATAATATACAGTTATGAGCTATATATACACACAAGATATATACTATATCTTTTATCCCTTCCTCTACAAGACTCATTTGCCTAGTGACTAATACAAAGTCACAATAAAATCCTGTGAATTGCTTTGAGACTTCCTCTGAACATGAAAGTCATGAGATCAAATGCAAAGATTAGCATTATTGATATTATTTTCTTTAATTGCTTCTGTTAGTCAGTCAGGAACCTAGCCTCCTTCAAGTCCTGCCTCAAAACCCTCCTCTTCGATCATGACATTGGTCACCCCCCTTCCCCTCCCTTCCCTTCTCGGGTCTGAAATGCTGTACACTGTCCAGCGCCTTGGGACGTCCTCCCTGTGTGAAAGGCGCTATACAAATGTAATCTTGTGGTTGTTATAGCAAAGTGACAAACATTACACATTACTGGGAAGAAATTCCACCTGGGTCTAGATTGAAATATTCTATAGCATTTCAGAATATCCAGAATTTGGAAAATTCTTAAATATAGCCTTAATTTTTAAGCTGGTTTCTGTAGATTCTTTAAAGAAAGCCCAGGAAACTTACTTTGAAGTTAAGACTGAATTCCACAAATTGCCAAGTTACGAACACTCCTAAAATGCTAAAATACTAGTGAAATGAGGTTACATGCGAAAACATTCGTCCTGATCAGCCCTGGAGGAGTTCATGATTTTCTTGGCTGAGCTGTTTTGCATAGTACTTTGCCCAGGTTGGAGTCTCACAAATACTGCCATGGGATCTTCAACGTCCCACCTGAACAGGCAAATGGGACCTCGGGTTAATGTACCCTCTGAACTCCAGCACCTCTGGCAATGAAATGCATCGCCAGCACTGTGCTGGAGTGTCAGCCTGGGCTATGTGAATTCAAAGCCCTGATTTGGGCCTTGAATGCCCACTTTTCTGACTTAGGCGAGAGTGCTAACAACTGAACCAGGCTGACACCTTAAATACCATGTGTAGGGATGTTTGATGCTTTTTATTTGAGCGGAGGTGTGGGGAGAACTGGCACTGCACACATGTTGGAACACATGTTTTGTGTGGTTCCTTTTTACACACCATGGCAGGAGAACGCAAAAGCTTTTGATGCAGAATGCTTTAACACACATTATTTATGACGACAGTGCGGTGGTTCTCGAATTAAGCTTATGGCACTGGATATTTATTTTGACCATCAAAAAAGAAACATAAATACATCAGGGGTCAGAAAAGGTCATTTGATTCTTCTGACCCACTGACCTGTAACATGAAGCTGTGGGTTGATGCTGTGGACAAGCTTTGCAATGCGGGACACTGCTGTGCGCAATTGTCTGTCACGTTTCGTCCACAAAATATACAATCAATTCACTTTACAGTGCATTCTGTGACGCACTTTGAGACATCACGAAGACGTGATAAGGTGCTTTATCAAATGCAAGGATTATTATTATATATCCTTTTCAAGCACAAGTAAAATGTGCCACTGTTACAATTCCGGGTCCATTTCAATACCAACCATCCTTTATCTGCTTGTGTTTATTCTATGCTACACTTTATAATAAAATAGCCTGAGAGCATATGTCCTACTTCAACTGCATCAAGCCCATCCACATGAGAAATCTGCCCCCGAGCCATCAACAGATTGTAGGGAATCATTGAGGGTTGCTGCATTGGTTGGCATTGCATCAAATCAAGTTATCAAATCACTTAATTGCTCCCTGATTAACCTTACCAGAAAAGAGCTATGCAATTACAGCTGTTTATTCATCTCCTTCGTCTAACAGCCAAGGTAGAGCAAACCAACATGATTATTGTGATAGTAATACTTACATTTGATATTGCACTTTTCACATCGGGAGGACGGAAGTGCTATGCAGGATACACTTAAAGCGTATTGACTGCCTATTTCATGGGTGAGTGTAGTAGCCAATTTGCAAACAGCAGTGTCATCCAGCCATGAAGTGAATGGCTAATTTTATCTGGGGTTTGTTGGACAAGACACTAGGGGAAACCCCCCTTCTCTTTTGAATAGTGCCAGGGGATCTTTAATGGCCACCGAACAGGCCAACCGGACCTCGGTTTAACGACGTGTCCAAAGCACGGCACCTTCAACAATGCAGCACACCCCCAGCACTGCATTGGAGTATCAGGCAAAACTATACGAGTTCAAAAAAGGGATGGTCCTTCATTACAGTTTTATTCAGATCAGCTGTAGGAGCGATCGTGCATGAGTATTTTCATGCTGAGTTCTTTCATTACAAGGATTCAGATTCAACTGAGATCACCAGGTGATAGGTAAACACAGGCAAATCCCCTTCTACCAGGATCATTCCACTTTATGAGCAGATAAAACACAGATGCGCCTGAATGAATCCTTTGTCGTTGTTCCTGTTCCTAGTAAACGATCATCCCACGTAAATAAGCCCAAACATATTTTCTTCACAATTGTGGATGAAGAATTAATCAGAACAATTTGTCTTCTTTCAGATATTATACACGCAAGGAGACAGCTGAGAGTAATTGTACAGATAACAGAGAAAGATGTTTTTCAGTGCTAATTCATCTGACTCAGCTGTAAAGAAACCAAAGACATCAAACCACGCGTGTAGAAACGGTTTACAGCCACTGCACACAAATCCGAGAGAGGAACTGATCAGTGTCAAATTGAGAATAATAATAATTCTTATTTTTGATATAGCGCCTTATCACATCTTCGAGACGTCTCTCGCTTGCGATTCGAGTGCTCTAACCACTGAGCTAAATGACTCCACGATCTGACTGAACTGCACAGGAGCCAAGGTTGAAAGGTAAGGAGGGTTAAAGCTAACATTGACATGTATGGCTGGCCACCATAATAACGCAAAATTCTACACTCATCCACGCCTGCTTGGAATTTTGTAGTCTCTTCCCCAGCAGCGCTACTTACAGATAGAAAGTTATCGGTAAACCTGAAATTCTTACATCTTCCAGCCATTTCCGCTGCTCCTTCTGCTGGTCAATACGCTTCTGCCGTTCCGCCAGCAGTTGCTTTTTATACTTTTCCTGCTCTCTCAGCTGTTGCTGAAGCATCTGTTGTTGTCGCTGGGACTCTGAGCGGTTTTTATTCTCTTGTTGCAGCCGCAAAAACTCCCGTCTAAGAGTCGACTCTCCAGGTTGATTAACAATGGAGCTGGGGGAAGAGCAGAGGACACATTGCACAGATGGCGTTGGAGCACAATCTCTAAATGTTAGAGACGTAATGAAGACCTCAGGGGAGGTTGTGGGTGTCGGTGGTGGGGGGAGGGTACGGTAAGAGAGATAGAGAAGCTAAAACATCACTGAAGCTGGTTCCATCCCCACAGAAGATCTAACAATTCAGGAAATACTGTGAAGTATTTTTGCAGCCTACATATTGAGAATTGAAGCCCTCTTTACTTAAAAATTAGAAGTGCTTCACACCAACAATGAACAGGAGATGAATGTAATTTTGTGGCAGATGGATAGGGCTTTTACTTTATCCAGTGATAATCTAGGACACACACACTTCAGGCTAAACTGGAAGTGAAAGGTTGCACTCAGAATTTCTATACAGAAACTATTCAGATGAATTAATTTATCACTGGAGCGAAAGATTTAGTTGTGAATGAAATCAGGACCTTTGAATTTTTAACTCCACTTTTCTTCTCTGCTCCTCTCCAAATGAGGTCCCTTGTTGCCTCCTCCGAGCCACCATATTGGGTACAATGGTATCAACTGTAAAGTTCTCTCACTTTACCAGCTCTACCCCTGGTCAGGTTCCAGTACCCTCTGTCTTCAATAATACTGTGGTTGGATTTCTGTACGCATCACGGGAAGGAATTCAGGGATGGACAAATGGAATCATTTCTGCCTTTGTCACCGGGTGTCAGGATGAAATGCTCTGTGTTCTTGCAAATAATTACCATTTGCACTCAAAAGCTTCCTACAATTGGGGAGAATTTCCAACTGGATCTAGATTTATTCTATTTATGTAACGTTTGAGACATTTGAAGCAACAATCTCCTGACCCCACCTGGCGGAGGTGGTCAAAAAGAACCGTGTGACATCAACAACGGCAACATCTTGCATTTATAGAGCTCCCTTCTCGCCAGACGGCATCTTGGAACGTTTAACAAGTGGCGGAGCCAGATGCCGATTTCACACCCAGGAGGTGTGAGCACGGCAGCTGAACTCCACCCAGCTGCCTCAGCTCAACTGTTCTCCTTCTAAAGCTCTGAATACAGAAACTTTGAATACAGCACAGTGTTCTTCAGCATACTGAAGTGTCAATCTACCATTAAAAAGAAATTCAGGTTTATTTCCCTGAGTGGACATGAAATGACAAAATGAGACCTTTTTTTCCCCCAGCCCCACCCCAAGTCTGATTGAAAGTAATCCGGAGTGAGCAGTATAATTCTAGCTTCTCCCTCCACAATCCCCAATTACAAATTTAGTGTTATTCCCTCTATTCCATTATCCTGCTCCGTACCCACACACAAACCAGCAGCAGGAAAATGTAGGTTGTTAATGCACCAATCTCCAATGACACGATTAATGCCACCGGCATGTTTTTATTAAAAAAAAGCAGTGCCTTTTGTGCTGAGCCAGCTAGGAAGCGCACAATGTGAATTTACTCACAAAATCGATTTTAAGCTTCCAATCGACAGCTACAAACCCGAACGCAACCCAAGGAAAAGAGCTTACCTCGGCTCGCCCTCATCTTCATTCAGTCCATCTTCATCTTCCTCACTTCCGCTGTATTCGTACTCTGTTTCCTCTAGAAGAAAAGAAGGAAGAGACGCAAAGCTCATCACACGAGAGATTCCTCGCAGAAGCTCCTGCTGTCCCTGCAGCCAAGGAAATGGACCGAGGACAATTTCTTATTTTAAATTATATTCAGATGAGCGGACCTACATCTAATCTTACTCCGCTATAAACGGGTTTTTGGGGGGCCTAACGCTTGCACCTCTAGAAACAATTAGATTTTTCAGGGCACATTTTATATCCAGAGTTAAACGACCAGACTGCACCTCTGCAGTTGCAATATAAATGCCGCTATATCAAAAGGAATGACGAGTGTTTCAAATTTGCTTGAATGCTTTAATAGTTAAAGCTGGTTTTCTGAGGTGGATCATCCCTGCAGAGTTCAGCCTGCTCCATTCTGCATTCAGTCCCTTTAGATCACCATCTGCCTCTGCCTACTTTTTGCTTTGCTCAGACCAAACCACAAAACAGAACATTAAAAATAAAAAGGAAAAGAAAATAGAACTGAAAAGAAGCAGTCCTTGCCAAAAAAAAAAACAGCTGTCAAACCGCAGAGATTTCACTGAATAAATGGACATACACATGAATCCAAACATTTTTATAAAAACTGCGTTGCCAGTAGGTCTGCAATGAAAAAACATGGCAGCCGTTTGCACTTCCAGAGGTGCTTAATAACACAGTTGCTACAAAAATGATTTGGTTTAAAACAAAAATCGTAACAGTTTTTACATATCTACCCTACTGTAGAATATAAAATTGCAGTCATCGTGTAACTGATGATTGAATTCCACTTTCACCGGGATGAACACAATAGCAAATTTCGGCAGAAAGGACTAAGCAGCTTCAGCGATGTCCACAATATTCTATCAGAAATAACAGAGAGAAGGGCATAAAGTGGGTCTGAATACCTTTCTCGGCTTTTTTCTTCCTGGTTCTATCGATGTGATCTCGGAGCATAATGCGAACTTGACGGTCATTTTGCTGATCACGGATGAATGAATGTTTCAGCAGCATTTCGGTTGAAGGTCGGTGCAAATAATTCTTGACCAAGCAACTTTCTACAAAATTAATAAATTTCTTTGACCTAAAACGAAATAAGCAAGTTATGATGACAACCGTCAATGCTATTGGCTACTAACATAGCACTGTGTAGGCACTGTGTAGGCCAACTACTAATGAGTTCCTGAAGTGGCTTCAGTCATTTCTTAAGGAAATCTATTGAAGTTGTGAATCAAGGAACTCCACAGGTATTGTCTTTCACATTCTTTGAAAGACTCCAAGGGCACAAGAGAAATCACAGTCGCTGAATGAAATACATACCGTACTTTGGTCAGGTGGACCTCCCACAGGTCTAACTAAGACCTTGCACTGAACCACATCCTTGGTTCCGTGACCAGAGCCCAAGGTGGTAAAACCTTGGCACCTGCTTCTAAATGGTCAAACTGAGATTGGTTGTGCAGATTACAAGCTTCATTTATGGCACAAATCAAGAAATATTCAATCAAGAACATTTATTCTGTTGGCTGACCGTATAGGTTGGACACTTTATGGCCTAACCTTTATGGATTTACACTTTCAAAAGTTTAGTCCATTTGAAAGTGTAAGTGTAAATCACATCAGAGAAGTGAAACCAATAATTTGGGTTCACCCTCGACCTACAGTAATACATAATTAATATCAGAAATACGCAAATCATATTACGATGCTAAATTTAGATTGCTCTGCCTTTAAAGTGTATTATTCATAACTGTAAAAATGCTACAGTAATTAAAAATATATCATTAAGAGAAAGTTCAGGCATAAAAATTCCCCCGCAGGCAAGCTCTCCCTGAAATTACAATGCAATAATTATACATTTGCCAATTCAGAAACGTCTCCCAGTCTTTAATGAAGCATCCTTCCAGCAGTCACCCATCACGAACAAAATGAAATATACCGACCGAGTAGGGAAAATTTGGGCGAGACTTCATTTGTGTTACACATCCTGCTGGCATGTGTACAACTGGTTTAAAAGCGGTCAGAGAGAAGTGTGTAGTGCAGATTATGTCCTCACCCGATGACGAAATCAAACCACCAGAATAATGAATCGAAATAGAGCAGGGGCACGGTTAATTAGCCTGGTTGGGATGTGCCAAGTCAAACAACCAGTACCAAATGAATAAGTTCTCTGTCAGTGATGCACTTTGTACATTTATACAGTAGTCGGCTTCACTGAATAAATAAAACTTTGGCCATCATGCCTTATATACACTGGCAACCTGGTGTAAAATCCACATAATCCTAGTTTTCAAATCGCCCAAATCCCAAACCCTACAGTGAGGCTGTGGGAACGAGCCTTACTTCCTGTTTGCTGGCTGGTTCCTGCACTCCCAACTTCCAGTGTACGGGTCACTGCCTGTCGATGAGTCAGCAAACTGGAATCCAGTCTTTATTTAGTGCAGATAACTAAAAAGTAGCAAATTTCCAGGTCCTTAGGTCCTTTCCAATGTCACTTCCTGCTGTGTGCATATGCAGCGAAGGAAGATTTTGAAGTAGGAGCTGACCTACTGACCCGGAAGCCAGACAGTTTAGCAGTAACGGGTCCACTATGCTACTGCGTATTAAGCAAATTTTGACTAGAGTGAAACGGGTTATAATTTGGCTGCACTGTATTGAGTCCCCTTGCTCAGGAAACAGCCTTTTAGCTAAAATACATTTGGTATCAGTTTCTTACTTCTCGTGAATGTGGGGTTGTTGACAGATGTAAGAATAAAATGTAACGGAAATGTTAATGACAAACATTGGGCAGTAACTAAATGAGCTGCATTTTCCATGTGGTGCTGATACATTGGCTCCAACTGAGAGGAGTAACTGGTTTCAGCTGTTTGTAATAGTACAGACAAATAGCTTGCTCATGAAGGACTTCCTGCTTCAGGTTTCGTAGCATTGGCTGTACTTTAAAGTATGGAAAACATCTAAGAATACAATTTACCATTTTGCCAAAATGAAATACATATTTCTGAAACGTCAATCTGAGCGGCAGCCAAAGTTTTTCAAAGTGACTTGAGAAGTGATCCTTCATAACAGATCAGAATGCACGCAATTAAGAAGCAAAATCACAAACAGTTCTGTGCCAAGCCACTAAAAGGTAATGCCCAAAGTTATAATTGGCCGTTTGATCTAGGTCTGAGTGTGTTTTGATTTGTTTACTTCGACCAAAGTAGCAGGCTTGCCATTTCTTTGCTGCTTTCCTTCCTTAGAGGTAGACTGACATCTGTTACCAATAAGGCGAATGTGGACAAATATTTGTGTAAAATGTTGTCTTGTGCACATTAGGTGTATAGATGGCACAACCTTCACATGCTTTCCAGAAGTTGATCTAATCTCATGTTGGCTGTAAATAACTGATTCTACTGGCAAACAATAGTTTAGGGCAGGAAGTCAGCCAAACTGCAAGTCATTATAAATGCACTGAACTGTTCTCTTATGAAACTAGAAATCTGCAGAACAATAATAGCCATTTCACACCAAATGTTCTCACCATTTCTTTGATTTCAACTTGGGGGGAGGATTACGTGGAATGAGAAAAAGTGCCCTCATCGGATGCATGTCACAGAGAGCTGAAAGAGACAAGATACAGATGGGATTTATCAGCGAAGGAACATCACATAAGAACAATGTTGTTCCAGTGTTATAAATAATTTACATGCCCACTGAGTACAGCAAATAATAATCCTTGCATTTGATTATACTGCCTTTCATGTCCCGAGGATGTCTCAAAGTGTTTCCCTGAAGTGAAGTGCAATGACTGTGTATTGTGTAGACGAATGTGGCAGCCAACTTGTTTACTACAATGTCTCACAAACAGCAATCAAATAAAGGAACACTTTTATTTGGGAGATGGTTGGTCAGGGCACTGGGAGAAAGTCCCTTCTCTTTTTGAATAATGCCATAATGAACAGGCAGACAAGACCTTGGTTTTAATGCCTCATCTGAAGGACAGCACCTCAGATAATGCATCACACCCACAGCACTGCATTGGAGTGTCAGCTTAGATTTATATGAGTTCAACATCTCGATGTGGGGTTTGAACCCACAATCTTGTGACTCGGAGGCGAGTTGCTACCATCTGGGCCAGACAAAGACAAACGTATGCATGGATGCAAATTATTATAAGAGCTTTCAATACAGGCAAAAATCAACTCTATGCCATGCAATGGGGAAAAAAAATACCATGCTGTCTAATGTGCTGTGGATGTAGATTACCCCTTGTGTGGATATGAAGCATAATAAACCCATAAAAATCCTACATAAACAAAAGCAGTAAATCACAGGCAAAATTTAAGTAAACTACTTACGAGGAGCTCCCTCTGCCATTTCAATAGCCGTAATACCCAATGACCATAGGTCACTCTGCAAGTAAATAAATATTATGAATCAGAAATGAAATTGTTAATCATCTTTGGAATTGATGCAGGATCTATAACATTCAAGTTCCTCAAAGCGCTTTGCAGGTAATTACTGTCATGTGTAGTGACTTTTTTTTATATAAGCAAACTTAGCAGCATAGCAAACATCCAGATTCCGGAGATTTGCTGGTCAGATCAACGGGAGAAATTCCCTTCTCTTTTTAAATAGTGTCATGGGATGTTTAACGTCCACCCGAATAGGCAGACGGGACCTCGGTTTTAACATCTCATCCGAAGAGATTCACCTTCGTTCAAATGCAACGCTCCCACCCCCAACACTGCACCGCGGATACAGGCTGAAAGATAAGATCAAGGCCGAACGTAGGAGTTGAACTCACAACATGCTGATCCAGGAGCAAAAGTGAGTGAGCTACTAACTGAGATGAAGCCATTGACTGCAGAGTAATGGCAAAGTATCAGAATGAAAGGGCAGGCAGGTGAAATGACATGCTAACACTTTGCGCGGAATCTTCCTCAGTCAGGTTGGTCATGCCTTGTCGACGTGAAAGGCGCTACACAAATGTAATTTGTTGTTGTTGTTGTTGAAGCTGCCCAATCTATGGACGTCTGCACAATTGTTTATCTTGGGCCCTGAGGCCAATCATACACCCCCTGACTCCCACCTGCCTGAGATCAGATCAGTTCACATCAGAGATTGAGTCTGGAGTCTGTGTAGAGCCCCTGCTGTTGTTGACTCATGCTGACTTAACCCACTAATTAAATGTGCTGAGTCATTGCTTGCAGACTAAAACCACAAGGAACGGACATTTACACGTAGCAGTTGCAACCTGGGTTTCATTGTTACACCTGACTTCATTACAGTTAAACTGTCGTTCAAATCTGGCTGTGGTTTGGAACGCAACTGCAACTTTCTCGACCAAACTCAAGTCAAATGTGTAAAATCAATACTGCATTTAAATAAAAATAATGGTATAAACTGACACCCATCAGGTTTCTAATGCGTTGATTCAAAACACGGAAGCGAGCTAGATTCCGTGAATCACTTTATCAATGACACTGCTGTTTGTAATGTTTTTTCTAATTACAGGTCATTTCAGTCATATGGTTCCTTAGATTCCTTTGCAGCCTTGGTGCTGCTCTTTAAAAGTACCATTTAACATGCAGCGTTGCAGCAATTCTCGAGGGACCCCACCGTTGTGAAAAGCACTTCAAAAAATGTAATCACGTGCCAATAAACACATTTCAGTATTTCAAAGGAAATAGATCCACAATGTAAGTGCATCAAGAGTTAAAATAACATGATATGCAATCGCAGCACTGGACAATTATTCGTTGTGATTGTTTATCATAAGGAAAAATAACCCCTGGATTGTAGTGTATATAAAAAAAGCTGTACTATACTTAATTCTTAGAGCGCTAACAGGTAACTGGAAACTCCAGTCTTCCTGGGCCAACTGGTTCTGTGCATTTTAACAGTGACCCTGACAACAATTTCACAGTAATAACAAGAACTCAAGCCTCAGGAGGACTTCATTACTCCAAACCATAAATTAACATAAATAGTAAAAAAAATGTATATTCAAAACATTTAAACATGTCACCTCTATCTGTTGTCCCTTTCTCCCTCCTCTCTCGCTTTCTCTCTCTCTCTCTCATTCTCCCCTATTTTATTTAAAGTGTTTGCAACCTATTCTAAGCTCTATCCTTTTTTATTTGCCAATTTTCATTCTGACTCATGTTGGGGTAAGGGGTCGTGCCCTCCAGTACCTTAGCACATCAAACGGGGCATTTTTTTTACCCAGAGTTATGTGGAATTCTGAGCTATTGGCTGCATCTTGATGGAATAAAACTACAATATTCAGTTGATTCTCTTCAAGTATCCTCTATTATGCAACGTTTCGCCACAAGTAACGGTGGCTGCGCTGGGAAGTGCAGACTCGTTCAAATTCTTTAGTGCGAAGTTCAAACAGGAATTACACATGATTTGCACGTGTGTTAAATCCTCTGGCCACTGAAGTGCTCTTACAACCAGCATGAAAACAAGAACGCCTCTTGCAATCACTCCTTATTTTCTGTAAAATCAGCAGCATTGTTAACAACTGAGATAAGTTTGAGTATTGTTCTGTGGCCCCAAAGGCAAGTTACAGATTTCTCAAACTTAACACACTGTCCACTCCCCCTCATTAAACCTCTGAACCTTTCAAACCATTCCATCAATACACAATAAAATAGCATATGGAAGATTGAGGGCTCGGATACTATGGGGCAGACAAGAGGAGAATTTGGACTTGAAAGATAAGTAGACTTTGTCAAATTTCTAGGATGGAGTTCCAGAGAGTGGAGGCAAAAAAGCTGAAGGCCTGACTGATAATAGTTTTGCCCACAAAATATAGTCAATTCACTTCACAGTATATTCTGTGAAGCGCTTTGAGACGTCTCAAATATGTGATAAGATGCTATATCGAATGCAAGCATTATTTTTATTATTATGGTGCCAAGTGCCAAAGCAATGCACAATACAACCACATAATAATAATAATAATCCTTGCATTTGATATAGTGCTTTTCATGTCTTCTAGATGTCTCAAAGCGCTTCAGAGAATATACTGTAAAGTGAATTGACTGTACATTTGTGGGCGAAATGCGATAGCCAATTGCGCACAGCAGCGTCCCACAAACAGTCGTGGATTGAAGTGACCAATTTATTATTTTTTTCTTGAGGGATTATTATCAGGTGTGTGGAGTAAGGAAACTTGCCCAAGGTTTTGCCCTGCCGGTAATCAAACCCAGGTCTCTCTTCCTTTGCAAGGCGAATGCTCTAACCACTGAGCTACAGGACTTCACATACCTGTCATAGAGCCTTGACTGTCATGATCTAAAGGCTCTAACGCCTTTACTATATCACAGTTTTATAATAACCTTTAATGGCAAGGTACCAGAACTGTAACAATAAATCCTGGTGAGGAATGCAATGGAACAGATCACAACAATAAATTTGGGTCAATCTTTCCCCGAGTCATAACTAAGTCTGTGCCCAACATCATTTTTCCTCTCAGATTTAATCAAAGACCTCAACGGAAAGAATTATTTAATCTATTATCTTCTTCCCAATGGCTGTAAAGATCAGATTTAATTCAAAGCGTGGTACCCCGACCAAAAAAAATCTGTGAAGAATATTTTACTGGCGTTCATCTCATTGGAACCATTTCCTATCCCTCCCAACATTGACCCTTCTTTGATAACAATAAATAATAATTCTTCCATTTCATATACAGCCTCTCACATCAGAAGGGTACCTCACAGGATTTATTGTAAAGTGTAGTGACTGTGTATTTTGTAGATTTTTACCATGGTTACTTTCATAATAATAATGCTTGCACCTGATATAGCGCTTTATCACGTCTTCGAGATGTTTCAAAGCACTTCACAGAATATACTGTAAAGTGAATCGACTGTATATTTTGTGGGCGAGATTCATGGTACTTAGCAATATTTGTATGCATGAAGTGTGCTGGTTTTTGTGCACGCTTACTCTGTAATCATACGTGGAATCCATGTTTTCATCACATGCTATGACTTCGGGTGCCATCCAATACGGTGTTCCAATGAACGTGTTCCTCTTCTCCATCGTCCTGTCCAACTGAGCGCTGACACCAAAATCAACTGTGAAGTGACCATTAGAGAAATGATGACTCAATATCAAGTCAATCCATCTCTTCACAACATGGATTTTCTCTTGAAAGGACACAAGCTGATCCCGAGGCTTTTAGATCTCTGCCTTTTCGAAACATTTAAAATCACAACACAAATGTTCCCATGTCATTTCAGATCAGTGTAATATATCTGAAACGTACTGTGAGAACTGACGAATGCTAACCTTTTAAAATGCATATTTTTAGTCCCCATAGATCAGTACACATGTGCAACTGTATGATGCTGTATTGGTTAACCCATTCCATGATCTTGCAGTATTTGCTTGGGAGCAGTATTGACTCATGTAGGATGGCTGGTATTTGAGCCAAACAAATTCTCTACAGAACTTATCGATTTCTGTAATGCTCAAGTAGGGAGGTGCTATCTATGGAGGGAAGGAGGTGAGGTTTCAACAGTGGAGATGTTGTAAGTGGAAGAATATTCTGCAGGATCTACTTACCAATGAATTTGGAGTTCAGAGAGCAACTATTGAGAGCTACCTCCAACAGTGGATGGGGTGAGAACCATGATAGGGCAGGGTTTGTGTGTCTTTCCAACAGAGAGAATTGGATGCTAATGAAGAGCTATCTCCATACTATCTCCATACTGTTGCTATATTGTCTCTAGACGGTTTAACTGTGGCTCCCTCCCCTGGACCAGACACCTTCCTAGTTTCAGTGCCTCATCAGCAGGTCCATTCATCCACAGGAAGCTTCAAAAACAATTGGAAAGAATGGGATTTTTGTGCGTTCTGCACATGCACTACAAAGGTTGAATAAAGGCTCTGTGCACAGTATCTGCTTTCTCTATTGATCTGGCTATTTTGGTCACACAGTAACATGAGAAACTCTAATAAAGGTTTGTTGGAAATAGAGCTTTAACCAAATCTAGTGTTAAATGTTGTACAGTGGATGTTCACTAATAAGGTCAGCAAACGGAATGAGGAATTTAAAGCTTATTAGGGGGTTGGCCTCACTCATGAATTTGTATACAATAATATAATATTGAAATGAAAAACTGCAACAAAACCATATTAGTCAGTTGATTATGTTAGCGAGCTTAAGATGAGTTGATATACAAATCTAATGAAATACTTACCGAGCTTTACTTCTGCATTCTCTGTAAGAAGTACATTCTGTCCCTTGATATCACGGTGAATAACATGCTGTGCGTGAAGATGTGTCAATCCCTGCAAATATAATTTAAGAACTGGTTCATTGCCTTGATCACTGGAGCAGGAATAGTTAAGAACTCTCTGGTCAATATTTATGTGCAAATCTATGAAACTGTAATGCCAGTGCTTGTTAATCTTTGAACATTGATTCACTAATGCTAAACAATACAGCCAGCAACCACTGCAGTGCGAATAGTAATGATCCTTGATGTAGCACCTTATCACATTGTCAAAATTTCTTAAAGCACATCACAGGATTTACAGTGTTTTTGCAAGTAAAAAAGAATGTGTTAAACATTCATTACGTTAAGAAATCTTTGAAATGTGCCCCTTCCATTTTACTTGGACACGTGACCGAAATCACAAGGAAACCACAGGAAAGTTACAGTAAAGGTTCTTTTATTCCAGACTCCATTCTGTTTCTTGGGGCGAATCACAGTGAAAATGGGCTGCATTGAATGGCTGCAAAGAAACAACCTGCACCGATTCCAGTCGTGCAACAGTGCGGTGGTTTGTGCTGAAGTCTGGCTTAAGGAGGTGGTTTCGGCTGCATAAAGATCTGCACTGTTACAGCATAAATTAAGGCAGTGTGAATCAATTCGGCGTCCGCTCAAAAACGATCCTTGAAAAGCTTTCGATAACGACAGGAGAACCTCAGCTGCTAAAGCGCAGCTGCAGAAATATATTTTATTCATCATTTTGTTTTCAAGCTTTCACAGTAATTATGGCCCTTTGATTGCCTGGTAACTACAGATCCCACTTACCCGAAGAACCTCTCTACAGATGTAGGCGATCCAATCTTCCTTCAAACAATTTCCTTTGCTTTTCTTGACCAGATCAGTTACAGAGCCTGCTCCACAGAACTCCATCACAAGCTGCAGTCAGAGATTGAGAGAAACAAATAAGAGAATGTAGTGAATTTTAATATTAGTTCAGATGTCAGCCTCCACCATTACCTGCACAGCTTGTCATCCTTCATCACCAATTATCAAGCTAAGGAAAATAATAATCATCCTTGCATTTTGATATAGCGCCTTACCACGTCATTGAAACATCTCAAAGCGCTTCACACAATATACTGTAAAGTGAATTGACTGTAAACATTTTGTGAGCAAAACATGGCAGCCAATTGCACACAGCAGTGTCCAATAAACAGTCCTGGATTGAGTGACCAAATTATTATTTGTTTTGGAACGGATTATAATCCCCGGAAAGCCATCTGCCAATCGACAAAACCAAAGGGTTCCGACTTACTGCTAGGTAAACAGAGGCTTGTGGAGTAAGGAAACCTGCCTGAGGTTTTGCCCTGTCCGGGAATCAAACCCAGGTTCCTCTCGCTTCAAAATGTAAGTTGCTGTTGTTTAGAAGATGGACACAAAGAGTGATATTATGGAAAAACCACCATCTTTAAGTTCACCTCCAAGTCATTTCCGTAACTTCGACCTATACTGTTGTTCCATCATCACCTCTGGGTCAAAATCCTGGAACTCCCCCACCCAACACTGTCGTGTGAGCACCATCACCACAAGGACTCCCAGGTTGAAGAGAAAGTCCCCTCCACCACCCTAATGCAACCAGGGAAACCAACGATGGACAATAAATGCGTCATCAACTTCCCGAGATGAGTTAAAGCATTTAAAATAATTTTAAAATGATTTTAATTTATTTATCAATTAAACACAATTTAATAGCAGTACAAATGCTATTAAAGCCAATAGGTTTTCAGGCACCTCGGTAGAAATCACCAGGAAGTCAGCAAAGTTGGTTTCCTTGGCACACTCCAAACAGATAACATTTGACGTATTCCTGATTGCTCACTTCTCTATTGGTTGTATTGTTAACTTGGGACAGAGGAACTTCACAGAGAAATTGGCCATATATCTGATCTGCAAACTATTTCCTCTAATTTGGATCTCAGAAGATTACACCAAATGGTTTTCTGTCCACACTTTGAAAGACCAACATTGAGATTTGGATTTATTAAGGGAATAAATAACACACTTTTTTCACGACCTCCCGACATGAAAGCAGGCCACGTAAATGTGAAATGTATAGTAAATTGTATTGTAATGTCAAAATTTGGTTCCTCTGGCTGACCTCATGCAGTTACAGTTCCCCACAACCTAGGACAACAAACCTGCAGAGTCTAAAAATGGCCATAGATGAGGGGAAATTCCAGCCGGAGACATAGTTCAACTCAACAAGAATTTCCCCCCTTGCTAAGTTGATAAAACCACAAATTGAAGTGAAACTGAGCCACAAAAAGGTCCCAGATTTGGTCCAATGTCGATGCTCCATTAAGCAATCTCAGCTGAAATTGCAATAAGCACAGAGGAGAAAATTGTAGAGTAGAGAAAAAAAATTATTTTGAGCTGCTAACATGAGTCGCTGGTTAAGTTCTGGCAGGGGCCACACATGTTAGTGCCAGAATTACTATCAGTCGATGTACTAGTGTCACAGAGTTAATGGAGGAACGATTTGTTTTTTTTCCTTCGTCAATTTTTCTTTCCTCTTTTCCTGAAGCTGTTCCATTCCCCTCTCCTGCTCTTGGGGAATACTGTTCCACGTGTGCTGGTCTCCCTTTGATTTATCGCTCAAGTGGCAATGAGTCAAGTGCAAGCCTCGACAATGAGGTTCAGAAGGTTATTCGACCCCAGGGACATCACAACTCAAACCATCAAAATTTGCAGCAATCCATTTAGTACCATTTACCAGTCTTTTCCCCATGCCCCTGCAGATTATTCCTCCTTAGGTATCTATCTACTTCTCTAATAAAAGCTAATATGGTTCCTGTCATGTTGCATCTGCCTGCATCACACCCATGTTTCTGTTTCTTCCATGTCCACTCTCCTACAGGAAGTGAATTGCTATGTTGCTTCAGGTGCCCACAGGTTTGCTACTCTTGCTTCATGAGCAGAATGACTTGAATTCCCTGAGTATTCGGTTTGGACACGTGACTTTATAAGTCATACATGGAAGCCATGGCCGATTTGTACCTGCATGGCAGTAAGTTCCGAGCCAATGAGACATAAAGCTCAAGCTCGAAAGAACAAACATGTTTGTGTGAAATGTTTTAGGCCACAAAGGACCAGGCCTGCGACATCAAATAACTTTACTGGGTTTTCATTAATGTGGAATTCACAGCCTCAGGAAATCTGCTGCTAAAGTTCAGAATCGAATTCTGTAAATCAGCCATCTGTTGCCATAAAGCACTCCTGCTATACAGCAACAGTCAAGTCCTGATGGCTCTGGCAGCAAAAGGTTCTGCTCCAGTTCCTCTGTCAAATACAAGTCTATCAAAATCGGTGGTTTTATACACATATATATAATGAATGAAAAGCATCTTTACCACCAGCTTGGTTATTTTTTTTCCCTCTCTCAGCAGTTTATCGACTGATTGAAATTTTTTTTTTGCATTTGTGAGTTACAAGTTTCTCAATCCAAAACCTAGGGTAATTTATTCAAAACATAATCAACCGCAATTTATCAGAGTGTGTTGCAAGCTAATGCCCTGAAGTTGTGTTCTTGCAATTTGTATGACACACAAAAAATATGTTTATAACTACAATATCTCAAGTGCTTACCCAGAGCTGATCTTCGTGACTTGATGGTTTTTTCCTTATGAAAGCACCGTAATACGTTGCTATATTTCTGTGATGAGAGTACTTCTTTAACATATTAATTTCCAGCTTGATTTCTTCCTCTTCCTCCTGTTACAAATGAGTCGTTCAGTGTTAACTGCATTAGCTCTTTAACCACAATGTTCATCTCAAATGCATTTTATGCCTCCAAAACCCATTACAAATCTGATAACATAACAAGATAATAATTATAATAATCCTTAAAAATACAGTAAGTAATAATCTTTGAATATGATATAGCAACGTTCAGGTCAGGAGGATGTCTCAAAGTGCTGTTCTCTTAAGGGCAATGACTGTGTATTTTGTAAGTGAACACAGCAGCCAATTTGAACATAGCAAAGTCTCATACTTGGCCATGAAGTGTATGATCAATTTTATCTGGGGTTTGGTGGCCAAGACACTGGGAGAAATTCCCTTTTCTTTTCTGGTGGTGCTATGGGATCTTTAACAACCACCTGAATAGGCAGCCAGGACCTTGTCTTAACATCTCATCTGAAGGGCGGAACTCAAAACAATGCAGCATAGCCCCAGGGTTGCACTGGGGATGTCAGCTTAAACTGTAAGCTGAAAGTCCCAAAGTGGGGCTATCGGATATATTGAAATGGCAGTCAGCTGCACAGAGGTTAACTGGTTACATTTTTAAAATTGGAACCATATTATTGGGAGTACAGGAAGTCTGAACCATTCACGTAACATTGCTTTGCTGGAAGGTTACAGGCACAGAAATGCTTAGGAACAAATTGAACTGCCAGTACCTACTCATTCTCCACTTGAACTAAACTATCATAAATGCCTGTTATCACACTGGTATATTCTTTAGCCTTGTTACAAGCATTATAATCAAGATTTTGTTGGCAGTGAAGATTTTTGTTTGCTCCACTTCCTATGAATCCTACTTTTAACAGCGGCGTACACCAAATGCTGACACACATAGACAGGAGATAAGTTTTGTGTCTCAGTACAAAATAGACTAAGGGGTGAAATGAACACCACTCCAGAATGCATTTGATGTGATAACTATCCCAAGTATACAACGATTGCCAAATCTGCATTGGGTGAATTTCAGGTTCCCGAAAAAAATGCACAACATTGTGTAATTTAGGTACTTTGGGTTAGGTTCTGCAAGTGTCTGCACTGCAAAGATATATGTGATAACATCAAACAGAGGAAAAATAAACAGACACAACTGACAGATTGTATCTGTCTAAAAGTTTGGTTGAAAAACACCTTTGGTTTAGATGTTGGGGTGTGTACCCCACACCTCTGCTGTTGCAAAATTACATTCTACCAGAGGAGTTGCATCGTTCCGGTCAAGATGATAAGTGAAAGAAATAATCTTCTATCTTTCACTATTTTGGTTTCAGCCTGGCTGAGTTTGTAGCTCTCTCACTTATGATTCGGAGAGTTGTGGCTTCTAGCCCCAAATCAGCACTTTAACCTCATAGTCTACCCTGAGACTCTAATGTAATGCTGGGGGAGCCCTGCAGCATCAGAGGTGTCGTCCTTTGGATGGGACGTTAAACTGAGATCTCGTCTGCCTATTGAGCAGAATGTTAAGGATTCCGTAGCACTATTCAAAAATAGAAGGGAGTTCCTCCCAGTGTCCTGGATAAACATGGTCATTAACTTCATGGCTTTTTGTGCGACACTGCTAATGCAGAAAGTGGCTACTGCATTCACCTGGAAATACAGTCCCGACACTTTACAGAAAACTCTGTGAAGTATCTTGAGAGGCATCTCAAACATGTGATAAGGTGCTATATCAAATGCAAGGTTTTTAATTTAAGAAGATGGAAGATAAAGCATCCTCGCAATGTTTTGTTAATATTGCATTTCAAGCAAGATTCGCAATCCATGCTTAAATGTCAAGTAAGTGTGGAAATCATGAAGAAACAGAAAGGTAGATTATTTTATTGATTTCTCATTGTGACAAATTGTGCAACATATGTGAGCAACTTCTAAAGTGGGTTCCAGTGGCTACAGCACTTACAGGCTTCCTGTGAGCAACTGCTGAAACATTGTCCTACCTAAAGTGCTACAAGGTGAAACACTGATCATAGAATCATCGAAATTATAGCACAGAAGGAGGTTGTTCAGTTCACGAGCTATTTGTGGTGCTAGTTCCTCTACTGGGGCAGACTACCACAATTCCAATTCTTTACTCTCTCTCTCCCATAGCTTTTCACAGTGTTTCTTTTCAAATACTTAACCAATTTATTTTTTAAATGCTGTGATGTCCTCAGCTTCAATAGCTACTTATGACAAAGCATTCCGTTTTATAATAACTCTCTTCCAAAAAAAGTTCTGCAACACTCTCTCCCTCGACTGTTCCAATAACTGTCCTGAGTTCATACCTCCCTTCCCTCCCCCACCCACTGTCTTTCTTATGAGTTGATCAAGCAACAGGAATAAGTTTCACCATCTATCCTGGCAAAGCCTTTCAGCATGCCGAAGACTTCAATTTAGACCCCTGTTAAGCTTCTCTGTTTCAGTTAAAAACAGATCCAACTTTTCAAGCGTATTCTCATAACTATAACCCTTCCATTGCAGCCTCTATGTGAACCTAGTCTGTATCGATTGAGTGGCTCTGAGGTCCTTTCAGCTGAACTGAGCTACTCCAACGACAATTCAACTGAAAGGAATCTTCAAATACATTATAGATAACACCCAGAGAGAAAAAAAAACCCTGCTACACTTGTGTTCCACTTCTCTTTCTTACGTATTACTCAGATTCAGGATGAAGCTCAATTTTTTCAGTTCCATTTTCACTTGGCAAAGCAGTCCGTGTTAATTGATTGCTGCAGATGTAACATTTATCTGTGTCTGTCTGTAAATCACACGTGGGAAGTACATGAACAGTGCAGAGGGATTCTATTTCCAGAACATACCTTGATTCACTTGTGCATAAATGAACGTGTAGATTTAAAAAAATTAGGTGCAGAAAAAGTGGACAAGACAGCTAAGGAAATGAGAGAACGGTTTCATCTTTAGGCCAGGAGTGAGAGATTAAACATTTATTTCCTTCCCCATTTTGAAGCAATGGAGTGTGAATGCAAATGAGAAAATCACACAAGACTCCTGACTTCCTGCCCTTTGCAGGGTTGCGTTAAAAACAGAGAGCATGTCGTGGCTGTTAGAACATATGCTAACCAACCCCACAAGTGAGACTGACTGAATAGCCTACGCCAAAAGTTTACACAGTCACTACAGTAAATCCAATGGAATGCTTAGAGACGTCCTCTTGATGTGAGGCGTTGTATCTCTTACTTCTTTTGTATCTCTTGCTTCTCTTACTCTCCACTAAAAGAAAATGAGAACCCTCCACTGTGGCAAGGCTATTGCACCAACAGTGGGACAAATGGCAGGAACCCTATTAAACATACTTGATAAGAGGATTTAATAACGTCCCTTCACACCCACTCACAAGTACCGGGATAGATAGCCCTATTGTTGCTGTCGACATTGCAACAGCAAATCTCAAGAGTTATCCAAGGAACAAAAAAGAAAAATGGGAGGAGGAGGAGGGAAAACACAGGAGCAAAGACAAGCAGAAAAAGATATTTCTACCAATTTATATATTCTGCTGTAAAATTGGGAAGGTTGGAGTCTCATTTAGTCTTCTCAGACACAAGGAAACGCCACTGATTCCCTGGTGAGAATTATGTTATCGATTCATTGTTATGTACACAGCATACGTACATAAAGAACATTACATGATTCCACAGCACAGGGGAGCTGCAGTCATGCATGTTATTGTGCAAGACATCTTAGGAGTTCATTTCTGTACTTCAGTGAGTGGGTTTTGTGCAGGCTGTCAGTGCACATGCACTTTGCAGTAGGGGTCACTAAATGGCCAGTAGTAAAAGGAGCCCTGGAGATCGTTCTTCTCCCCAGCCTGAGAACCAACTGAATCAAAATGAAGTACCTCCAACACCACTGTCTTGGCTCAGATCAGTTATGTCCTCAGAGCCCACCGATTGAACATGGGACCATTCTGGTGTGTGTGTGTGTGTGTATCTCAGTACTGCGCCACATGACACATTAACCCACTTAACTGTGTCACAGATGTGATTTACGACAAGTCTGGTCTTGAGATTATACACTTCCAAAGCACACAAGGAGATCTCTGGGCACTACACTCAATGAAGGCCAAGAGCATTTAAACAGGATTATCAGACTTGGGTTTCTTTTCCCTTTTACTGGAAATGGAACATTTTATTCAGAATATGTTGTTACAATGGCCAGTGGCGCAATGAGGAAAGGATTTTTTTTTAGGAAAGTGACACATTTGAGGTGTCACTGGATGCATATAAATTGACAGTCGTCATTACATAGCGTACTTCCTGTTGGGCAGATTGCAAAACGCGTCTAGTTCACGTGCATTTCACATTCACATTGCAAAAGATGGGCACTGAACAGCTGATGAAAAAGCAATGCCTATTGCACACTGAGGATTGCACAGTGGAGAGTAAGGATACCAGAATCCGGAAAATCAGTGACAACACAATGTTACAACATGTCAGCACAGAAATGAAACACTGTCCTGGTACGCTAATAGTTATCAAATTTCTCTAATTCTTTGTTATCCGCAGATGTAGATAAGACACAATCTTGCATGATAATCAGTGCCTTTGTGCCGTTCATAAAATAATAATAATAATCCTTGCATTTCATACAGTGCCTTATCAGGCTTTCGAGACGTCTCAAAGCGCTTCACAGAATATACTGTAAAGTGAGTTGACTGTATATTTTATTGGCGAAATGTAGTAGCCAATTGCATGTAGCAGTGTCCCACAAAAAGTCATGGATTGAGTGACCAAATCATAGCTCTAGGATGGTTCTATTGGCAACCTTAATATAAGTCTGTTATATCAAAGGAGATGCAACAGAACATTTTTTTCCAGAGGTTTTTTTTCTATGAACATGGGCAAGATGATATGAAAGACTGTGATATGTTAGTGACAATATTAACAGGAAGGCATTGAATATTGAGGCTTTGTCTGCTTTTTTTAGGTCAGCACCTTATTAGTAACATTTTTTGAACTGAACAGACAGGTGGGATAATTTGCTAACCTCGTGGCAGTCCCTGTAGAGAGAGAGAGTGACTATAGTTCATAAGCTACAGAATCGAGGTGACAGAGCTCCGTGACCAGTGTCGACCTGTGAAAGAATCGTGTGATCTTTGTAGATATAAGAAAGTATCTGGTGTTGTCAGTTGTGACCACAGGGGAGATTTGCTTATTCGCTGCCACACAATGTGTTACTTGGGTTCAGTTTGCCTTTTTCCAATGACTTAGGGAAAAGATGCACGGTCACTAGGTGAATATTGACCATGTGGGATTCATTATTCACACATTCGAGACTCTGCACAGCACACAGAGTATACATTCCTTCTAAAAAATGTCTTTCCATCGCAATTGTGTTCAAGCTACTTAGTAAAAGGCACATGTTTAATACAGCTGTTGACCTGGATAGATATTCCCTGTGACCAGTGGAACCCATTATATTTCTTTGTGGATTCTTGTCCCAGTGCACCAACATGGCATTTTTATTTCCCACACAAGACATTGTTATTGCCTGTCTAAGTGGAGACAATCAGCCTACTCGTGTCCAATTACAGGCAGTTATGTGCTGTGGCAAACCCACAGGGATTACATTAGACTGCCAGCAATTTGCCTGCATTGTGTTGTTTCCAACATCATTTTTTGTGACAATTGTTTTCATGGAAGGAGGGAGGGGGAGGAGGAGAGATGGGGTTCAAATAAGCTTCATTTTTTTTTATCTTTGCTTTACCCAAAACAGGAAGCAATGTAAAAGAATAATAGGAAGCGAGGTTTGCACAGGTATGATTCTTGTCATTGAGGAGATGCAGAAGCACAGCTCAAATGCTGATAGTTATCAGGATGATATCAGACTCAGACTGCGGCTGCCATGCACTTTTGTTTCTGTTTCATTCTTTATAATTGGGGCTGTTTCATGGGAGCAAACATCACTAGTAGGGGGATTTGATTGAGATTTTCAAAATTCATATAAGATTTTCGACCATGCCTTTGGTCACCCTCCTACCTCTACCCTCCCCGCCCTGATCCCAAACACCAGCTTGGGCACAGATCTCTGACTGTCCAGCGCCTTAGAACATCCTCCTGACGTGAAAGGCGCCAATACAAATGTAATTTGTTGTTGTTGGATAAATAGTGAAAGATTACTTCTTGTTAGTGAATTGGTGAATATTGAACTCAGATTTGTACTGGAATAGGTTGGAAATTTTTTTTATCATGAAGAGGGTTGTTAGATCACAGTATCTTTGCCATAAGCAGCTACTGTTGCTAAGATCCTAGGAATATTTGAAAGGGGATCGGATTACCATTTGAAGAGGAACAGTATAGAGTGATGGAATGATACAGCATGGGAACAGGCCATTTGGCCCAACCAGTCTGTGCCGATATAAATGTAATAGGAAGGGAGCAGGGAATTGGGATTACTGTATTTAGTTTAGTGTAGGAGTTGGCACCAGCAAAGACTCAATGGGTCGAACACCTTCTGCGCTGTGATTTCTATGGCTTCTATTAGAGAAGGGTATTCTAGCCAATATTCTTTCCTTATCTGAATTCCTCAACAAAAAAACAGATGAATTACTTGTGCATTGCTATTTTGTGGGAACTTTACTGGGGCCAATTAATTGCCATTTTTCCATACTTGACAACAGCTCAAAAAAACTAATTATGGAGAACACTGGGATGCCTAGCAATGCACCGTAGCAAATACATTTCTGTTTGATTTATTTTTTTAAAAAAACATATTGATTCCTAATGCTGTGATTGCAAGCAAAGCATCGCATGAGACTGCAACCACTTTCCTACTTAACATCGAGAGAAAAATGACCCAGATACATATTTCCTGTGAAGGAGAGGAAGGATGTGTGTGAGAAAGAGGATCGAGGCAATGCAGTTTGCATTCAGTGATGAGGAAATGATGTGACCTAGCAGGAGCAGCCTGGTGCCAGCAGGAAGTCTTATGAGTCACTTTTATCTGCAAACAAATTCTGAAGTAGAACCAAGCAGGAAAAAGGAATTTTTTTTTTTTGAAACATCACTAATCTGTAGTGCAAATAAGCTTTTGTTTTTATTGTTTCTCTCTCTCGCTCTATTTTACTTTATATTTCCTCCCCTTTTCCCTGCTTCATCCATCAGTTTCGGCCAACCTATTACCCAGCCTTACTGATATTGATCGCGAACACTCCGCTAGGAGGTGCCAAAGAACAGTCCAGTATAAATCACCTCCCTGGGGAGAAGCTCCTGGCCTTCGCACCCCTCTTTGACAGAAGCCCTGAGATCTATCTATGTTACCCTGAGGAGAGTACAGGTGTAACCCTGTAACTCATTACTCTCTGGCACCTTTTGCATTCCAGACAGTGTCGTCATGCAGTTTAGCAGCTGTAAGGTGGCATCTCTTAATAATACTTGGGTCGAACAGTCTGTTTCCATGGTGTATCATTCTATGTAATATGGCCAGGGACATAATTGATAATAATACAGCTGATAATGCAATTTCTCCAACTGCTGAGAAATGCAATATGCATTAGATGTGCACTCACCTATTCATTGTTACATAGAAACACAGAGACATTGGTAAAAAAGCAAAGAGCTTGCACTTTCATTCATAATTCCTTGAAAAGGTTTTCTGAGCAACAGTTGGTCAGACAGAGTGTTAAGTCTGTTGAGAGCGTAGCCTTAAGGCTTCTTCATCTACAGAATAATGGGTTAGGAAATCCCCTGTAACTAAAACTGCAAAGTAAAGCTATTTTCCAATTGAGGAACTACAGGTTTCAACAGAAGAATCTGTCAGAATGTTTGTGGATCTTCCTCCACCAATACTTCTGCTACTCATCCTACTCTTCAGCTTGTCCTGCACTCTTCCTCCCATACCCATACACCAGGACGCACACTGGCTTCAGGGCTAGAAAAGCGTTATTTATTACTTATTAAACAGCGAAGATTTCTATGCATATTCCATACTTTGTGCTGTGTCCCTTCCCGTCCTAAAGAATAGGAATATGAAATGAATGCATTGCAATGGCACTAGGCATTTTGCTTTGAAAACAATACAAACATGCAAAATGGTAAGCCAGTAATGTGAAAAAAAAGATTAGTTCAGCTCACCTCTGTGACATCCATGACCTTAATGGCTGCCAGCTGCCCAGTCTTGACATGTCGACCCTGAAACAAGACAGCAATTTCTGTAATATTACAGTCAGAATTCTCGCTGGAGCTGAATAATACATTTCACATAAATCAAAATGATTTTGTGCAAAACAAGGCTTCGAAATACATTTTTAATCAATTTTTTTTTACAAAGCTAACAGAACTTTGTGATACTTGCTCACAAAATATACAGTCAAATCACATTATAATATATTCCGTGAGGTGCTTTGAGATGTTTCAATAACGTGATAAGACGCTGTATCAAAATGCAAGGATTATTATTATTATTATATTTATCTTTCAGTGATAGTGTCACAAAAAAAGCCACATTAAATTGGATACTATTGTATTAATAAAAAGATGTGTGACTATCAAGACAATTTCGGGGTGGAATTATTCTGAGAGTTTCATATTGTTTCTAGATTTGTTTGTTCTCGGGCAAAGCGTTGTATGCAAAAGTTTCCTTTGGTTACTTCCTCTCTTCAAGCAGCTCACGAAGACCCAATTGATCGCGACTGTCCCATGCACAGAGCCGAACAGGCTATGTAACAACTGCTCAAATGTTAGACTGCATAATTCTGACCTCCCATTTTGCATCCCAATGTGGCAGCTTGTGGCGAACGGAATGAAGCCCGCACACAAATCAACCAAATGGTACAAATGTGGGAGAGGGTCCCAGGCATTACTGATTAAGCAAACAAACACTTTTTTTAATGGATAGGTTCAAAGAGCGAGTTGAAAAAATAATCAACCAGAACAGAAAGGAATCGTAGTGTTGTGCTGTACTGCCTCACACATTGGGTGTAACACTCTGCTTGTAAAGTTACAGACCTCGGGGAGAAGGGCACACAAGCTCAACCCAACTGTATGTTTACGGATCATCAGGGTCTGAGTTTATAATGGGATTTCTCACTTTGTAATTTAACCCTGACCAGAGACTGTAGATGATTTGAGAACTTTGCGACCTGAATTTGTGATTCTCAGCTTGATAGTCAAATGTTCAAAACTTATGTTGTTGCCTTCACTATTTTTTTTACAGCAAGCTCTATTATCAATTGCACATTATGTCTACATAGAAGCCAAAAGATAAGTGTTAGTGTGTTTTGGAAGCTCGAGAACCTTAAGACAGTTGTACAGTTTATTACCTGAACCCTAGAACAGGTTACCTATCTTGAATTCTTTAAAATACAGAAGTAAAAACACTTATTCTAGGAAATACTAGAACTCAGTGGGTATTTAATTAATTTTATTTTAAAATGTTTAGTGTTCACAGATGTTCACATTCTCCACCAAAATGTCTCAACTCACATGGTCAGTTCTGTGCATTGCGCAGCTCAAACTGAAGTGTGACCATGTGAGTTGAGACATTAAGGTGTGACATTGTTTAATATCTGAATATAAGGCACATTGATTGTATTTTGGTGGAAGGTCGTTCATCTTCTTTGGGACTGGCTGAATGGGCTGCAAAGAGCTTTTCCAGTCATGTACAATCCTATGGTCCTATAGACACGTATAACTCAATTTCAGAGCTAAATTCTATTGAAAACAACAAAGAAGTTACACTTAGCATCTGAATTAAAGCATAGGATAACAAGCCACAAATGTTTAGAAATTGACTGCCACAGTTGAACAGTTAGACACAATTAATTATTTATTTTAATATTATGGTCCATGAAAAATTCTGAAAGCACTTTTAATTTTCCTTAAAGTACAATTGTCCCGACAAGAACATTTGCAAGCTATATAAAGTAGCTATAATAAATGCTATTTCGAAACACTTCTCACTGATTTTTTTCTATTCTGATGTTGACCACTGTAATGCTATCCACTCTGCATTTTCTCATTTAACTTGAAGATCCATTGCACATTCTCCATAGCTGGCTAACTGAAGATATACTAATAACGGATAGTCTCTGTTTCCCTCTTCCCAACCCATTCAAGCCAGGAAATATGTTCCACCCTGGAATCTGCCCCTACAAAAAAAAATGATGAAATGTGTCAATGAAGGTAGCCAAATCTCAACATCAGCCAAAAGAGGAATCTGAACTTGTGCCTCACTGGTTGGTAAGCCAATCCTCCAAATGACAAGTTGGCAGGCGGTCTATAGCAAATATTTAAGATTTTTTTCACAAACAGCAATAAATACAGTGGAAATAAAAATCACCAGAGGAAGTAGTTCTTCACAGATGAAAAGGTGCAGTCCTCACAAACTGCCTCATTTACTATTTAAAGCACAAAAATGCACCACATTTTAAAAAAAATACACTCTGCTACAGCAATCACGTAAAGGAATCCAGTTACCACTGGACACTTAACAGTTCTCTTTTCTTCCGATTGTGATCATGAGATGATTTGTGTACAAAAATACTTGCACAAGAATAATGACTGCATGCCAGTGACTGTTCAATTGCTATCTTTTGATCAACATGTCAACTAATGCAGAGAGCAATCGCGTATCAAGTCTGTTCTTAATGAATGTCATGACAGATTTCTCAGGCAGCTTCAGTTCAGGAAAAGATGATATGATCAAAAATAAAAGTGTTTCCAACGGCACTTCTGAAACACCAAGTGCCATCTTCACTTTACAAAATATTTATGTTGCAGCATCCCAATGTGCCAGCATTTCCTTATTTACAACCTGCCAATCCTGTACAATTTCCCCCCCCAAAAGTCTCTAAATCAGCATTCCCGAAGGCAGACAGTAACTTGCAACTGAGACCTCTGATCAATCCTGACATCAGCGCTTGGGTTTTTTTCTTGAAAAAAGGCTCAAGCTTCCCCCAATTTTTTGAATAGATTCCACTGTTGCTTTTGCATTTGCTTTGAAGGATCGCACTAGGATTATACTGTCTTGGGGAAGTCAATCAAAACAAATCTGTTTTTGGAACATTTTTATGTTTGCTGTCAACTCCGTGATAAGTCTAGTGTGTGGGTCTGGACGCACGTTTCTAGGTGGTCTTGAGAGGATTAGAGCAAATTCACGTGCAATCCAGTCATACAAAGATTAGCACTGAAGTTCCCCAGCGAACCAGGTGTTCTCCTGGGTGTGTGAGCACGGAAAGAGATAACTGAGTTTAAAGGCATTCGTGTGAGTCTATCCAGCCTCTCCTCAGTCAAAACCCATGTCCTGCTTTGGGTTCTGACTCAACAAAGTTCAAATATAGTCTGAGTAAATCTTTGTCATTGATAAACACCACTGATTGCTAGGTATATCATGATAAACATCTCAACACATCTCCAAACACCTCAGAATCACTCAACAGGATAATTGATGTGAGCTACAATCCTTTTTAGCTCATTATTGTGACAGATTTTAGAATAATCAGTACTAAGGCATTGCGATAAATAATATTTAATTCAATGGTTTGCTGGGGAACTTCAGTGCTAATCTTCGTATTTAATACATTCTTACTTGCAATTCCTGAGGGAATCAATCAGTATTAAAACGGCATGTTCCCACAATTTTGCATTTCCTTTTGGAAACGTTCCCTAGAATAAAGAACATTTGGAAAAATTAAATAATTCAAAGGTAATTAGAGGGAAGTGCAACATGTTGGAGACTGCAGTGCACAGAGCTTGGTTAATTTTGCTGATCTCAGCCTCTAAGTATGGAAACACACACAGCAAACAAAGGGGGTTATATTGTCAATATATATCAGTATAGTGACAGAAGGGTCAAGATGTCCCGGGCAACCTGGAGACTTTCCTTCTAATCTTTAAAGATCACTTTCTTTAGGATCAGTGGGGAAAGTGTTGGGGTGGGCAGGTTGATAACTCAATATCAGTGTCCGAAAGTGGATAATTCTGTCAGCAAGGCATGCTGACTTCAGCAAAAATGATCAGTAAAATAGATGTTGAAATGGCAGCTGTGAAAGTAACCGAGAGCTTTTTCTTGATATTCGGAGGCCAGCGAATCAGCCAACCCTGTGAAACCATAGACCAGCATTGGAGGCTGAAGCCCATTGGAGGCATGAATGGGCAATGCAAGGGTCCCAGTAGAGAGAAGAATCCCACTGTTGGGATCATGATTCAGGAAGGTCTTATACAGTGGAGTCCTGTAGCTCAATGGTTAGAGCACTCGCTTTGCAAGCGAGAGACCTGAGTTCAATTCCCGGCAGAGGGCGAAACCTTGGGCAAGTTTCCTTACTCCACACAGAGCCTAATAATAATCCCTCCAAAAACCCCAAACAATAATAAATTGGTCATTTTCAATCTACGACTGTTTGTGGGACATTGCTGTGCGCAATTGGTTGCTGCGTTTGCCCACAAATATACAGTCAATTCACTTTACAGTGTGTTCTGTGAAGTGCTTTGGGACGTCCTCCCAATGTGAAAAGCGCTATATCAAATGCAAGGATTATTATTATTATTATCGTTCTAGGATCAATTATTAATCTGTGGTGTGGTAGATCACAGATGGTCAAATGCACCAAACCAAGCTAATTTCTGTGCATGGAGACTTACTGATGAATCGATGGGCATGAGGTTGCGTATGGACCATTGTTGGTAATTAACAATAGGAGGCAACAGGAATCCAATGGGTTGCTTCAAATCAAGAACAGTACAACGTACATGCGCAAGAATAAAACTGTTTTTGCGTTACAGCTGCATTTGATCCATCTACTTTTGAATTTAGATCAAACTCTGTAGCCCAAAGAGCACAACACTACATATATAATATATATATATATGAGCTTTGTAGTGTAAACCCCTGTGTGCACAAGTCATGTCTGTAGCAAGCTTCTTGGTCCTCTGAACATGATGAAACCACAGTTTACAGTAATTACTTTCATTGTTTATTTTTCCAGAGTATTTATTTTTGGTTCTAAATGCATGGTCTGCAATGAGATTTCTTAAAGGGGAATGGATTTCCTGCTGGTAACCAGAAGTAGGGCACACTGCCAAATGGGAAATCTACGCCAAAACAATCTACTCCCAAAGCTCCAGTGGGCTGCTAGAAATTCTATGGGATTTCTCAACTTGTGAAAATTGCCATATGTTAGACCCTCAATATG